ATGCAATCTCATGGTATCTGGTGACCAACGATTGATTCATACACCATTTGTTCCCTCAGGATACTGGAGTCAGCCCATGTGCACCACTGATTTGGAATCAGGGTTTTCCAACTCTCCTAGGTGGATATTCCGTGTCCAACGAACATTCGCTTTTCGTTATCTCAATTTCGTAAACAACTGTTACCTTTAAATCATTGTTTGTAAATACAATGGTTCATACTTCTAATTTCTTGCTTTTTGTATTTAAACATAGTTAGTGGCTGTTCAAAATTAGCAGCTCTCGTGGATAATGCATTGGGTTTGAAGTGAAATATACTGGATTCGAGTCCTAGTATGGATAACAGAACTAGGAGGCATGGAATAACACAAATGACCAACTCTAAGCAAAACAAACGAAACATCATGAGTTTCATGACTATGTTTTCTTCATCTGTTCAAGATGATAGATGAATAATGTCTGGTTATGATTAAAATTGTACATTTTATAATCTAACAAGGAAATTATTATCAACATAGAAAGAGAATAAGATAAGTTACTTTATATCAAAGACTGACAATAGCTAGGAAATGACTGACAATCGAGTATCCTTAGATGGTTACATTAAAAAAAATCTATTATGGCCCATCTGAGCAGTGGATATTTTTATATGCCAGTTGGAAATTCATTCGTAAATCACGTTAATGTGAATATACAGTATGAGCCCCCAAATGCCCTGGTACGGCCGAGAGTCCGCCCTCCTTTTCCAAATGCTCTCATACAGGCACGAATATATAGCCTCTGTCAGGGAAGTCCTACTCACTGCCTTCTCACAGTGGCATTACTGTTGTTTACGAAATTGAATGTCCGGCGCTTTAACCGGGTTGCCTGAGACGTTAAAAACCCTGATTTCAAACAAATGGTGCACATGGGCTGATTCCAGTATCCTGAGGGAACAAATGGTGTATGAATCAATCGTTGGTCACCAGATACCATGAGATTGCATCTCCTCACGATGATCCACTGTCTTGTGGATCAGACGTTTAGATCAGAGGCTTCGGGTGTGGTCACCTAGGAAAACCACCTGTTTTAGTTTGGGCACCTGGGCAGTATCATAGCCCTCATACAAATCGAATGAGATTTGTGTGGCGCATATATATCTGGTGCTTCCTTGTACCAATATTTATGTGTTTAAATAATAATAATAGTAATAAAAGTATGAAATTCAAGAATGATGTTTGTTTTAACTAACTTATTTCATATAAATCAATGATGGTATGACTTAAATTATCGATAATATCTATCTTGCTCATGAATTATTATCTTTCTCATTTATTTGAAAATTTAATACTTTATTAAAAGTAATAGTATTATTACAGTGAACGAGAACACAAGTGGGGACACTGGAATATCTTAGTAAAATCTGAGAATCATACAGCAAATAATTCATTTGCAAAATATCATTCAATCATCTTCGACTTCATTGTTCCTTCATATCCATACAAATCATTCTTTGTTCTCGTTCTCATTTCGTTGATCTTCTTAACCTTCTACCTCCAGACATTTCACTTTCAATTGATAATACATACTATTTATATCTATTGACATCAGTAGCACACATCACATCATTCAATACTAAGTGTCTACATAACTGGAAAAACTTCTAAGGATATATTTAATGTATTAAAATATGTTCTAAAAATAAACATAATAGGAGTGTGTGGATATTCGTATTGTCTTTAGTTTATGCCATGTGTTAACTTTAGTCAGATAACTGATGAAAGCTTGGTACATATTAGGTAGCCGTTTCGTTTTTCATCAGTTGGCATTAATAACTCTGTCATGTTCATGTCCAATATGTGAACCACTGAATGCTGGTTCGGTGGTTTAAAGGTTATAAGCTGGACGCGTGTCCAATCCTAGATCATATAGTAGATATAGACTTCTAAGAAGTCGCATACTAGGATACAATGGTTTTCTAAAGCATCCTAGTTTTTTATGGTTATGTTAGGTAGACACCAAAATTACTTCTGAACATAATTTTATAGTTTTTCAATTGAGTTATCTATTCTTATCACCATAGTAAACAAAATATTCAGTGATTCTAAACATTTATTTAACATGTGAAAACTATTGTCGTTACTTGGTAACGAATTACTTTCAAAACAAAAACGAAGTAGATTACTTTAAGAATCTTTAACCATTATAAGCAAATATGGATGGTGGTTAGCAGTAGAGTATAGGACGCGCGTTTTGTTCTATTTGGATGTACTTGCATCCCAGGGATTACGTTCACCCTGGAACTCGGACCTAGTACCGTTCGCAATTGATCAATTGCAGTCTTGAACAACGATGGGAAGATACAAGCAAACTATACCAAGTTAATTCTCACCCATTTCTTTGTACAAATATATTTATATGGAGAGAGTTATATAGTTAAAAACTTACCATATTAAAACATCTTACTAAAGAAAAATACATTGTCCTTTATTCAGATTTATTGTTAACTCATGGGAAATAGAAATGTATGAATAAATAAACTTCCTTAAGTTATATTCCCATTTGATTACAATAAAATATTAAAAAAGGATAATTCACTTTCAATAAAGTTCTCGGTTAGGTGTTTTGTAACTTAAAGTGATCAGAAAGTATCATAGAAATTATTTTGATAAGGATCGATATGCAAAGTATATAAATGTTTCTAATACATTTATACTACTTACAATATATTAAGTAGCACAAATGATTAAGCTAATTTTCAGGTTTACCATTTAGTCACAGATATCAGAAGTAAACAAACAAGAAAAGTAAAGTTTTATAAAGAGTAATATTTTAACTGGACATCTGTCAGTTAGATGAATGCTCTTTGCTTAATTGGTATGTGTTTCTAATCAAACCCTCTAGCTTGTATTTTGAAGTAGTTTCAAGTTTATATTGGGTAGGACAGTTAAATTATAGTCGTAATCGATCATATAATAAATTAATTCCTATTACATTTGTTCTCGATCGCATTCTCTTCAGTGATGGCTGAATGCTTATGGTATTGACTGAAGAAAAGGTTTTTTTAGCAGATTCAAAACTTATTTAACCAGTAAGCCATAAGCTGTCCACAATAGGTATGATAATAATTGGTGCCATTATCAATCCCGTTTGGTGAGCTTAACCATTAGAGAAATAAAAGAATAAACCAAGAAAATTTGTGGATTGAAACCTGATACAGTGTCAGGACTAGTACTTTTAAGATGTCAGATCCAGGACGTTTATGTTTTGTATTACTTTATTATTCTATAATAGGATAGGAGTGTTCCAATCTCAATAAATTTATGGTATAAAAAGATCATTCGGTACCATAGGAATAAATCAGTCTTCAGTCATGAAATATATTTGTAGATCTGTGAGATCTCTGGGATCACAGAAACTGATAAAGACAACCGATGCAAGGTAATATCATTTGAACATAATGAGCTTTATTGCGAACTGATAGGAAATCGTAACCTATTATGGTGTTCACAGCGTATAAACTACAATGTCTAGTTGTTCTAGGCTGTCGTCCATGGATTCGATGGTGAGTGATACTGGGTTACAGTCTTGTATAAGACAGCCACTTAATGTTAACTGATTTTTAGTAGTCCTATAACTGACATTAAAAGCTAAATAAAAATTGATCCTCTATATTATATGTACTGAAAAGTGGTAATTAACTAGATTTCTTCCCTGTACATGAAATAGCATGTCGAGAAGTAGTAACATATCTTTTCAAGTAAATATTTTATATATGGATACCTGCGTGAAAGTTAATAAAGTTAGTATAATTCAGTAAAATTACTGAACTAAACGTTTAAGTATTATAGCCATGATAGGGGGACTTTGTTGAGATAAATCTAATCAATAAGTATTATCCGTCATCGACTGACATTAGTTGGGGCGCCATTAAAGATCAGGGAACAGGACAGCTATTTCATAGAAGTGTGAGACGCTTAGGCTGTAAACCCTGATAAACTTGCAAGAGATTATACAGAGGACTTTCAAGTCTCACGGCGAGTGATTACTATTAAACCACTGAGTTAGCATATGCAGATACGCACTAGCAAGTTCAACCAATTTACTCCCATTATCAAATGTTGATGATGACCACTACTTCATTCTATTCACCGGTCATGGCTTTACACCAAAACTTCAGGAATTTACCTTGAAGAAAGTTACTAATGAGCACACGATTATACTTTTGAAGGAGAGATTCTGTTAACATGAGTTTAACTAGTTGTTGGTATTTTTGATACGTAGTTTAATGCTGAAAAGACCCACAACAAGACGAAACAGCCATTCAATGTTCCCTAATTTTGAATGGTACTTGCATTGAGATCAATCTGTAACGCATATCCCCTCCTAGAAAACGCAAATATTAATTTTTACAAATAACTAAAAGATCAACTTTATAATAATAGAGAAATATATATTAAGCGTTCGTTTATATATATATACAAAAATCTAGTGAGAATAAATTATTACTAATTTTCAATTATAAGTAGTATTCAAGTGAATTTACATAAGTCATAGCAATTTTAAGTATGTATGACAACTTGAACCAACACCAAGGTTAGAATTTTCAATACAAATGTCAAGACAGTTCTACTGTATGGGGCGGAGACGTGGAGAACTACGAAAGCCATTATCCAGAAGATACAAGTGTTTATTAACAGCTGTCTACGCAAGATACTTCGGATCCGATGGCCAGACACTATCAGCAACAAGTTACTGTGGGAGACAACGAACCAGATTCCAGCGGAGGAAGAAACCAGAAAGAAGCACTGGAAGTGGATTGGGCACACTTTGAGGAAATCACCCAACTGCTTCACAAGACAAGCCCTCACATGGAATCCTGAAGGTCTAAGGAGAAGAGGGAGACCAAAGAACACATTGGGCCGAGAAATGGAAACAGACATGAGAAGAATGAACAAGATTTGGATAGAACTATAAAGGAAGGCTCAGGACAGAGTGGGTTGGAGAATGCTGGTCGGCGGCCTATGCTCCATTGGGAGTAACAGGCAACGAACGAATAGCAACCTGAATCTCAGAGTTGATATTCATTCTGAGACTCGAACCAAGTAACTTACGCTTCAAACGCCATCTTGATATCCATTCAACCACTGAGTCCTGACAGCCACTTTTTATTTAATTTAACCTTCTCCTTTCTTTTCTTTAACAAACTAGCAATATTCATGTTTATCCTTCTATTAAGTAGACAGATTTTAATGGGTATAAAAAACAGCATCAGTTGATCAGTGAACAATAATGAATGTCGTACCTGTTTATTCAATTAGCCAATATCTTGATCCTACAAGAGGTCAGTTGTAACTTAAATAGCTTATTGATAGTTTATAACTGTAAAATAGAATGATAGGAACTAACAGTTCCAAGGAGAAAACTAGTTCCTCCAAGATTTTATAAGGGCCTAGTTGGTAAATGTTAGAACGAAGCTGAAACCTTAAGTTCCCATATCGATTGACGTCGCTCATTTACTATATAAAAAGACAATAAAGTACTGACACCATTATTTGTTTATTAATTACATAATCCCAAGACTGTATCTCCTATATTATTGTTATTAAATAGCTTAAAAGTACATAGGAGTGAAGGGATCATGCAGACAGAAGTATATATATCACAGACGAATAAGAGAGGAGAAAGACAGAGAAAGAGAGATTTATCACAGTTTATGCATTATATTACAAGTATAAAACAAACAGTGGTAATGAATTGATCACCCTCTCAAACGGAGTGATGATGATGATGGTGCAATCACAGTATACACATCATTCATAATTAACCTCAGTTTAACGCATAGATATAGTCAAGAAATCACAGATAACCAGAACAATATTGATCTACTTCTCTTATATTATATATTCATGAAGTCTTCTTGACCAACACTGTAAAATTCAATGAATAATGAACCTTTCATTTTTTGAAATCGTTCAGTTTTTGTATCTCTTCCATAGAGTACTACTTCTTGTTGACAACGATTGGCGATTTCTGCTTCTGTAAAACTATGTCGTCCAAGAAATACATCAAATCCTAATGCATGTTTATCCATTATCTATAATAATAATAAAAACGAAAATATTAGTAATGCTGGCAATATAAAGGTAATGAAATGAACAGGTGGAAAAGGGTGTTAATTCAGCTTGTGTCTTTCACCTTGATATCCTTCTCGTTCATTTTTTGTGTGCACTTTATTGTACTACTAACTAACATTCAGTAACTAATGGCGTTATAGATAATTTACGAGCGAATACCACATTGTATAGTTATATTTTTGTGACATTTATTCCACTTATGATACTAATTATGCGCTTTTAGCAAAGGTCGTTTAAGTCAGTCAGTTAGTCACAACGTAGAACTTCGTACGTACGTACATCAGTTCGAGTTGCCATACCACATTAATACAGAGATGCAGTTATCGATTAAAATCCCATAGTGGTAGAGTTAGTAAAACTATAAGCAGTAATCCAAAAGATTAGGGTTTGAAGATGTTATTCAAAGAGTAGAATCCAGTGAAATAAATTTGAAAAGAGAAAAAAGATAGACACATGAAGAATTCAGATTAGAATTTGGCAAAACACAAACAGTGGATGCAACTTCACCATTGCAAACGATTTTGAGCCATATCGTTCAAGGTCTCTAACCATCGTTTTCCATCATCTAGCGGATCCAAACCAAGTAGTCTACACCTACCAACATGTCTCAGTCCACTTGTCAGTGACTTCATGGATTTGTGACACGTTTTGGTCTGGCCAACCCTAGCTTTCTTCCAACCTACTCCTACACCATAAAACCTTGCACGTCGGGGCAGTCGGTGGTTGGGCATACGTAACACGTGTCCCAGCAAAAGTCCTTTACGTCCCTTATGTGTTTATTCAACAGTTTTTTTGTTTTAGCACATCACTATGCCTATTAATCACATAAACTATTGAGGCGCATTTATAAAAGGTTTACAACCTTTCACTGTACAACTTACAAAAAACCACAATCAGAGACATCGTAGTAGCTGGCAATATGCATTGAGAAGAATGAATATTATTCAGATGCCGATTCCTGAAATCTTAACATTTAACTGGCGATCACTCAATAGTTATCGTCAGGATCAATAAAAAAATAAGGAAAGGAAACTTGTTGAAATACTTTTTACTGAAAATTCTATATTGTAACAAAAATATAATATTGAATATAAGGCCATTCATAACAATAGTAGTTTCGTTCTCTAAGCTGGATGGTTTGGGCGCGAACATACCATCGTTCTTCTGAACAACATCATTAGCACAAACTTCGGATAAAAGTGAAGTATGTGAATTTCTCCACATATGATCAACACCTTGTTGTGTCGACATAGGTCATGATTGATTGGTGTTGACCTATAACCTGTCATTGGTCTGTTAGGAGATATCAACTCACTGAAGACAGTTAGTGAACAGTTGCTCAACTTCGTGGATTGGTTGAAGTTAGTCATTAACACCGTTGGATGTCGGCCGGCTCATTAGTCTATCGGTTAAGTGATCTGGCGCGAGACTGGTAGGTCCTGGGTTCGAATCTCACAAGGCGGGATCGTGGATGCGCATTGCTGAGGAGTCCCATAATATGATGAAACGGCCGTCCAGTGCCTCTAGGTTTTCCATGGTGGTCTAGCTTCAATTGACTCATGATCTCAACTCTATGAAATTACTAAAATCTCCACAAAACCCCTTCTGATAATTTGAAAATTGGAATAGATATTCATTCATTGTCAATTTGATAAAATGTTGAATATTAGACTATACCTTAAGCTTACTTACTTACGCCTGTTACTCCCAATGGAGCATAGGCCGCCGACCATATACCTTAAGCTATCCGATTAAAAATTGAAAGTTTTATTGTGAATTCAAACAAATAACCATTAGATTAGTTCTAAAAGTATACTGCCACTAATGATTATATGAGTAAATATGCACTTTTATAAAAGTATTATAATAACTAACTAATACCACTACTAGTACTCATTAAAATAGTTTCTCAAACTTTTATTCTATTCTACTCATGTCAAAGTAAACATAATGAGCTAATTAAAAGACAATTTTTTAGGTTAATTAGAATATAATGCATGTGACGGTTACAAGAATATATATATCTTACATAGATAGCTTCCAAATGTCGTGGTATGTATGAAATGTCCTTAGATGTATACATGTATATACCCCCTATCAGGGAAGTCCTACTCACTTGGTGTTATTTACGAAGTTGAGAGCTTAAACAAGATTGGCGAGTACTTAGTATCTATCTTGACAACAAACTAATACCAATGGTGAACATAGGGTCCAGGATCCTGAGGAAAAAATGGCATATGAACCTATTGTTGGTCATTAGCTACCATAGGACCACATCTCCTGACTTTACTCCATTGCCTTGTGGATTAGATCTGTAGATCATAGGCTTGGGAAGTGGCTTCCTAAGAAAACCACCTACTTCTGTTTAGGGATTCGGGTAGTATTTCAGTCCACACATAAATTCAATGATTTGTGTGGAACATATATATTTTAGTGACTCTTTATTTATTTATTTATTTAAGCACATAAATATTGGTACGAAGGGGCATCAGATATATATGCGCCACACAAATCTCATTCGATTTGTGTGAGGGCTGTAATACTGCCCTAGTGCCAAAACTGAAGCAGGTGGTTTGCTTAGGGGACCACACCCGGAGCCTTTGACCTAAAGGTCTGATCCACAAGGCAATGGAGCATGGTGAGGAGATGCAGTTTCATGGTAGCCGGTGATCAACGATTGATTCATACGCCATTTGTTCGCTCAGGATACTGGATGCCATGTGCACCATTTGTTTGAAATCAGGGTTTTGCAACTCCCATAGATGAACCCTCCGTGTTCACCAACCCGGTTAAAGCGCCGAACATTCACTTTTCGTCTACTCAATTTTGTAAACAACAGTAATGCCATTGTGAGAAGGCAGTGAGTAGGACTTCCCTAGCAGAGGCTGTACACGCGTGGCCGTGTGAGAGCATTTCGAGAGGGAGGGTGACCCCTCCCCACTCTCAGCCGTACCAGGGCATAATAATAAGATTGATATACAAACTAATCTAAGTCGAAGAGCCACTGAAAACCAGGAGAGAATAGAACAAGTATTACAATTATTCTTACTTGTATTTCAATTGGTTTATTTAATTTACGACGATAAAATAGAAAATATTCATTCCAAACAGGATTATTATTACTTTGTGAAATAGTAGTTTGTACAGTATCATATTCACATTTAATAATACAATATGGTGATGGAGGATTTTTACCATCAGGCCATAAAAGATTCGATGCACTATGAACATGTAAACGTACAGCTTCTTTTGGTTTACCAATGAAAAAATTTAAAAAACCATTTTGTGGAATATCTAAAGTAAATTCCCTGTAGTAAAATAATAATAAAAAAGATATATACATAGAGTGTCATATACATATATAAACATGATACATTTAGAAACAAGAAAAGTATTCAGGTAAAGTTTTGTTCTCTGAGTAGGACGGTTTGGTCGTGAAGTTTTCATTGTTTTTCTGAACAACAATCATCAGCATAGACTTCAGGTAGAAGAACGATCAAATGATTTAGCCTAGAGAACATAACTCTGATCAAATCATCCACCTGAGCTACAAATCTTCTTTATCATCTCAAGTAGTTACTTAAGATCTTTAAAAATAGACGATATTCTCAGGTCATTAATAGCTGATCATAGACATCTTTAAAATAAACGTGTATCGAAACTATCGAGTGAGCATTGATGAGGCTAGATGTAAGATAATAGGAAAATATGACAAACTAGTTTTCACTATTTATGAGAAAGACTTACGTTATAATTCAACGGTGTGAGCATAAAGGAAAGTGAAAGGCAGCTCTAACTAACTAACTAACTGGATAATGTTAATTTACTCTAATATTACAAAACATAGTAATAACAAGCACAATAAATAATCGATATCCCAAGTGAAAGATTGTATACACAATTGCGAATCATACCATGTACAAGATAGTGAGAGGTAGAGGGTTTGAACCTAGAACTAACTAGTTTAAAGTCGAATGTTATATTAATAGATTTCTACAAGTGGATTACATAGATAATAGATCAGAAGGGATTTTTGTGGATACTTCAACTTCGTGGATCAGTTGAAGATAGACATTAACACCGTTGGATACCAGCCGGCTCAGTGGTCTATCGGTTAAGTAAGTCGTGGGTTCGAATCTCGCGGATGTGGGATCGTGGATGCGCACTGCTGAGGAGTCCCATAATAGGACGAAACGGCCGTCCAGTGCTTCCAGGTTTTCGATGGTGGTCTAGCTTCAATCGACTCATGATTTCAACTATGAAAAAACATAGATAATAGTCAGTTTGTTGGTTAATGATAATGTAACACTTGACATGAAAATATACACCAGCCAAATATATCATTCAAAATGAGCAACTAACAACGCAGAATGACCAGCACCAATTAAAACTAACTTCGATAATTACAGACATGTAAAAAGTACATAGTTACAATTTTAAATATCTCTACCCTACAAGATAGCCGCTTAAAAGTGTACTGCTTTCCATGTGAACTGCATATCTGAATAGAAAAATTCACCAAGCATATATTATACAACTTAGAGGACTATATACAGAATTAACAACAACAAAAAAAGAAACACACAGTGAAAATGGAAAAGAAAAATTGTCACCTGCTTTCTGAACGTTTCGGTAAATATAATCTTAATAAATAAGCGGCTGTAGATAATGGTTGTTCCATGAATGGAACTACTAAATATCGACCAACAGTTAAACGTGCACGAATAAGACAAACTCGATAAGGTCGAGATGGTTCCACATGAATTACTTGACAGAATGCTAATGTATGAGATTTTACAGGACGATTATTTTCAATCTAGAAAGAATATAAAGTTAATAGATACATCAATCTATCTAATAATAAATAATTTTCAATCGATTGATCACTGGGTGGTGATCAATGTCATGCGTGTCGAGTCCTTCTTAGTGCTGATCGATCAAGTTGCAATGTGGCCACCAGTTTAGGTGGCTCGACACTGCGTGCACTATGTTAAGATAAGATGGTGGTTGGAGGTGGTCAACAGGAAACCCTGGACCCGAGTTTCGTGCTACTTGACACTCGTCAGCAAGGAGTACCTGTAATCTTGAGGGAACTGGTGCTCCCTGACGGACTCGATCCCACATCACCCAGCTTCACAGTCTGAGACGTTACCACTGAGCTATTCGGGCCGAGACCGACCACCTGTGGGACTGAGATGTAATCACAATCGATTGATCACTAGGTGGTGATCAATGTCATGCCTATCGAGTCCTTCTTAGTGCTGATCAAATGCTATGAGTCAATAATTTAATTAGTATACAAAATTGTCAACTTCATAAATATGGATATAATTTGAAAATCTATATAAACAACCAAAGAAAAAGAAAAATTATTGCAAGCAATTATCAAAAACTGTGTTACATTACTCTATCAGCATTACACTTATTTTAATCTACATAGTTCATATATATTAACACTACATTAGTAATATGAGGCATGTTTATTGAAACTGTTGATGAACAAGAAGGATCTGATGAAGAGGTAAAACAAGGACCACATACCTATAATTGAAGAACATATGGAACTCAAAACAACTGTCAACTAATTTCAAAATGAGAATCTTCAATACGAACGTCAAGATAGTCCTACTGTATTGAGCTGAAACGTGGAGAACTACTAAATCCATCGTCAAGAAGGTACAAGTATTTATAAACAGTTGTTTACACAAAATACTCAACATTCACTGGCCGGATACCATCAGCAAACAGCGTTTTATGGGAGAGGACAAACCAGATTCCAGATGAAGAGGAAATTAGGAAAAGACGTTGGAAGTGGATCGGACACACATTAAGGAAATCACCAAACTGCATCACGAGGCAATCCCTAAGATGGAATCCTGAAGGGAAGTGGAAAAGAGGAAGACGAAAGAACACATAACGCCGGGAAATAGAAGCAGATATGAAAAGGATGAATGTTAACTGGAGAGAACTGGAAAAAACTACCAAGGACAGGGTTGGATGGAGAATGCTGGTGTGCAGCCTATTCTCCTCCACGAGGGGCAACAGGCCTAAGTAAGTAAGTTATACAAGATGACAAAATGAAAGATTAAAGTTCTTGATATGATAATTATTTCGTTCTCTGGTATGGAAATCGGTTAGAAGTGTGCATTGACGACTTGGCCAAAGATCCAATTTATTAATTCTAGGCTCTGTAATGAACACTTGATTTTTAGATCACTGGACCGAGATTTATTTATTCAAAACTCTACATTAAGTAAGCAATACGAATGGTTTGTGAGGGTCAAATCATTACTGTTTCCCAGTGAACAGCAAAAAAGGTATTACTTGTGTAAATCAATGAACAAATGTAGAAATATAGGGAGAATGGAAATTATGAACTCCGAAATGGATTTCAGTCATGAAACCATAAGGCAGGATCGTTTGACACAAAGTCGGTTCACATATACATCAGAAATAATCTCAGTTAACTTAAAAGTTCGGTTATTGAATAATATATGACTGGAAGTGGAAATCGGGACCAATAGGTCTCACATTAAACGTCACCCCATATAATTCTTTTGAGTAACTCAGTAACATCTCTAGCCTTCATACAAAAATATGTGACTCGAAACTGAGCATATAAAACCGTCCATAAGAAAATAAAAATTTCACTATGAGACCTGAAGGCTAAAGGTTCAAGCACTGGTGAGGTATTACGAATAAACACCATTGAGGATTCTCAAGATGAAGTAAAACAACTTTCCAGCTCCATTTATCTTTGAATGATTCTCCAGGTTAGGATCTGACAATTAATGTTGAATGTTAAATGCAATGGTAAATTACTAAACAAAAAAGTAATAATCATGTTGATTCGCACAAAGATTTCTTACCTTGAATAGACCTAAACCAATAGATAATGGATTTAAATCAGGTTCTATGACCATAGTTAGTGGATCACGATTATATTTGCGTACAAGAGATAGTAGAACTTCATCAGAATCATTCATTATATCGAAATAATACTGAAAATAATTTGAAAATTGATATTTACAGCCATGATTAAAAAGAATCAACATTTAACTTGGAGTAAAGTTTTAAAACAAGATTCAAACTATTGCACTGGTGTCACCCGACCGTTGCTGCTACCTTGACCTGGTGGTCGGGCTTGCCTATCGTGATGAACCGATCGAGCTATACTGGCTAAAACAATCGTTCCTCAAGGTCCTACCATGCCAGACAGGTCAGTTGAAAAGCGGTAAGACTTAATGCAGCAAACCCAAGGTCCGAAGTAGAAGTCGTACTGCTGACTGTACAGAGGTGTGACAGCAGTAAGGTATTTCCTTCAGACAACCAGCATAACAGCGATGCTGCCTTCCCACAAGGAGGGGTGGGTTAAAAACGGTCGACGACCCAAAAAATGCACACCTCGCCTTATCCCACGGATATCCGTCTCCGACGGTAAGGTCCCAACAAGTACGGAGCTAACACAAAAATTACCCACAAAAAGGTCGTGTGTGACCGATCTCAAACAGTTGTCCCTTGGGCACTGCGGTCACGCTCTCAAGTCATTAAGACCACTTCTAACCCAATTTCCTTTTCAGGTACCTCTAGAAGAACCACTCCACGGTGTGGGCAACCGGAAAGTGATAACTGCCCTCATAGCTCTAACATCACTCAAGACCACTGTATTCATAATCAATCTCCTTCTTCACTTCCCGACTGACTGATGTCCTCATAGCTAAATATTTAGTAATAATTGTTAAGAAATGTAGGATTATGACCTTATCAGAGCTTATATTATAATATCTGTGAACAAAGAGTCGAGCAGTTATAGATAGAATAGTTCTAAAGTAAGTAATTAACAAATCTAGAAGAAATTTCATGAAAAAAAGAAACGAAAGAAGTACCTCGAAGTTTAAGGTAACCATTAGTGAACTTTTAAAAATTACAAAACCATGAAACAAGGGTTCCCGTTAACTATTAAGATGAGCGACTTGATATAGGAGTTTCCATGAGACTGAAAATATCTACATATAAAACTGTTTCAACCCTAGAAAAGTTAAACTTGGATTTATTAAATGAAGCAAGTGAATTATCCAATGGTATAAGTAGTCAGTAAGCAAACTTTAGGTCATTCAGTCAGCTACAACATAGGACCAGGCACATGTATGCATCGGTCGAAGTTACCATACCTCATTACCACAAGATGAATACCAAATTCATAGAAGCAGTTACTTCAATGGTAGTAAAAAAGATTTCATACAAGGATATGATACAGGGAGAAAGAATTAGTTCGTAGAAGGAAAGGTATAAAGTAATTTCAATAACAAGGTTCAAGGGAAGACAAAGAATGTATACACTTATGCCATTGTGATCGATTATGAGCCATGTCACTTAGAGTCTCCAACTATTGGTTACGATGCTCGCGCGGAACCTAGCAAGGTAGTCTGCATCTACCAACATGAATCAGATCAAAAGTTAAGGACTTCAAGGACTGATGCCACATTTTGGTTTGGCCGCCCCTAACTTTCGCCCAACCGTCTCCAACAATAGTCAGCATTGCGCACCGTAGTAATCGGTATTCAGGCATACGTAACACGTGGCCCAACCATCTCAGTCGATGTAGATTCACAACCTCATTAACTGACTTACTATCATTCCCTAATACCTTGCGTCAAATGTCGAAATTATTGATCAATGTTACTACAGTCAGTCAATATAATACAGCAATGTAAACTCATTAAGTCAGTGCTTTTTGTTTCAATTTTAGAGTAAAATGCAGTCTCAGTAACTGAATTTAGAAGGTTAAAATCCTGTTCTACTGATTTCTGTTTCTCTAATCAGGCTAGTATTATTAACCTTTTACACAAACGATGTAAATTTGAACTTCGAAAACAAATTACATAAATAAGAATGATTATAAATACGTACAATACATTTATCATACATTCTTAACACAATATCCTTATAGTATTAATTAACAATAGAAGAAAGTCTGTCAGTTAGTCAATTATTATCTAATCAACGTAAGGTATCAGAATACAAGATGACGGAGCATATTTGTAGCTCAGGATGACGATGTTGGAAGTGTCTTGTTCTCGGAACTGAACGGCTTATTTGGGAAGCTTTCATTATCTTTCTAGACAACACTACCATCAAAACATAATCCAACAAACAGATTGTTCTGTTGATATGGAATATGAATGACTTTTGTTCATGTTAAAATCGATCCAATCTACCAGCCAATCAGAAAAAGGATATATAAGTGCAAGGTCAGAGGTTAGTTAAAACGAGAAGACAAGGAAAACACCGTCAGTCGATTATGGCTCACTTATTATTGAAGTGTGCGCTGATGAAGTTATCTCGAAAGATAATCAAAGCTTCAAGAATAAAACGATAAGTTCAAAGAACAAAACACTTCCAATAAACAAATATTTTCATACTAATTTAATACTATCCATTTCTTTTTACATAATATCTTTTAGTGTACTGAAGTGCAATGAGTCATATATTTAATCGTGTACTTTTTTGAGTAAGTTTAAATCCGGATATAGAGTTTTCTACTACAGTCTTTCTCATTTTCTCCCCCATGGACATCAGAATAAGGAAGTAAATAGTCAATCCGATAGTGTGCGCATAGCCAATTACTAGTCAACAAGTAGGATAGTTATGTCCACAAGGTCAATTTATCAACAATCAAACTCACATATTACAGTCTGAAGGTCATGTACAAAGTGGCCTAGCATATCAAGGACATCAACTAATTTCGAGACAAATCTCTCTGAAAATCAACCTAGCTAGCATAGCTAGTTTATAACCACTGGTCAAGACAATTTTGCGAGTCCGAACCAGATAGTCTGCATCTACCAATACAGTTTAGTTCAAAAATTAGTGAATTCATGAGCTGATAAATCTGGAGGTATAAACTTATTATTGAATTGTTTATTTATTATTTATTTAACCACATAAATATTGGTACACAGGAAGCACCAGATACATATGAGCCACACAAATCTCATTTGATTTGTGTGAGGGCTATGATACTACCCAGCTGCCTAAACTGAAGGAGGTGATTTTCTTAGGGGGCCACACCCCGAGCCTTTGACCTAGAGGTCTGATCCACAAGACAGTGGAGCATCGTAAGGAGATGCAGTACCATGGTAGCCGGTGACTAACGATTGATTCATACACCATTTGTTCGCTCAGGATACTGGAGCCAGCCCATGTGCACCATTGGTTTGAAATCAGGGTTTTCCAACTCCCCTAGGTGGACCCTCCATGTTCACCAACCCGGTTAAAGCACCGGATATTCGCTTTTCGTCCTCTCAATTTCGTAAACAACAGTAATGCCATTGTGAGAAGGCAGTGAGTAGGACTTCTTTGGCAGAGGCTATATACGAGTGTCCATGGGAGAGCGGACTCTCCTCACTCTCGTCCGTACTAGGGCATTTGGGGACTATTATTGAACTGACGATGCACTATATTCAGTCGATACTTGAGAGTGAATTATCAACTTTAAACAGTTAATAAATGTTTTCTTTTAATCAACTCACTTGAGGATTATGTAGAAATGTATTACGATATTGTAAATTGCCACCAGTTTGATGACCACACCAAGCACCATGATGTTCACATAAACGCCATGTTATATGTCCAGGTAAACTAACAATACTAGTATCTGGAAAACGACATATTAACACACCAGACATATGTTGTAATATAAATTCAAGTGGTATCCAAAATTCAGTTTCTGAATCAAAAGTTAAACTTAATCGTTTACGTGCCTCTAAATTTATTTCTTCCCATTCCTAAGAAAAAAAAAAGAAATGATACATAAATAAAAACTGAAAAATCAATTTATTTGTGGCAAATAAGATCACTTATCCGAATACCGAACCTATATTATTGATTAGTACTGGAGATGCACACCATTTTGTGTATGAGTTAATGATATTGCAGTATGAGCTACTTATATCGACATAAGTAGTATATATGGTGAGTAAGGAATAGAATATCTGAAGAGCAGAAGATTGAGAAGATCAAGAAGAGAAATAAAAAGCAATATGTGTGGAAATCCAGGAACAATGAAACCTGAGACAATTGAAGAACATTTTGCAAATAGATTATCATAGTATGGTTTTTGTATTTTACAAAGTAACGTTGTAATTTGTAATGAATACGTAGATTATTGTCCTCACCTGTATGCTCATTCACAACAACACTACTTAAATCTTCAAAATTAAAGTAGATATGAGTAGAGTTTAGATTTGCTAATGAGTGGTACAATATTTCAATGTTTGAATCAATAAGCTACCATCATTACATAGACAGAAAACTTGTGTTGATATATAACACGATTGAACATTCAGCTAGTGTTGAATTAAGACAATACAATGTGTGTTGTTATTTTGAAGTGATGTCTCGAGAAAATTAAACTACAATCTACCACCTATTTTATACTGGTTAAGCAAACTTTATATAAAGTTTGAAAATAAACTTATTATTTAGATCGATATCTAAAAACAAAGTAATCATACGGGCATCCAGGACAAACAGATCTCAGCTGGGGCATCATTAAGAATCAGGAGATACTGAATAGCTGTTTCGTGCTAGCATGGAGATCTTCAGAAGCGAACACTTCCGGTCCCACAGGGGATCGAACCTAGAACCGTTAGGTCTCATAATGAAAGCCAAACCGCCAGAACTATTGGAAGTTGGATTCAATTGCCCTATTAAAACTTTAGTACAACGTTTAGAGGTGGAATCCAAAAACAAAATGACCTTGCTTCGGACATGAAAATCAACATGGTGAATTGAATCGGAGAGTAGGAAAATTTTTAAAGTAACAGAAGAACTTTAGGTTAATTGCTTTCATCCATATTAATGAAATGGCACGAAATACTCAGATATTTATTAATTACCCAGCTATGATGCATTTTTTGTTCGACTGAGCTTGCAGTATCACATAATTCAGCGATGACTTGGTGATTAAAGCATTTATGTTTGTATATATCTGTTATTTCGTTAAGGAATGTGTTATATCCCCTGGTGAATTATGAATCGTAAATCTGAGGTCTATTATCGACCAATGTATTATGACTATTTCTTATTGTACAGTTGTTACGTAACTAAATTATTCATATTCGTGTTTTCTATTATTTTGATCTTTGATTTATGATCATACGATTCTTGAGTTATAATCAGTTTATTGATTACTTTGGTTTGTATAAAAACCCAGTATGCTTGTAAATAATGATTCATATTTCCGAGGCTGTTATTTGTGTTCTGGACTCAACTGGCTGGGCTAGGCAGTTAGGAAGGACCGAATAGCAATCAAGACTGCTCGTACGTATTTTCTGTATCATTGCACGTTTCATATACAATAACGATTGTTATACGAGACATAACAATTGGCGACGGGGATTCTGGAAAAAAATACAGCAACCCAATACTGTTCGTACTATTTCAAGTATCATTTGCATTCGATCAGTAAAATCCACTCCTCTCTAATTGCACGTTCATATATATTACGAGTCCATACGATATAACAACTGACGACGGGGTAAAAAAAATGGCTTTAACTTCCGATCAATTTCAGTTGCTAATTCAGAGACAAGAGCAGCGTTTTAAAAAGAGTCAGTTGGATTTCATTGACAAGTTACACGCGACGCTGCTGAATCACCCATGCTTTGGGGGTGCAACGGAAGTTGACGCATTGATTTCTAAATTGCGTACAGAACTGGAAGTCGATAACAGAACAAATGAATATGCAGAGGAAAGCCTCTATGAATCCGCGAAAAACAGTAATTTAGATGCAGCAGTAACAGTCCTACATGATCAGCCCAGTAGTCCGGTGCTGCCTGTTTCAGAGACATGCCCTATACACGGTCCAAGTCCTATTAACCCCGAAAACGGACGTGCAAACAGTGGATCAACCTGTTTACAGAAAGACAATGTTTTGCTGAATGCTCATGGAATTACTGTAGTACCCGCCCACGAAGAAACGGGGAACAAATCGGGCAGTATATTGAATACAGTGGCGCCAAATCAAACCAGTCATGATGCAAAAAAGTTTTTTTATGAATCTAGTGATCAAGATTATTTAATTGTTCTGCCAGATCCCGATTATTTTGCTGATTCATATGTTCCAGTTCAAATCTCTTATAAAAATGGGAGAAAAATATCGGATGCATTAAATGATAATCAAGAATCCAATACAACTTTCATAGATACTGATTATCCTAATGATTCATTATTTACTAATGAGGTTCCGAGTAAATTCAAGGAAACTGTTTCAGAAGAATCAGACGCTGGTGACCTCAAATCGAATGTCGTCGATCCTCACGATCTAATAAGTTCTCGTGGATTTTCAGTTAAATACGACGAATATGTTTTAAATAATGTCACAATAATGGGAACTTGGGTACATGAGGATCCAACAGTCTTTCGTGGGGGAGGATGAATTCGAGAAATTTAAAATCCGGATGTCGACTCCGGATTTCTCAAAAAGGGGAGGTGTTATATCCCCTGGTGAATTATGAATCGTAAATCTGAGGTCTATTATCGACCAATGTATTATGACTATTTCTTATTGTACAGTTGTTACGTAACTAAATTATTCATATTCGTGTTTTCTATTATTTTGATCTTTGATTTATGATCATACGATTCTTGAGTTATAATCAGTTTATTGATTACTTTGGTTTGTATAAAAACCCAGTATGCTTGTAAATAATGATTCATATTTCCGAGGCTGTTATTTGTGTTCTGGACTCAACTGGCTGGGCTAGGCAGTTAGGAAGGACCGAATAGCAATCAAGACTGCTCGTACGTATTTTCTGTATCATTGCACGTTTCATATACAATAACGATTGTTATACGAGACATAACAGAATGCTGCATTTGTTGTTAAAAGAACCTATGAAAATGGTAACTTAGTGAAAAGCTTTACTGAAAGAAATCCAATGTTCAGTAGATAAGTTACGAAAAAATGAACTTTACATCACACACAGCCAATCATTGTACTGAAAAAAATAATCAAAATTAATGAACGATTAGAACAAAATAAGTGAACGTACACTGGATGATGAACTGTAAGCTCCTTTCCATTCACCTTGACCAGAACCACTATCGATTACACTCAGAGGACAACGTAAACGCATTAAACGAGCTTGTATAGGACAATCACCAGCACGTCTAAACATATCTTTAAATGCTCCAAAAACGCTAATATCTTTCGGAACTGCACAAACTCTTGTTAATAAATAGCCATAATTTAGATAAAGTCCAGATTCTTTATTAAGCACATGATCATGAAGATTAGGAGCCCCAAAGATATGAGGCGATGTTTCAGAATCACCCTCCTGTTGTTCACTGTCCTCCTATAGCAAAAACAACATTCGAAAATAATTCAAACATGTTTAAATCACATTGAAGTCATGAACCGATTTAAGCTAGACCACCATGGAAATTCTGGAAACACTGGGTCTCCGTTTCATCCTAGTTCGAGACTCAGCAGTGCCCATCTACAATTCCGCACTACTGAGGAGTAATATAGTAGGATGTAACGGCCGTCCACTGCTTCCACGTCTTCATAGGTAGTCTAACTTAGATCGGTTCACGAGTTCAATGGAATTCAACAATTTCCACAACCTAATACTGAAAATGCTTAAACTGGCTGGAAGATGCTCGGAAAGCGGAAATGCTGGACAGGAATTTACTTGGTGGGGGACTTCAATAAGTTGTATCGCTTATGTAAACAGTCAATCTCAGGAATGTCAGAATCAAAAAAGAAATGATAGACTGATACTGATGATTTCCAACAATTAATAAACGATTACCAGATTATGCTTATAATTAATGTATTTTCTAACATTAACAACTCTTTATCTAAATAGGACTTTACTGATGTTTCTAAAACAACTAAATTGCCTCAGAGGAAATTGAAAAGGTTAGATTTTTCACTGAATTATAGCAGTTTCTATACAGATCGTTTTCTTGAAATAAATCTCATCACTATTAACATCTGAATAGTCTCCCCGTCTAAAATTATCATCTAATTCTCCAGAAAGATCTGTTTCTGCATATTAATTAGTTAGTGGTACGATATCAGCGGTGAATGACTTTACTTTGGCAAGTGGAAAGATAGGTTTTCCATCGGAATTTATTCTACTACTTTGCAAATGAGATAATTAAGCCAAAGACCAAGGAGTGGGAAACAACCATTTCACTTTGGACAGTATCACAGCCCTCATATGAAGAAAATTGCAAAATAAAGTAACTCACTCATTTTATAACTTACTCATGCCGATTTAATAACAATATGGACTACAACAGTGAATAGTAACCGTTACTATTTACAATGTTAATACACTACAGACTGAACTATCCAATCCCTGTTGTTATGTGGAATTCTTAAACAAATGCCTTAATATTACTTTTGGAAGCATAATACAGAATTTCCATTACGTCTCATTATTTATCTGTACATGCATCCTCGTTCAGTGTTCACATATTAACTCTAACCCGATACCCATCGCTTCAAACGTTAAAAAGCGTTATCCACAGAACTAAAAGGTCAAGACAGACACTGTCTGTTTAACATGTAAAATACATATATTACTAGTCGTGAGAATAGTAACATTGGAGTGTTTGTATAACCAGCTGTCAAGTTCCATGATTGGAACTAAATTAAACTTGCAAAATTAGGCAATATTGTGATATCCGTGCTTAAGGAGGCCATCTATCAAAAGCGAATACTTATTCCAGTCTACAAACACAACAACAGGAAAATACATATCTTCAGAACTAGTAATATACACTATAATCATTGAACAAGTGACGACTATCATAACTTAGAAGATTAAAGGAGTAGAAATAACACAAATACATTTACCCGAGTCCTAGATTTAATCCTAAATTCCATTACTAACCACTACACAAAATATCATTGATTGTAAAATGGGATTTTCCAGCCAGATGTACCTGCTGATGTTCACATCAGGACTCGAATCCAACACCTTTCGATTCAAACATACAACATGATATTCGCTGATCTACTAAATCTAGATAGACGACTTGGAATATTCCACTAGCCATAATTCATCTATTCTATGAAAAATATGAATGTTTCATTAACATTCAATCAAAATTTTAAGGAGAAATTTGTTACTGCATTCCCCCCTCCCAACCATCTACACACAAACTGATAGATTGAACTAAACAAACAGTTAATGAAATAATTATAAAACATCTCATTATGTAACTAACTTTTGTACAAAATATTACAATACATTCATCAATTAAATCTTTCTCCATTTGTTCAAAGAATAAAACTTGTTTCATAGCTGGTGCAGAATATAAATTTTGTAAACTAATTGATTCAGTCACACCGCCAGTCAAATCCATCATGGCTTCTTCCAGTCGAACATACTCCAATTTATCATAGCCACCTAATAATCTAAAATATATTAAACATTTCCAATGAAGAGGAAGTAGGAAAAAAAATAAAAAGGAATAATATGACTTAGAAATAGGCATTAGAGTTTATTTAGTTCATATATGTAACTGTAACACAAATCAATATTCTTCAAAATGTAAAAAGGGAATTATTAACCACATGATTTTGAGTAAAAAGCTTACCGGTTAACGGACAATCTACTTGTATGGTATTTTGTACAAGTTGAATGAAGATAATTATCATAAACAATTATTTCTGATGATTTGAAGACTAGTGAAAATCTTCTTGGTCGGTAAAAACAGTAACTATGAGCTTAACAAAAAGGCTTTTTGTTAGTCTATTGAGTAAGTGAATCTAACAACCATTCAACAATAAAGACTTAATGGTCATATTAAAGGAATCTGTACAAGATGTATTTATACCAACTAAGACTGGTCAAAATTCAGCCCCTAATATCAACAGCAGGAAGACTCGGAACACTTACTAATAATTATATAAACCTTATACCCGTTGATTAAGTTAATAACTATTCGGACTCAGTAATCCAGTGGCTAATGCGCCGGGCGTTTGAAGAGGAAGGTACTGGGTTTGAATCCCGATGTAAACAATGAAAACTGGGATAGATAACCCAAATAGAGCCAAATGCGCTCTTTGGATTTCATTATCAGTCACAATCCATCTATTCAATAAAGATAAAAGGTTACGATCAGAGGATTTCTTTTTTTTATTATGAAGAAAATTAGTTAGAAAGTAGTAGCATATTGGTTAAAATACTGATATTATGATAAACCGCTTTGACGAGTGATGAGGACCTCATGATACAGAGATTTCGCTCATGAGCTGTCATTCTGGAAACTATTAATCAGTACTTTTCCTATCTAATTGCTTTTCTATATTGTATATATTTACGTTGAGGTTTAATTTCGGACCTCAATGACTGTCCGACTGACATCATTTTCCGATGTGAATCTACTATCCGTCATTTGATTATATGAAGCCTAAACCATTCCAAGTCAGTCAGTCACAACGTAGAACTTCGTACGTACGTACATCAGTTCCAGTTGCCATACCACATTAATACAGAGATGCAGTTGTCGATTAAAATCCCATAGTGGTAGAGGTAGTAAAACTATAAGCAGTAATCCAAAAGATTAGGGTTTGAAGATGTTATTCAAAGAGTAGAATCCAGTGAAATAAATTTGAAAAGAGAAAAAAGATAGACACATGAAGAATTCAGAAGATTAGAATTTGGCACAACACAAACAGCGGATGCAACTTCACCATTGCAAACGATTTTGAGCCATATCATTCAAGGTCTCTAACCATCGTTTTCCATCATCTAGCGGATCCAAACCAAGTAGTCTACACCTACCAACATGTCTCAGTCCACTTGTCAGTGACTTCATGGATTTGTGACACGTTTTGGTCTGGCCAACCCTAGCTTTCTTCCAACCTACTCCTACATCATAAAACCTTGCACGTCGGGGCAGTCGGTGGCTGAGCATACATAACACGTCCCAGTTTCACTAATTCATCAATCGATTTGCTATTCTTACCTAGTACTCAAAAGTACGCGAAAGCTAGACGAGCCCTCTGTATCTGTGCTGAGGTTTCGTCACACACCAGACCACAAGGGCTGATGAGACTTTCAAGATACGTGGAGCGGTCAACAAGCTCAACTACTTTACTCCCTATCATTAGTTCAGGTGCCGATGCGACCCAATCCTGAAGTAACGTTTTGCATCTTGAGGGGGAGAATCGCATCTCGAAAATACCTGCATTTTTGCTTATAGTGGTCAGAAGACTGAATTTTGTCAGCGTCTTCATGAAATAGAACTATGTCATCGGCGTATTCTAAGTTAACAAGTGAGTTTACTGGTGGAAGTTCATCACCTCTAAATGTGGATGAGGAAAGTGTTATTTCTAAAAGCCCGTCTACGATAAAGTTAAACAAGAATGGAGATAGTGGACAGCCATGACGAACACCACTTGAAGTAACCAATTCTGATGACAGTTCGCCATAGGCTCTAACTCGACCAGTTGTGTCCGAGTATAGAGCTTGTATAAGGTTCATGTACTTCTTTGGTACTCCTTTCAGTAACAAACACTGCCATAGAACCTCACAATCAACGGAGTCAAATGCCGCCTTAAGGTCGAGAAATACTACTATTGTAGGGCGTCTGAATGTGTGTCTATGTTCTAGGACCTGACGTAGGGTGAATATCTGGTCTACACAACTACGTTTAGGTCAAAAACTAGTCTGGTTTTATCTAGTCCGCTCTTCACGAGCTTTCGTTAGGCGTCAAAGTATTGGTGAAGCTAATATTTTAGACACTATATTAGTCAAACTGATTCCTCTGTGACTGTGATTTTTATAGACTGGCACAATCAGTGATTGGGACCAGTCGGATGGAATTAAGTCTAGTTCCCAGATTCTACCTAAGACTTTAGTCAATCTCACAGCTAGTACTGAACCACCATCCTTAAAAATCTCAGGAGTAAACCTGTTAGGGCCTGCTGCTCTCCCTCACTTCAGATTTCCTATAGCTTTTTCAAATTCGTAAAGAGTTGGTGGACCTACATTACCTTGCTGTTCAGGTCGACTGGGGATCGAGGGAAACCGAAGTGTGGCTGGCTAGTTGAACTGGTCTGTAAAGTGTTCTGCCCATCGATCCAATCTCCTGGATTGAGAATGAATAACATGTCCATCTTTTTCCGAGATAGTTTCGCTGACAGTTGGGTTTGTAATGCCGGTTTCTTTAACAAGTCTGAACAGTTGTCTGCCGTTGCATATTGCCACTGCCTTTTACATCTCTCTTGCTTTCGCTATCCACCACTGTTCGCGATCATTGCGTAGGCTTCTTGTTAGCCTGGGCTTAAGCTGACTCCGCTCTTCGTTATGTTCAAAACCAGATGGGCTGAGTTTTCGAGCATCTATCAGTGAGGCAGATGCTTTTGAGATCCAGTGTTTCTCCCTAACTTTATGGTTTACCATACTAGCAGATACCACTGCTGTTTCCATAGCTTTTTGGATGTCATTTCACGTTGCCTCGGGGTGGGCACAACTTACATGGCTGCCTAACTGTTTCTCTAGTTGTTCCTGAAATATATTCTTAGCTTGCCTATCATTAAGTAGAACCCTAAGAGGTTTATTTGCAGCTTCTTTCCTACATCGATTCCAATGACATGGTATGTTTTATCATAGAACAAGATAAGAAGCATAAATTAGTGGACGTAAATAAACGAGTTGGAATTCAAATTGTTATTTTTAGTATTCGAAATAGAATAGAGACTTTTTAGGTGGAAGTGAAACAGTAAATAGAAGAATGAAATAACTAAAAGGCTGAAATTAAAAGGTGTTTCATGAGACTATTATACTGAAACTAAACCTCAACCTCATAAAAAGACTTATTTAACTGCATTAGATAACCAGTGGATGTGTTAATGACACTATCCAGCTGCCCAGACCGAAATGGTCGAAGCGGGGTTTGAACTTACAACCTGCTGCTTGAAAGCTGATTCCTTTAACCACCAAACTACCACTGGCTTGATGATTATAAGCAAACAGCAAAGTTTTTATCAACGTTAGACCAATGGTAGCAAACATCAATGTTCCGACCCCATTAGCTTCTGAAGAAAACAATAACGGTTTTTAAAGGCGATAAAAGGCATTGTGAACACTTACTTAGCATAGGCTTTTTCTAATAAAGCCGGCCAAAACTCCTTGGCACTGGAAGATGACAAAGATATACACTTTCCTTCATAACACGGTAACATATCATCAATTGTTACTTCAAAATACATGCCTTCTTGCCAAAATCGAAAACGAAAAATCCCCGGATGTTCATTAACATGTTTTACATCCCATTCTTGAGATTTTATATCGACGAGTACCTACAATTATAAAATTTCATACATTAATTATTAATTCGACTTACTTTTGCCCAGTACTTCGCCTTGTATTTCAAACCAGTGAATGCGAGGAGAATATTGAAATTTTTCACAAAGCCTCTTTTTAAACTAAAATATGATTCATTTCGACTGAAACATGGATCAGAGACAATTTCGGAAGGTCGCAAGTAACTTAAAGGACCAGAGGGTATATTAAGACATTGCAAATTCATTGATTCTGGTGGGAATTCATCGTCAACAAACTTAACTCCTCTGGTTAATTGCTCCTTTTTTAAAGTAGAATAGTCTTGATTTCTAAACTTGACGAAACTTGTTAATGACATGCTTAGTTATTAACTACACCACAAGTAGTTTTATTCGGGGCAACATAAAGTGTCTGAATAAGAATTTTATTAATTTCGACGACTTTTATGAAATCGTCTGTATTCAAATAAGTGTTCTATAAACAATAAAAAATGCATAACAAAAAAGATGTTGGAATGCACATGAATTTAAATACACTTAAAGATTATTTCTTTAGCATTTCCCTGTTTCGCTTCATCTGTTTTAGTAAAATCTCATATTTACATCAAACGCGACTTGACTGTTCGCTAATTTTATTCTAGACAACTTGTATTACTATTATTGACTAACTAACCAGTCAGTCATATAAAACTCAGAAGCCTACTATGCATAGGTTTAAGTACTGAGCGCTTGTGACATTGCATCAAGAGAAATCAGCAAGACAAAGCAGAGAAGAGAGAGTATCATTACTTTAGTGAAACTTAACATACTAAAATTAGTTTAAAGGAAGAAATTAGGATCAAAGTATGAATTAATACTAAACTCATTACGTAGGGGAAGATAAGAAATAAATTCAAATTGTCACCATTGTGATCGTTTTTGGGCAATCGCTTAACATCTCTATAGATAAATTGGAAACGTTGACTGAAGACCAAACTGAAATTTTATGCCTGCTGACTTTACTCAGTTTAAAAGTCAATAACTCTATGAACTGATGATGTGATCGTGCGACCATCCGTAGTTTTCTTCTAACTTATCATTACGGCAACCAACATTAAATCTCGCTGCAGGTGGTGGTTAAGCACGCATAACATATTTTCCAACCACCGCAGTTAATGAGGCGTCATCAGTCAGCTTTTCAAAAGAACACTTTCACACAAACCAGATTCCTGGTAAGTTACTTCACACCCTGTCTTGGTTTCATCGTACTGATATTTTTCCAGACTAACATGGAGACTCGATATGTGTAATCTATGCCCCCAGATGCCCTGGTACGGCCGAGAGTGGGGAGAGTCTACTCTCCCTCTCGAAATGCTCTCACATGGCCAGCGAATATATAGCCTCTGACAGGGAAGTCCTACTCACTGCCTTCTCGTCGCGGGGGTGTTGTTCACAAAAGTGAGAGGACGAAAAGCGAATGTCCGGCGCTTTAACCGGGTTGGTGGATGTGGAGGATCCACCTAGGGGAGTTGGAAAACCCTGATTCCAGTATCCTGAGGGAACAAATGGCGTATGAATCAACCGTTGATCACCGGCTACCATGGGACTGCATCTCCTCACAATGCTCCACTGTCTTGTGGATCAGACATTCAGGTCAAAGGCTCCGGGCGTGATCCCCTAGGAAAACCACCTGCTTCAGTTCGGGCACCTGGGCAGTATCACAGCCCTCATACAAATCGAATGAGATTTGTATGGCGCATATGTATCTGGTGCTTCCTTGTACCAATATTTATGTGTTTAAATAAATAAATAAATCTATGAAGTAGTCATTTCAATTAATTCAAGTTAACATAATTGACTTTCTGTGCTTACAAAGAATTCCATCCCATACTCAACGATACTCGCTTGCTGGTTTCCCCTCTAGCCAATAACGATTTGATGGGATCTTTGACAGGTCATCAGTTCTTTCTACATTTATTTATGTTTTTTTATTTTGAGGCTAAATAGTAAATTGTTAAATAATATGCTTTATCTATAGCAGGTACTATGCACTGCAAATCGATAAAAACAAACCACGTTATTAAAGCTATGCAGAAATTTATTTAACCACGTAAAGTTCAAGACCCAAGGTGACATGGCTCAAAATAATTTTTAGTGGCCTAAATTGGTTTATTCTTTACCGCTCTGTAAATCGTAAAATTTGGCATTACTTTTTACCTTTATATCTATCTACTTTATTCCCTTTTCCGAACCATGTTCTTCATAATGAGTCTTGTATATCCTTGATAATTTTATTATTTAAACCCCTTCACTATTCAGTTTGTTGGTTTTATCTCGCTACACTAGTGCGACACTTGAACAGATGCATGTTTATGCCCGGTTTGACTGATTTGATCCTTAACAAATTGGGTCTTACAAAAACGACCTAAGCGAAGTTAGCTTTATATAACGTTTAATAACTAAGGGTAGGATTGGTATCAGGTCAAAACTAGCTCTGATACGTCAACCGACAAATGTTAAACGCTCAAAAAGTTTCATCTTGAAGTGACCTTTGAGACAGGATCGTACTGTTTGTGTTCTGAACTCTAGGTAAGTGATCAGCTACCTTTATCAGATGTACGACAAACTTAGTTGAAAACGAGTATTTACAGCAGAAATCAACAGTGCCTCAAACTATTTTCCTCAAGCTTTTATGCACATTTTTTAGCCAAAACAGGAAACTTGAGACCTTATGTATTTTCAGGACTTTTGTTGAGAGAAGATACAACCAAAATAGTCTTCCTATCGGCGGAATCGAAAGTCGCCGTCAATAAAGGTCTAGGGGAAAGTTGAAGTGATAAATACATTTGGATGCTGAAATGAGGTAAAGACATGTTTGACGGATTAGATCAGTAGTAAACATTTTTTTGACTATTAGGTCAAATGTGCAGAGCTGTGGATAGACCTTTTAGTGAAAATAATCCTTCAATTCACCCTTACAAAGTGAACCAACACATTCGGTGCTTTCCAAGTTTGGTAAATTTTGTCACGGCTAAAACATATTGTCTCATTAAATAAAAGGTTCTACAGTGGGTAGATAAATACCAGTTAACCTACACTCCAATATTTAGTACCTCGTTATAGAGAATTGTTAGAAGTTCCATTAAGAGAAGACTATAATTTATGAACGACTTTTGACCCTAAGAATCAAGAGACAATGATTTTAAACCATAGTCTAGTAAGTGAGCATTTAAGCTAATTTAAATGCCCACATGTTATCGACTTCGCTCATTGCCAAGCTGAATCTACGATTAAAGGTAGCTTATGTTAGGCTAGTAAAGTCCAAATTATGTACTCGATCTGTGGGGCACAAAATTTAAAGCTATAATCAGCTGTGTACCAATTTCACTCTTACATACCTATTAGCGAACATACCAAAGGCTTCGAAGCAATAAAATTCTTATGACTCGTTAAAAGGCATAGCCAGATGCTTCTTCCTTATTACGTTGAAAATTGGCAACTTTCCCAAACACCAAAAAGAGAATCAAAACTATAATTGGAATATATCCCAATTACAATATTGAGAAGTATAATATATCATAGTTTATATATAAACTATTGTTTGTACTACAATACTAAATATCTAAGTTTTATCAGATTTTTGGGCAAATTCATTAAAAAAACATGAGCTGATAAAATTTATGTCACCGGAAATAATTTTTCCGAGAAACAAACCACACATTTGAACGGTAGACGGTGTAGAAATGTCATACACATCAACACCGCTTCAAGGTCGAAATTCAATTTGACGGTATCGAAATATCTAATGTATGAATCATTATAAAGAAATAGTCCAAACTAATTAATTTCTTCCATACACCTCTTAGTACCACTGCAGGACTCCAGGAATTTACCGACGTCTAATGAAGATATTCTGACCATTCGATAACTCCTTTATTGAAAGATGAATTTCCGAACTTATGCAATCTAAACTGACGAGTTGCCTTAAGTGATGCATCTCATGGCATACTCGAATATAATTTGGTTTGGGTTTTTTATAGAGATTTTTCAGATTTCAAGTGGATCCACGACTTCGAACTAGTCATACTCGGTGTTATTGTTTCGGCAAACTATATCCTTGATACACTACACTGGACTTGGTTCACTCCACTTAGTTTACTCTACTTAGTCTACTCAAAATCTAGAGAGAACTCGTAGATTTCCCAGCCCTATAAAATATGGATTGATAACTCCACGTGATATGGCTTACAGACAAGATGCATTTAATTTAGCATGTTCTCCAATGGACAACATATTTCTGTCGCACTGCTGTATGGTTCTAACATTATAGGTAACCCTTTCCTCTAAATTTTCCGTCCCCTAACCCAAACGAGATACAGCCACAAGTTTGACACTGTCTGACATCCTCTCAAAATCTGCACGTCCTGGAGAATTTTAAGGTTCTCAGAAGACACAAACGACCGTTATGTGCAAAACGTTTAGGTACTTTTACCCTTTATATTATTTATCCCGAATACTACAACATTTTGGCAGTACCTATACCTCATTTTTACGAAAAGATAGAGATGTTATTTCGATTTTTCGCTAAAACACTTCTCTAAGAATAAAATGTTGTATGCAGAACGCCGTATATATGTGGATGAACAATTACATTTTCCATGATTTGCTCTTTCATGCTAGCACGAACGTAAGACTTTCTAACGTATGTATTTTTCATCTTTCAAGTTGACCTTTGAGATAGATGCTGCTAGACTCAGCTAGGCATCTGAATGGTACTTCTGAATAAAATAATTTGGGTTCAATTTTCTACCCGAGAATTTTTCACGACTTTCACAAGCTGCAGAGAAAGATAATTCACAAAAGTAGAATCCTAAGTATTCCTCATCGATGGCAGCTATGAAGTTTCACATGAACTACTACTGCCTGAAACTTTAGGGTCACGGACCTGGATTACGAATCGATAGGTCATGGAACTTTTCTTTTTCGACAATTACTCATCTTTTAGTTTATTCCTAAAGATAGAGTTATTTGATACCCAAATACAAAGTTCCACTCGATTATCCCCAGAAAGGGGTTTTGTGGAGATTGCAGTAACTTTAAAAGTTGATTCATGAGTCTGTAGATGGCATCGAGTCGCGATTGACTATGATCACCACTACAGTAAGATTACACGCCCAAAATCGACTTGGTTCCATTGATAGCTCGTAAACCAGAAGGCTGTAATAAGTTCAGATGAAGTATATTTATTGGCGATTTTGTGGTATCGAAAGAATACCGAGACGTGCCAACGAGTACAGGCAATAAGGATAGAGTGTAAGAAAGTTCGAGTGAACAAGGCAGGCGACTGGATGAAAATTGATTTTGATAAGGTTAAACAACAACGAGTACAGTAAAAAAATCACTAGTACAATTGGTTATAATAATTGTTCCCATTATACCAATCGCTTTCTCGTCGAAAAAAACAGGTCACCACAGGAGCCCCCCCCAGCTAGAAAGGGTTTACACTTTCGATACGTGGCGGTTTCGTTCGTGGGACTAGTCGCGAAAGGTGTGATTGTAGGACGAAGACGTTGGCAGAACGGGAAGCGATCGTTGATCGTCGAGTTGCCACCAAAGTTCTCTGACGTAGAACGGTACGGCCATATTTACGCGCCGTTTCGGGATGTTCACGCCTTGTATGGGCAGGGAGGTCGACAATGGCGGGCACCGGGACCAAAGGCACGGTGGAACCAGCACAAACCTGATTTCGCTCCCGAGGCCGCCTATTGGCGTGGCATGGAAGATGCACGCTCAGGGTGAATCGTTACGGCTTTACGGAAACGTGACCTGGGGCGGGGGCGAAGAGTTCTGGCACATTAAATCGGTGTCGGAAGCTGAAATGGGTGTGGATACACTTATCCCTATTCCCACGAGCCATAGTTCGACTAGCATCTAGCATCCACGAACCCGCCTCACGAGATTCAAATCCAGGACCTATCAGTCTCGCGGGCAACGCCTAACCTCTAGAACCACTGAGCTGGCATACGACGGTGTTAGTGTCTAATTTCAACCAATCCACGAATTTGAGCAACCGTCCACCACTGTCTTCAGTAAGTTACTATCTCACAACAGAACTGGTTGAACTCCACTGGTCACTGCTTCTCACCAGAACTCCAGGTTTTTCATGGTGATCTAGCTTTAATTCACTCATGAATTCAACAATTCAATTATCCTTATCTTATTTCATCAGCTTCGGGTTGATTTCACAAGAGTCTTGGACACCATTAGTGTCATTTCTCATTCAATGTGACCGGTATTAGATGTTTTCGTTTTGTTACTTGAACCCTAAAACTGAGAAAACTAATTATGCTAATCTAGAAATTATGCTACACACGTCTTAAGGCTACTACCCTACTTCGTTCCCAATGCATGATGCTTCAAAACACGTAAAATTTGAAACATAAATATCATATACGTACAATCATTAAATACAAACTGTTCAACATGTTTTATCAAAATGCCCAATTTTACCATTAATCCAAGATACATTATCTAGCTGAAATGGCTAACAGCAGAATTATTTACTGGAGGATAAAGTGATAGGAAAGATCGTCAATTAATAATTATTGAGAATTTCATTACTTCTTCTCTCTCCTTACATTTACACTAATAAAGAGAAAAGCAGATGGTTACAACCCACATGCACTGTATCTAGGTTTAACATCAAGTATTAGTCTCTAGACAACAAGGATCTGTCATAGTATTACCATTAATTTCTAGTGAAATCCCAGCTAAATGTGGGGAACAAGGTCTAAATGAGTTAAAATACTGATTACATTCCTTATGATGTTGCATCAGATGTTACTTATCTTCACAATGGATTTATTTCTAGTGATGTCCCCAATGAATGTGACAAATAAATTATGAATTAGTAGAATTCTAGTCATATTCATAGTGTTATTGTATGAGATTTTAGATAGTTTAACAACCAGTGCATGTTAAGCAGAACCCCTAGTCAGTGGTATGATAAATCAAAAGGAATAACAAGTTTTCCTGTAGCTGTCGAAAAACCAATTTTTCCAGATATAAAGTTTGAACAGACAGAGAAGCCAAGAATATCTCAATACGTATGAGGCAGATGCATATTCCCCATTTGATTATTTTGCCGGTGAATCAAACCTAGATGAATAATATGTGCTAAGTACATATATCAATGCAAACTTATCCACTGTCTGAAACAGTGGCCTTGTATAGTCTAACTAGAAAAACGAAAAAGTGCGTATCATATTTCTTATGCAGGCCAAAGTCACATGATGGAAGGCTTCACATTATATATCGGTGTGTATCTCCAAATACTCACATATAATGATCAAAGTGTGAGATATAAGACAATGCGAATTGAAAACGTCAAATCGGTCATAAAATTGCGATATAAGTGCCTTACATTATTTCCTGGAGGAGGATAATGCTGGAAAGTCTATGGTTCGAATTCTAGAAGAGTGATTTTAGTACACAAGACTTGTTGCCCATATACAATTCCAGGACCCAGATAGGCCAGTTCCAATGTCAGTTGGTAATCCTAATGAGCATATTCTGGGTTATACAGAAGTCTGTATTGAATACATAGTCAGACAGATATTTAGTGATCTCACAGAGAAAACATTCAATCGATTACAGAATTCAAGAATTTAATTTAAGTAGTGTTGTTTGAGCGAACTATTGACTCTTTTGTACCTGATTAAGAATTTCAAATACAAGCTTGTGAGGACGGTCCACAGGAAGCTCAGAAAGAGCCGAACATATTCCATACAACCAGCTTTTGGAAGATTATTCCAGAATCACTAGGCGTAGCTTTCCTATTGGACAAATGCTAATAACCCCCTGTGTGTGGATTAGATAACTATAATGATTTCGTTTTTACTAAAAACCATAAATACCTGAGTTTTGTACCATGATTGAACTTGCGTTGGGAATAACATTCCTACTTACTAGTCTTCTCCCTTGTGACTTTGCGGGTTCGATCGTTTAAGTAGCCCAGCAGTAAGCAGCATAACAAAGATCTAAAGCTCTAGATACAACAAAGTTCATATAATTCTATTTGCCATAAAATGCGCTATTTCAAAAATTTCTAGTTAGCAAATTAATTCAAGTACTTCTAATTATCACAGTTTTACATTTTTTTCAAAAGGAATACGAAAGATAAATCGGTCTGGTTTATTTCTTACTATCAACAGCAGATTTCTTCAAATTATGTTCCCCATTTTGTGTTATTTATAAGCCACTGCTAGTCCCATTTCATATGTGGAAAAATTAACAAAGAAACCTGATTCACAGTCTTTTCATAAAATCGGAAGTTTTTGGTAATAGAGGTACCTTCATGAAAAATTGTTTATTTGGACAAGTATCTAAAGTCACATAAACGACACGATGAAACATCCTAGGCATAACACCTAAAACATTTATATCGTTTTGTGAATTCCAAATCGAGCGTTTCGGAACCGAGGCAGTGGACAATAAATCCCTGACGACTATGTCCGAAATCTTTATAATATGATCATATGAGTGGTTTAATTCAGTTACCTAATTGTAGAACATTAGCATCGGACTGCAGGTAAACTCCCTTACGAAATGTACAGAACCACTTGGAGCCTGAGAATTCAGGATAATGTTAACATGTTTTATCTCAAAAGCTCCACTGGGAGAGCACATGGAACACTAGGGATCAAGGAAGGCTATACACCCCACCCTGAAAATAAATACCTCTAAGAAGCTCAAAAATATGCTAATGAAACCTCAGAGCCTCACAAGATAAACAACTTTTGGCCGCCTTCTAAGGCTATGGTCTACATTGCTGAGTGATATTTAACAACTTAATGCTAAGCTATTGAAGATAATCGACTAGGATTCCGAACTTGACGGTACCTTTAACGAGGCACAAAATAAAATTGGGTCCGAATCGCATTTCAGCTACCACAGTTTGAGGATTTGGATTGGAATCCTGACACTTTAACATTAAGTAATACTAATATATGATTGTATCTAGGATTTCAACAACATATTAAACATCAGATACCTTCCAAACTAACTATATTGTTCAATATTTATATTCAGAAATACTGCCCTAAAAAAGTTAAAAATAAAGTAAACTTTACTTATACTAATAAGTTTTGATTTATTGTCATCAACCCTTCCAGCATCTCAGTTATTTGAACACATAAATATTGGTATAAAGGGGCACCGAATTCATAGGCGCCACACAAGTTATTTGATTCGTGTGTGGGCTGTGATACTGTTCGGGTACCAAAACCGAAGCAGGTGATCTTATTAGGAGGTCACAACCGGAGTCTTCAACCTAAAGGTCTAGTTCACAAGGCAGCGAAAGAACATTAGGAGATACAGTCTCATAGTAGCCGGTGACCAATAATTGGTTTATACGCCATTGGTCCCTCACGATCCTAGAGCCATTTCACACCATTGATTTGGAATGAGGGTTTTCCAACTTCTCTAAGTGGATTTTCCATATCCACCAATTCGGTTAAAGCACATGAAATTCGCTTTTCATCTTCTCAATTTCGCAAACAACAGTGATGCCGAGAGAATGCAGTGAGTAGGACTTCTCAGGCAGTAGTTACATTCACGTGGTCATGTGAGAGCATTTCAAGAGGGAGAGCTGATTCTCCTTGCCCTATACTTAAATAACACTGATCCTATAGACAAATTAAAAAGAAAAACTCTCACACCAGTGGAAAAACATCTAATTTTTTTCTTGGATACCAATCGTAGAATCCTTTTAGAAAAAGTATGACAATAAAACCAAATAGATAACTCCCATACAACAGCTAAGCATTAAATTTATCATTTCCATAAAGGATCAAATAAGAATATAAATGAATTAAGAACAAATTAAAGATGCACAAAACTTTAAAAAAAAAGGACAATATATCACACAAAATATACACATTTCACTAACAGCATTGAATATAAGGCAAAGTTATGAATAAATCAAAAGCCGTTTAGAAAATAGATCTCTTCATCATCATGATAATAATTAAAAGGTAACTGTCTACTAATAGCTATCTATCCTTGTACATATATACAAGGGGGTTTTCTGCGGAGATTTTTAATAATTTATATATATATATATAGTTGCAATCGTGAGTCCTTTGATGCTAGACAACCATCATGGAAAACCTGGAAGCATTGCTGGAAGGCCGTTTCATTCATGGTGGTCCAACTTCAATTGACTAACGATTTCAACTATATATTTAAGTTATAAATAAAGAAAAATCTGAATTTTGATTTACACACATAAAAAAAAGAAGAAAAAAGAAAGAAAAGTGTAAGTTAATTTACAAGAAAATCAGTATGTGTACAATGAAGATCGGAATGCAGGAAAAAATAATAAATAAGAATTAATCATAATTATTGTATTTCACCTTACATTTAAGATAAATTTTATATTTGATTGTGTTTTTTATTCCAATCAATAAGACGTTCTTCTAGCTGATTAAGTTCCGTTTTTAAAATAGGCAAAGAATCCTTTATAAGAATGAAAACAAACAAAATTTCAAATTAATCAAGATTACGAGATGGTGGGGAAGATTTGTAGCTCAGGTGGGTGATTTTGATGGAGTTTTGTTCTCTGAACTGGATGGTTTGATCGTGGAGCTTTCATCGTCCTTCTCAACGACATCGTCAGTACAGACTTCGTGTAGAAGTGAAGTGTTTGTGCTGATGATGTGATTCAGAAGGACAATGAAAGCTCTACGATCAAACCATCCAGTTCAGAGAACAAAACTCCATCATAATCAAGACTACATTAATTAGTATTGAAGTATTTGAAACAAATAATAATTAAACATCGAACATTAAGAACTATATAGTTATACTAAATAAAAGAAATGTTTATTATTACTGAACAATTCTTAGTATCAGCAGAGAGTATTAGAAGACATAAGGGAACACTCTGTTTAGGAGTTTTTGAAACAATTACAAAACATTAATGATAAATTATATGTTGTATCCCGTGAAGAATTATGAATGGTAACCTTGAGAACTATTTATGGACCAATATGATATGTATATTTCCTGTTCTATAATTATTTAGTAACTTGAATATCCATATTCATGTTCCTTTTATTATAAGCTTTACTTAGACATCTGAACTATTATTATATGATTCACCATTATTGAGTTATCCCCAGTCTATTGATTACTGTTCCCCCTATTCACAACCACATTTGGCCAAATCTTGTACAAATGTTATTTTCTATTTTATGGTACGATGTGGTCAGTTTGTTTGGCATATAAACCCAGTATGTTTGAAATAAATGATTCATATTGCAGAGGCTGTTATTGGTGTTCCGGACTTAACTGGCTGGGCTAGGCAGAAAGCCAGACTGATAAGTACTCAAGACTGCTCATATGGCTTTTGTGTATTTATATTTATTTAAACACATAAATATTGGTACAAGGAGGTACCAAGTAGATATGCGCCACATAAATCAATCGACATGTGTGAGGGCTGGGATACTGACCGGGTACCAAAACCGAAGCAGATGGTCTCCTCAGGGGACCACAACTGGAGTCTTCGACCCAAAGGTCTAGTTCACAAGGCAACATTAGGAGATACAGTCTCATCGTGGCTGGTGACCGATATTTGGTTTATACGTCATTTTTTCCCTTACGATCTGCACACCCTCGACCATACCAGTGCATTTGGATGCAGTTTCATATTTCCTTTTTCTGGGAATTTACTAATAGTCATCGACTAATGCAAAACTGAAATAACTTCCTACAGATCAGATTTATTCTTCATTTATGATGAATTTCACATTTTTATCAGGAAAAAAACAACAACCCAAAAACAATAAAAAAAAGTAAATGGTAAAGTATTCATTCTTATTTAAAAGGAACGATGAAAAAGTTACTAACTCACTTCAAGCTCTTTGACATAGATTTCTACACTCTTAAATTGTACATGATTACGCATTTCCAGTATCCATTGTTCAACTTGAGAAATAATAAATGAACGTCGATTTAGAAAATGTTTTAAAACTACCTATAGAATGGAAAAAGACGTACATCCAATAAAAATTGATGTTATATATATATAATGAGTGTACAGATATTAAACTATGTAGGTGATTTTCCTGATGATGGCCAAAGCAAATGATCATTACTAGTAGACAACAATTGATGGAGAAGCTCTGGACTTAACACCAGAATAGTATATTGAAAAAATCTGTTGTCAAAACATTTTATGTTGTCTATTTATCTACTTACGCCAGTTACACCTCGTTGAAAAGCATAGGGCTCCTACCAGCATTCTTCATCCGACTCTGTCCTAGGCAATCCTTTTCAGTTGCTATTCATCCTTTTGATTTTGTTTGCTTCCAATTCTCGATGAAGTATGCTCTTTGGTACTCCTCTTTTCAGTTTCTCTTCAGGATTCCAAGTTAGTTCTTGCCTCGTGATACAGTTTGATGATTTCAGTTATATATATCCTATCCACTTCAATCGTCCTTTCCTAATTTCCTCATCAGATAGAAGCTGACTTGTTGTCCCCTACAGTAGTTTGTTGCTGATGGTATCCGGCATCTTGTCAATCCTCAAGATCAACCGTACTAGCCTGGTTAATTAATTGACCAAGTAAAGTAGCTTTCTGTAAGAGGGTTGATATATCAGTGATGAGAAAATCTAGGTTGTCGTTGATGTATTTTTACGAGCTATCGGACTAAGAAGGTGCAAGATAGACGGTATTACAAGTAATGACAGAATTATTGGTAGTAGAAAAGAATTACGACTATACAATAAGAAAGAATTAAAAGAATAAAAAAAAAGAATCAATTTTAAAACTCAATAGCTTAGTGAAGACAGTAAGTGGTGAATACATCTGCACTATCAAAATTGATCGTGAGTCACATCGCTGAATACTCTCAATCTGTAGTTTTCGACAATCGCATGAATTGCAACCGAGTTTGTGATGAAAAATAACTAAGAAAATTAGGTTTGATCTGTGCATTAACTACTTAATCAAATACAACCGTTGAATTGTTAATTTTTCTAAAAATCTTAATACATAGTATACAACGAAAAGAACGAAACGATAAGATTCTACTCACTTCTTCAAAACCAATTGGTAAATGCTTTAGTTGATTAATCATAGCCCAACGAACAGTTGCAACACGAATACGAGCATTATATTTATAACTGACAATTATACCTCTAGGCGTTCCCATAGTACACTCGAAACCCGGTTCATTAAAATAAGGTTCACGTACAAAAATTAACGATTGAATTGATACCAATACCTGATAATAGTAATTGTAAGTCAAAATAATGGAATATAATAAGAACGAAATTCACAGTAGATATACCAATTAACTCTAAATCAATGGTTTAAAACCAATCAAGATGAATGAATATAACATCTTTCTGAACATCGGTTAAATTTGTCATACCACATTAGCTCAGAGAGATGAAACTGTTAGAGAAAATACCAGAGTAGCAGATGCAGTAACAGTATCAGTGGTATTAGAAAAGATTAGGCATCGAAGACACGATTAAAGAAAATATCTTTAAAATAAAAACAGAAGAGGTTATAAGGTACTCAGAAGCTTAAAATTTGGGGGAAGATAAAGAACAGATGCACCTGATCCCTTACAAACAATGTTGAGCCATGTCACTCAAAGTATCTAATCACTGGTCACAATAATCATGTCAACCCCAATCAGGTAGTCTTTATCTGTTAATATGGACCAGTCCAGTTGTCACTGCTTTTATAAACTGATTCCATGTTTTAGGTTCGGCCACATCTAACGTTCTTCCAGATTATTCCTATACCACACAACATCGCCCGCTGGGCATACGTAACATGTCCCAACTACTTCAGTTGATGAAGATTTACAATCCCATTAATCAATTTACCATCCTTATCTAGTACCCTATTCCCAAACTAGCCGTTGCTTACTTGATGGTTCCAAAATACATGGACAATGCTTCGAAGATACCTATGACTGAAGGCTAATAACCTACGAATACCTATTCTTGATCCCCATGTTTAACACCCATAAAGTAGAACGTAGTGAACCACTGCACAGTAAACTCGTCGTTTGGTTGGAAAACGAATATTACGCCTACGCCACAAGTGACGCAAATTGGCAAAGGCAATCGGGCTTGCTAAATCCGTGCCAACATTACGTCAGACACGAGATCATCATAAATGATGAGACTCTTAAGATAATTGAAGTGTTCGATACTTTCAACAAATTCACTCTTTATTATTAATTTAGGCGATGACCCAGGCCAATCCCTCAAGTGGAATTTTACACTTGGGGGAAGAGAGCCACATCCCAAACATGCTTGCATTGTTACTTAAGATGATCAGAAGACTCGGGATTTTGTCAGCGTCTTTATCAAATAGAAGTATGTAATCTGCTTATCCTCAGTTAACAAATGAATCTCCTGGTAGGAGATTAATAGCTGAAAAGTCAAACAATGATGAAAGTTTCATCACTACAAGCATCCCTATAACGAAGTTAAGTAATATTGAGGAAAGTGGACAACCCTGACGAACACCAGTTGAAGCAACCAATTCCGATGAGAGTTTGACATAATCACTGAATCCACCAGTAGTATTTGAGTAGAGAGCCTGTATAAGGTTAATATACTTCTTTCGGATGACTTACATCAATTTGCTATTCAGGTTACTAAGATATAGTGAGTAATTGAGGTGTGACTAAAAGTTAGTTGGAATTTTCCCTAAAGTGTTTCGCACATCGATTCAATCTCTTGGATTGAGAGTAGATAATAGTCCGATATTAAAATGTACGATATTTATTCGTTTTAAAGCATGAACATCAGAAATATAATACTTCCAAAATTAAATTACTGAACTCTCAAAGATTTATGATGAATTATTTATTTAAGAGGTTTCATAGTACAGTGAAGTTTACAATCAGCTTAACTTATTATACTAGGGAATAAATGAAAAAGAGAAGAGCTAGTGAGTTTGTATCACAATAAAGAGGAACAAAAGATAGCTGTATAAACCTGGTAGAGATCAGGTTATCATAGATGTTAGTTTAGGATTAATGAAATAATGTGCTTATTTCAGTAGCTTTAAAACGTTATGAGATATAATTCAGAATACAAGCAAGTGGTGGTCATGCTACCAGCGGTTCCTTCCAATTTTTCCATTTTATATGATGCATTTTTCTAATCCTATGGTGTAATGATGAAATTATAATGAATATATATATTTATTAGATTGAGAACGGAAAATAAAAGCATAATGCGATTCGTCAACAACACTTAACAATAAACATGATACAGAAGTAAACGAATAATCTTTGATAGAAAGATACAAATGTCTCCAAGATTAAAACAATTTTCTAGACAAAGCTGCTGATTATACATTGCTTGTACGATCTTGTATAATATCAGATAATGAAATGATTTATTAAAAAGAAGTACTCTACATTGAATAAACTAATTTAGTAACAGTTTCAACAGTAATGACAATGATTTCGAGGGTTACACCTTAAAGTCTTAAAAACTGAAAAACAAATAATGACCAGTAGAATTTAATTCATTTCTATTGATTGAAGCTTTACATTGATATTTAGAACTGTAATTTATCAATCTGCTTTGTTAGCATCTATGTATCCTGTATGGATTCTCTTAATATCGCCATTATGTCACAAGCATTTATAAGTAGTGATGGATGGTGGCTGCCAAAGCAATCCAGCTCGCGCGTTTCATTCTACTTAGGACTGGTCAGCTGGATGTACATTCATACCAGGGTCCAGGGATGTAAGTATGTCCAGCTGATGAGTCCTAAGTAGGACGAAATACGTGTCCTGAATTTCACTGTTGACCACATTCCATCTATTAGACATGAATGTGTTTACGTCACCATTCAGAATATGACTCATACCCAATACAATAAATATTATTCAAAAGAGTAAATACATAAATATACATGTATGGAAAATATTTAATTACTTGTAATAAACTTGATGTTTGAGGATTCCATCGCTCTTCACTTGATCCATGCCATGTATTCAGCACTGACAAGCATACTTTGCCATCTTCATACAGGTTTGGATTAAAACGGAATGTATTTTTCGCAGTTGTACAAAATTCAACTAAAGGTGGTTGATTCGGATAATCTGGCGGTGCGTATATGTCAAATTCAAAACATCCATTTGCATATGGAGTATCAGGAGGTCCAGTAATTAGTGCCTAGTTTTTTATTGTTGATTCAGTAAAAGGGAAAATCAGAAAAATAGGGAACATAAGTAGATGTGTTATGGCTTGAGATCGCTGATCGGTATCACGAGTTAGCTATCTCTAGTGCCGTCAAAAGGTATGTGAACAGTTGTCACTTCCCGATTTCCCGTATTGTGAAAGGATATTTCTTTCTGAAGAACCTGAGAAGGACATTGGGTTAGTGTGGTGTTGGTGACCTAGGAGGATGTCCACATAGTTTGAGGGAGAACTGCTTGAGATTGGTCATACACGGTCCTATTAAGAGTAGCTCCAAATGAGTCAGCTCCGTACTGTAAAAATTTTACCATTGCAGGCGAACATTCTTGGGGGTAGATAAGGAGTGCTATTGCTACGTCGACATTTTCAAAAACCTTTCTTAAGTTATGGTAAGACAGCATCAGTAGGAATGTTGATTGCATGAGGAAAAATACCTGTCTGACGCTAAACCCCTGTATAGATGTTGGGGATGTTAAATCCCCAGAACTCGATTGGTAAATGACTTATTTTTGTAATTTTATTTTGAAAACTTGAATTTCTTTGTTTTCGCGCCAAAAAAGCTCTTTTTCACCTTCGAGTAGTATTTCTCACTTGGGAAAATCTTAAACGCTATTGGTCCGTTGTATCTTTTAATATGCTATTTTGTAACGCTTCTGAAGGACAATTTTATGCTGCATATATAAATTTGATTTCTTCCTGTGCTTCTGGGTGCTTACGGAATATATCTTACCACTTCCAACTTGGACTTCTCACTCTAGTTAGCTGGGTATGGGACGCATCAGTATAGATAGCTTATTGGTCTCTGGTCACAAGTCTTTGTTCCGTTCGCTGACTAAGTGAATTCGTAACAGCTTCAGATATAACAATAGTCAACAGCACAACTTATCCCTCCAACCATGAATATGTTGCTTCTAGTTTGCCATTCTCTAACCGACCTACTTAACAAGGTAGAACCGAACAGGAACATGTTTTCCAGGTAGTATAGCTCAACTGGGTCATCACAAGATGAAGATGCGACCACCACGTAAGGATAACAAATTTAGCGATACCACCCAGCTACTAAGATCGAATTTGATGGAAAGGGGTTCAAACACCAGACTTATTAGTTGAAAATCTAGTAATTTAACCCACAAGCCACAAAATATTTATGCCAAGTTCTATATTGTTGATGACTGATTAATTGAGAAATAATATCGATAGATGATGTATAAGAAAGCATATGAATGCATAACCTTCATTGATCAATAATCAATCACATTATATATTAATAGCTTAAGAAAGGTGAAACGTCACTCAGAATTATTGTTAGGAAAAATTTACCTTTAATAAACACAAATGATTTTCTTCACAGCAAATAAATATACTAGCACTTTCGGACAATGGTAAGCTAGTATTCAATGTTACAATTTCCTGAGCAAGACGTTGCAATCGATGAAATGATCGGTTTTTCGGGGTTATTTTCAATCGAGAACTAGTAGTAGTGGTAGCAGTTACTGTTGAAAGTTTATTGGATTGATCAGGGTTTGGTTCAGAGGTAGAGGTGGACGCGACATAAGTGAACAATTTTTTTGTATTAAAACCATTAATTAAGATGAAACCTTCGTGTTGGGCACATAAATTCGCATATTCATGTGGGACTAATGAAGAAACAGTATTATTCACGGGAGCTGAAAAAAATTTGATAGTACCTAAACAAACAATAATGATGTGTAAATTTCCATTAGATTTAGGGAAGGAAACAAAAAACTCTACATATAGAGTTAGCATGATTTAGCTACATAATTATATCACATATCCATATCCACCAACTCGACTAAAGCGCATGATATTCGCTTTTCATTTTCTCAATTTCGCAAACAACAGTAATGCGAGAGAAGGCAGTGAGTAGGATTTCCCTGGCAATGGTTGTATGCACGTGGCCATGTGAGAGAATTTGGAGAGGGAGAGCTAACTCTCCCCACTCTCGGCCGTACCAGGGCATTCGGGACCAAGGCAACTGTAATGGCTAATGAAGTTATGGTATGATCAAACAAATATGGAAATTATCACTAATATTTTAATATAATCTCTTAAATAGGAATATAATTATGTACTTTGTCTTGGAGTAATGCTCTTTTATGTGTGAGGGTTAGTGATACTACTACTAAACAACAACATGAAAAGAAATAGATGAAATGTTGATTTAAAACTTTAACTTATCTATAGCCTGGGCCAAACTAAGCTACCGTTAGCCTGTGTTGTTTATAAGGTAAAACGTGTTCAAAAAGTTACATTACTTTTATTTAATTTATACCAAGTATTCTGTTGAAATATCATGTGGAACAGTCCAATGAAGTTAACTCTTTGGTTTTATATGAATTAGGATAGTGAATTATTGACTGAGTGAATAAAATGTTTGATATTTAAGTGCCAGAGTAAAAGCTTAGCAAGCATTCTAGTCAATCATTCACACATAACGTAGAGTATGACACACGTGTACATTGATTCGGGTTGTCATATTCTGTAAGCATAGCGAGATAAAATTATCCAGGCCAGAGTAGTAGAGGTAATTCAGTACTATTAGTAACAGAAAATATTAAACTTAGATGTGATTTAAGAAGAAAATATGGATCCGTAGAATTAAAAAAACTTATAAAGTGATTAAGAAATTCGCAATCTGAAGTAAGACTAAGAGTAAATGCCTTTGGATTATTGTAGATAATCCCGAGAGCCACATCGCCCAAAATGTCTGAAAATTGATTACAATAATCGTGCAAACCGCAGTTTGATAGTCGGCACCTACCTATGTGGTTCAGTTCAACAGTCAATGACTTAAAGGACTAGCGCCATGTTTTGATTCAACTGCTCCTAGTTTTTTTCTAACCTACTTCTATACAAGACAACATTACCCACCGAGGTCAGCGGTGGTTAGTTATACGCAACACATGTCCTAATCATCTTAGTAGATAAAGATTAGTTACCTCATCAATCGACTTTCAATTCTTATCTAGTACCCTACATCTAGCCTCAAAATTGCTTACTTGATAGTCAAAGGATACACGAGCGATGCTTCAAAGGCAAAGTTGAATACCACTAACCTATGAATATTTTCTATTTTTTAAATGTCATGTTTCGGAGAAATGAAGTAGGACGGAATGGACTGCAGCGTTGTATATTCGTTAGCGAAAACCAAGCGATTTTTCTGAACTAATACCGATATTTCGTCAGATACCTACTCATCTGGGTTAATGACAGTTTTAAGATTGACAACCGACCAAATCTCTATTCTAATTTTATCATCAGGGTAATGGTATTAGACTTCAAACAAAAAATACAAACTAATAAACTTGTTTGTGGTCGCCAACTTACAGAGTACTGATAATCAATTCAGGGTTTAAACCACAAAAGGATGTAATAACTAGTGATTTACTCAATTAAAAAAAAATGTCATTGAACTTACGAAAATGTATAGATTTTAAAGCTGTACAATAAGCAGTATTGGTTGAAAGCATTTTTGAATCAATTGACGAAGTTTGAATTTCTAATGTACCGTTCTTACCATTTCCGTTATCATATTCAGCTGACTGTATTTCAAGTAAAGTAGTTTTGTAATCATCATTAGGAAATTTATTTACAGAAGACTGTTGATATTTCAAAATTAGTTTAAGCAGTTTATATGTAGCTTCTAGTTCATTAAAAATAATTAAAATTTCTTGGTTTACGCATACTGAACTGCCATCATTGTTGAATTCATGGTTAGTACTTTCAGCATTATCATCCAATACATCATTTTGAAAATGACTATGAAATTCACCATTTACAAGATTATTCTCTTTATTAATCAACGGATCTGTTAAATATTGAGAATGGTTAGCATTTTCGGTTAAATCGTTAATAACCTCACAATGAGCATTTCTATCTTCGTTCTGTTCTTTTTCTTCCTCAGAATTATTGTCATGAACATCTTCAGAAGCAGTGTCAGGGTTATCATCGTCATTACCACAGCTGACTTCAACATTACTTTCTGTTAAAGTATAAAGTTTATCTTTGTTTTCACTACTCATTTCATTAGTATTCCTGTCACTAATATCAAACTGATCATAGAAACCAGATTTCAATTGTAATAAACCATAGGTTTTGGAAGTGGAAAAATGATAATTAATATCAGTAGTGTTGAATGCTTGAGATGATGTACATAAGTTTTGATTTTTACAATGTATATTTTTTAGTAAATTTCCAATGTGCTGTTTATGAATATTACGATATCGTATTGATGGACGGCGAATAAGACAACCACTACTAATACGTGTAGTAGTATTAGTTGGATGTAATTCAATGTTGGATTTAGAGGTAATTTGTTTTGACGGTTGTCCCGATTCAGAAGGCTCAATTATTAATCCCAATTTGCTATTTGAAGAAGATAGGGAGGTGGATGGAGAGAGATAAAAACAGCAAGTCTCACTTCAATTGTAAATTTAGAAAGAAAGGAATACTAAATAATGATATGATGAAAAAACGTTATTACAAATAGTGTAATTAAAGTAGATTTGATATTTGAAGTGGACGGTCATCTTGAAAAGCTGTTAGTTGTCAAAGGTAGTCGACAGGTAACTCAAGAAGTAACTCAAAATGCGAAACTAGGTGACGCGATTCCGAATTCACAAAGGTAACATGAATTCCCTGAGGATTTCAAGTGTCAACCAACACGAAACCTAGAGTGAATAGAGTTTCCTGTCGATCACCTTTTATCATTCAATATTGTTTAGATGTCTGTTCACTAATAGCCACGTTACAATTCGCTTGGCAGAATTCAGAGTCAAAGAACTAGAGAAACGTAAAATTGATCACCACTCAATGACCAATCAGTTTTAGTATCTGTGATCCTTAATAACTATTGGATTTATCATTTTTGGAAAGCAGGAAGAATGCTAAGAATAATTTTCCGGAAAATTAAAAGAAAGGCCTGGAAAATGATTAACTAGCGAATTCGGAACAGAAAAAACAGGAGAATAATATTGTTTTCAATTAGATCGTCATCAAGTTTTATTTAAATATGAAGCTACATTTTTCCTAGTTTATTATGAAGTTATCGATTCAGCTGCTCTTGTGTCAAGTATACTACAAGCCGATTCAGTCAACGAGCGAATAAATAGTTCAGAAGGGCGCAAAGCTCTGTTCTATCACACAAGTGATGATCATATGGCAGATAAAAACAAATCCTTACAAATGATCAAATGTACACTACCACATCTTCGTAACAGGGTTTGTTATACATAAAGCAAAAGTTATGGGTATTTGAACCAACCCTGATCTGTGTTTGAAAAAAAACGTGTCTCACCCCTATCATTTCCTTGAACTGATATAATTTAATGGGTGATCTGACTAATTCTTCATACCATTATGTATCCGTTTTTTATTACTTATAATCATAATGTGTATTTCGTATCATTGCTACCAATGACTCAAATAGGTTTCCTTTGACTGGTTTGTTTGTGTACCAATATTAATGTGTATTAAAGTCTAGTTGAAATGTATCTGAGAACAATAATGTTCAATTATATATCCTGTTTTAATTTGTATAATGAGGGTCTGTGATACTTTGAAACTATTACATTCACTGAGGATTTCAGTAAATTTTTTTAAAAAGCTCTTAGAATCTGATAAATACTTCTGTTTCTTCTGAATAAAGTTTAATCTTAGAAATAGAACTTCTATATTGTCCACCTAGTATGTTTTTGTTCTTGTTGAAAGGTTTTGGTGGTCCGAGATCTGACTCCAATTAGATCGTATGAATGATTGTTGTCAAAATAAACATCTCGAGTTGAACAGAGAAACAAGAAGTCTTGACAAACTACGGAAGCTATTTTTGGGGACCTCATTTCATTTAATTCAAAACTTGAAGGACAGTAACATTTACTTTGACCCCTAGTCTATTCTACAGATCATAAGCTATCGTTTGATTCACTGCCATAGCCTATTCTTTTCCAAAGCTATTGTAATTTAGACGTAACCTATTGTACACAATTTTCTACTCTAATCCCCTAGTTTTGAACATAACTGTATTTTCCTAATTATTGTGCGTTGTGGTCAGGTTAGTCATCTATTTATTCATGTATCTTTTTACACTAATCTGAAATCGGGTACTAGATAGGAATTTGGAATACCGGAATTAAATGAGCCAAATATGAGAATGAATTTTTGAGTACATATATTTTGTACAATCGTCGATCGTACAACGAAACCAAACGAAATGAAGCGCAATGTAGAAGGCGAGTGAGCCAACTCCGTTTAATCAAGTGTGAAGCGATATTTATAATCGAACAAATTATTATTATTAATATTATTTAAACACATAAATATTGGTACGAAGGGGCATCGAATTCATATGCGTCACACAAAACTCATTTCATTTGTGTGAGGGCTGTGATACTGCCCAGGTGCCCAAACCAAAAGAGGTGGTTTCCTTAGAGGGCCACACCCGGAGCTTTTGACCTAAAGATCTGATCAACAAGGCAGTGGAGCGTCGTGAGGAGATGCAATCCCATGGTAGCAGGTGACCAACGATTGATTCATACTCCATTTGTTCCCTCAGGATACTGGAGCCAACCTATGTGCACCATCGATTCAGAACAAGAGTTTTCCAACTCCCTTAGGTGGATCCTTCATATACACGGACTGGGTTAAAGCGCATGACATTCACTTTTCATCCTTTCAATTTCGTAAACACCAGTAGTGTCACAAGAATGCAGTGAGTAGGAATTCCCTGACAGAGACTATATACGCGAGGCCATGTGAGAGCATTTGGAGAGGGAGAGCGTACTCTCCCCACTCTCAGCCGTACCAGGGCATTTGGGGGGCTGAACAAAAATAAGTTACGAACATGAAATGAGTAAGATAAAAAAAGTGAACACACATAAGCTTACATAAAAACAATGAGTAAATTGGCCTGTCTAGAAGCTAGAATTAGCTATGTCAGCTTGATATAGCAACTGATAATATAAAGTCAAACATTCCTATAAACTACGATATGATACTTAAACACAATATTTAAAAAAAATATTCAACTTACATTAAATGTTCCTTATATTTTGACAAATAATATATGTTTTCGGGTGTGGCCCTCTAATAAAATCACCTGCTTCGATTTGGGCACCCGGGCAGTATCACAGCCCTCACACAAATCAAATAAGATTTGTGTGGTGCATATGTATCTGGTGCCTCTTTGTACCAACTACGATATGATAAGTCAATCAGCTACAACGTAGGACCAGGAACATATATGCATCGGTTCAAGTTGTCATACCTCGTTAGCACAACAAGATCAACACCGGATTCATAGTAGTTTATTTAGTGGTGATAATATATAAAAGATAGGTTGTATATAAAGATATAGTACAAGAAGAAAGAAAGATATGAAGCAATTTTTAATCTCAAGGTTTAAAGGAAGATAAAAAGTGTATACACCTACGCCATTGTGATCGATTCTGAGCCATGTCACACACAGTCTCTAACCATTGGTTACGATAATCACGCGGACCCGAACCAAGTAGTCTGCATCTGCTAACATGGTTCAGACTAGAAGTTAGTGACTTCAAGCACTGATGCCACGTTTTAGTTTGGCCACCCCTAACCATTGCCAATACGAGTCAGCATAGCGCATCGTGGTAATCGGTGTTCAGGCATACGAAACACATGGCCTAACCATCTCAGTCGATGAAGAAGCATGACCTCATCAACTGATTCACCATCATTCTCTAATACCCTGTATCTAACCTCACTATTACTTACTCGGTGATCCCAGCAGATGCGAGCAATATTTCTAAGACATCTGTGGTCAATCTACGATATGATACTTAAATACAATATTTTTTAAAAAACACAACAACATTCAATTTACCTTAATTGTTCCTTATATTTTGACAAATAGAATAGTATATGTTTCATCAAAACAGCAATACACGATGGATCTAAATTTTCCAACAAACTATCATCATCATCATCATCATCAATAGTAACTTCATTACACCAATTGTTCAAAATGAAAAGATCATTTAAATGAATACCATGCCAATATGATTGAAATGAATTAAATGATTGTAAAATAAAACAATTACATAATTTATTATTACACTTAGTAACATGATCATTATTGTTGAAATCATTTTGAACAAATGTTATCAACCAATGTAATCGTGGACATAAACTAATTATACGTATTAATTGTATTATTGCTTGATATAATAAATAATGATTTATTATTTCTATAATTGAATCATTACGTAAATAATTAATAATAAAATGTATTAAATTAAACTTATAAATAAAATAAATAATAATGAATTCATATAATTCATCAGTATACATTGGATTTTGTATAAATGTAGACAAAAATCCACTTAAGACATTACATAATACTATTGCATATTGATCTTCATGTTGAATATTTGATGATCTGATCCATTTAGATTGAATATTATTATGATGATTATTTGAATAATCATTTGTTACTGATGATGTTTCAGTTATTGTAGGAGTTGTAGCAAAACCTGTACCTTTTGCCCAAAAATTAGAATTCAATTGATTAGATATTGATCCAGATGATGTAACAACGACTGCTGATGAATGTAATGAATTGAAATGACTTTGAGATGATGATTGATCATTTGTGTTTTGTTTGCACTTTTTATGATTATCTTGATTAGAAACTGTTATGGAAGGAAATACTTCATGTTCAAAATCGATACAAGCTGGTTTAATAAAATGGATATAAATTTCATTGATTGATTGAATAGTTTGAGACAATGAATTATCTTTATCAGTATTATTATTACTACAGTCTAATTGAATTGAATGAATGAATGCTTTCACTTCATCTATATCAAATCTCTCCGGTAAATTTAAACATGAACCATGAGATAGAACATACATGAAACTTAAAATAAGTTGTAATACACCAGAGTTTAAATGTATCCAACGTAATTCCCATAAAGATTGATGACCATCAATATGAACATTACTATTATTACCATTATTATTACTATCATATAAATAACATAAACATTGAAATGGTAAAATATTTGAATGAATTAATTGACTACTTTCTAAATTATAAGTAGCATAATTAGTTACACAGAAATCTTTACCATAATCATTTGCCAATTGAATGAGATAACTTGGTAGATAAACTAATGTTGAATGATATTTCATTATTAATTCCATAATATTCATTGATGATTTAATTAAATTTAATAAATAAGAATCATAATTTGGTATTCTTAATACTAATATATAAGTAATAATACAATGTAATGGTATATTCAATGTTCCATTATTATTATTATTATTATTATTAATTATTAAATTATCTAATTTATAATTATAAAATTTATTAAAATAGGAAATAATATAAGAATGAAATTGTTTCATCGATTGATTCCAATTATTATTATTATTATTATTATTATTATTAGTAGTAGTAGTAGTAGTATTAATAGTAGTAGTAGTGGGAGTAGTAGTTTTCAATAAACATGGAATACGCCAATGAACAATGGAATTAGCTATAAAATATAATAAACCAGATTTTAAAAATTCATTTATAAATGATGATTGAAAATTTTTTAATAAATAATCATAATAAGATATGGAATTAGTCTCTTTCATTAATGATGAGGATGACGGTTTAGTTACTGATTCTGGTGGATGTAATACAAATTTAGCATGTTCACATGGTCGAATTAATAAACAAAGTAAACGACATTGATTAATTATCAGCGGATGGTCATCAGTGAATTGATTTAATTGTTCCATAGTCCAATTATCTGTATAATCTTTTGGTAGAAATATACCATTATCCCAATCAATAGGTGATATAATATGACCAATATTTGGTGTATGTTTAATAAGACATAATTCAAAATCATTCATTGTATTTATTTCAGTTGGGTGTGATACATTTATATTAATACTACTATTATTATTAGTAGTAGTACTACTACTAGCGCGATTAATCGAAAATGGATGCAATAAATGATCAATTATTAATCTTAAATGTTTCACAAAAATGTTTCTTTCAAATTCATAATGATTAGTCCCAGTGTATTCTGGTGGATGATAAATATTGATCAGTAATAAAGCTGTTGAAAGACTAGGATGAATGGAATAGTCCAGGTTAATATTTGAAACAGATTGATGGATTTCTTGGCATAAAAATGTAACTAATTCAGATTTCAGTAGTTCAGATGATTGAATATTGAGTACAACTGGGGGACCAGTTATAGGCCATGGCAAATCAGTCGATGTATGTGGATGATTTGAAGTGACTGCGAATACTGCTATTGTTTGTTTAAATGGTACAGGTGTTAATGATAAGGGTTGTGGTAATAATAGTTCAGATATAAAATTGGATAATTTGAAATCTAAAGTAAAAAAAGATACAAAAAAAAATCAAATTAACTCATTCACCAGGTAATAAACTATAAGCCACACCAGTGCTTCAAGATAACGAAAGGATCAAAAGGTGACTGAGAGGAACATACAGGAATCATGATTCTAGAATGTTATTAGTTCAAGTTGTCTTCCATGACAGAAGACCAGTTTAAATGCCTTGTATTCGTCTGTAGCCTCCATTCACCCGAGGATGCTGACATCCAAACGAGAATCCTAAGCAAACTCGAACATTATCCCAGTATTACCCAACAGGAAGTAACTACCGAATGCTGAAGATTAGTGGATTCGAAACATGAAACTTTGAATGTAGAGAAAGGTAGCCGGCCTCATAACGTCAATGCAGTTGAGAGAAAAGATTTACAAGGTCCTAAGACGCAAAATTATTGTAATGACAGTGACAAGCCATCAACCTCCATGCTGGTTATGTGGCGGTCGGCATTTCAAAAAAATTGTCTGTTTAAGAATCATCGTTGCACTACATGTTCCAGGAAGGAGCATAAGGAAAGTAATTGTAAAACCCGAAAACACTGCCAACAACCGAAAGTATATTCTAAAAGTTCCAAGCCGCGAACGACCAAACTAACGATAACCCTTAACAGGACAGGCTCCTATAACCGTAGAAAATATGTTTTTCAGAAGATTAATGGATATGAAGCCCACTTACATATAGACACGGCTTCCAACACAACACTTATAAGCAGAAGAACGTGGGAGAAGATTGGGAAACCACGAATATATCGAACTCATCAATCAGCACTTAGTGCATCCGGGGGAATATTAAACATTGCTAGTGAGATACATTGTGAAGTCTCATCCAAGGAAAAAACAAAGATGGGAGTAGTAGTTTTGACAGAATTAATCATATAATTAGTGCAAATCTCTAGGGAAAAAATTAGGCTTCGGAGATCTGAATACAATCCATACAAAAGCTTATATCGGCTACTAAATCATACATTATGTATAGATACCTAAACAAATAAAAAGATTATCAATGTAACACTGACCATGATTTAACCAATTTCATACTTACTTTGTTTCATAAATGATTCTTTAAATGTTTCAATCAAACGATCAGTTAAACAATTCATTTTCAACTTTGAACTTTCTAAACTCAATTGACATGAATTGAATCGTTTGGATGATTTCGAAAGTGTCATTGATAGCTTAACTGTTTGATATAAAGTAATAATAGCTTGTTGAAGTTGACTAACCTTATAAATACTTGAATCAAAATGATGATGATGATTACTGAACAAATTATTCAATGATATAGATTGAAATAAAGATGATAATACTGCAGTAAAGTTAAACAATAAACTTGGTAGTAAATATTCACAAATGAATTGACCAAGAATAAGTCGTAATGTTGTAGATTGATTTGATTGCATGAAATAATTTAAAATAGATAAATGTCTAAGAGCTGAATCCATGGTGAGAACTGATCCATTAGAAGAATATGAAGAAGATTCAGAAGTAGTCATAACAAAGAAATAATCTGATAACCATGTACAACAATTATAAAAGAAGTTATTCGATATAATTGGATCTGTTGAATTTGTCGGTTTATTCATTGAGAAAATAGAATAGACAATATGATCTGATGATAGAATTGAATTGAATACTTTCAATTGACTATTGAATAAGAATTTATCATATTGATTAGACAAGGGACTTGTTGTAGGAATGATTAAAAGTTTTGATAAAAGTATAGAGATGACATTTGGTTGGATTGTGCATAAAGAGCACATTAAATTGATTAGTACTTTGGTAAATTGTTTAATTTCAACGATTAGGTTCTTAGTATCATTATTGTCATCATCAACATCATCCATAGATAGATCCATTTGATAATGTTTTATAATTGAGGTGTATAAATCAAAAATAGAACTGAAAGAGTAGAGAGAGAAAATTGAATGTCACATTGAAACAATAAATCCATATATATTAAAGTTTATAATTTTAGAAGAATTACGGCAACTCATTCATTAACAGAATAATATTAATGGGGTTTTAAGCCGGAGTGTTTGCATGAAAAGATTAGCGAAACTATCGAAATCCTCAAATTAATGTGCAGTGAGGTTTGAAACCCCAAGAATTGACTTTACTAAACTTTAGTGTGTTTATTTTTACAAGGTGTCATACAGATTAGAAGCTACTATGTTTACTCAGTCAGTCATAACGTAGAACTTTGTACGTACATACATCGGTTCGAGTTACCATACAACATTAACACAGAGATCCAGTTGTCGATTCAAATCCCATAGTGGTAGAAGTAGTAGGAGTATAAGCATTATGTGAAAAATTAGAGTTTGAAGATGTTATTCAAAAGAGTATAATACAGTGAAATAATTGGTGGATTATGATTAGCAGTGGAATCTAGGAAGCGCGTTTTATTCTGTTTGATACTGGATGTACCTACATCCCAGTGTTGATGTTCAATATTGAGACTTGAACCGAGCTTTTGCAACAGGTATGATACTTATATCAACAACGTGATAATTTAAACACTAACTAATCATGAAATGGAGTTTGAAGCAAGGATTAATTAATTCCAGTCCAATTTACTAAACATGAGTACTAGACACGAAAAAACAAACAGTTATTTATCATATAATAGCTTGTCTTAGCTGTCGTGTGACATACCAAACTAACTTTGGCATATTATGTGAGCTTACCTTATATACTATGTGGTTTCATCAGTTTATTGTATTTACTGATGATTTCTAGAATGAACAGCAAGAAATAACCAGAAAAGAAGCAAGAATTCTACTTTTCACTAAATAAATCCAATACAGTACTCAAAGTGTTTTATTTTAAAATCGGAGAAAAACACACTTAGTATTGTTCGTTTGAATCTTCCCACTGATGTTTTAGGACTGCGTCTGGTCAGTCTCTAACTGGCATATGTGCATACTGTGCGTATCGCCTCGATATAGCCTAAATTCACAAGCAAGGTAAGCAAAGATGGATAGTGGCTAACAGTAGAATCCAGGACGCGCGTTTCATCCTATTTGGGCGAAAGGTACTGGGTTCAAGTTCATGAGTGAACATCAACTCTGAGATGCAGGTACACCCAGCTGACGAGTCCCAAAGAGGACGAAACGCGCGTCCTGGATTATACTGCTAGCCACTATCCATCTCTGCTTACCATGCTTGCAGAAGAAAAACACTTGAAACGATTCAACAAAAACAACTAGGCAAAAAATTCTTTTCATCTACATTTCAATTGTAATAAATCATACCTAATAAAATCAATTGTCACATATTTTTGCCATAAATTTGAACATTGATCCGTTTCCATTGTACCAGTAGTAGTACCACTACTTAAACTCCATAAAACACTTGAAAAAATCAATATTAATTGAGACCAATGATTCAATAATTGATGATTATGAGAAAGAATATCTTGTTTTATCGTAGATTCATTGAAATGACTTAACCAATTAATAATTTGTTCAATACGTGTAGATTGTCCAACATCTTGATGTAGACATAACCATGCAAATAAACGTTGATTTGGTGTAGATGTTAATGAAGCTAATGGACCATACCAATAAGATGAATTGAATTCATTATCTATATCTATATAGTTATAATTTAAGCACATACATATGCATACAAAAGAAAAGAATTAATAAATCAGTAGGTAGTATATAGTTTTAAATGTTAATTAATAATAGTTTTTTAGATTAACATGATGAGATATATCAATAAGAGCCAACTATGACACTGTTGTGAGATTAGTTCGACTTCAAAAGATTGGGTTTAGAATGAGTTGTTGAGAATAGTTCTCCTTTATGCCTACAAAATCTGACCTCTTCAAGTTAATAATGTTTGACGACTCTTTATATTTAACGATTGTCATCTCCAAAGAATGTTTGCCATCCAGTGGCAACAGAGCGTTAGTAAGTCTAACATTAGATATATTTTGAGGAGTGGAGTGCCGAAAACTCAATTATTATCATCGTCTCAAAACACTGATGTAAATGACTGAAATACGTACATCGTATATTATTTCCCGACGCTAGAGCTGGGTGAAAATAAACAGAGATCTGACAATGATATTAAAGGTAAGTGTACAGAACTTAAATCCGTCAGTTCACCAAAATTCCTCACCTGGAATCATAGAGATAGTACAATTCATTGCCTCAGGATGGAAGCTAGTGATGATTCGGCTGTCATTAAGTAAAATCGAACCTTAGACCAGGAAGAAATCTTAATTGTATACTTAGAAAAACTATTACTCTAACTAAATACCACTTCTATTCAATGCTCTATTAATTGTACTACTCATCCGTTCTTTGTTTTTAATTTATTTTCAAAACTTATGCATAATGTAAAATCTTTTAATGTTATTTAAGCGCAACTATTTATGAGTAGTATTTCGAAGGGTGAAAGTTATTAATACTAGATAGTTGATAAAGTAATAGGTTTGTTCTTTTTAAATTCAACAATAATCTCTACTGAAAGCATCTAGGCCCTGAATAATTTTACATAATATTAAATTAAGATAGAATATCTCGAGCAGACAACAATTCTACTAAAGGAAAATAATAGAAGATAACCTATTTACAGTAACTTATATCCAATTAAATACAAGATCTAAAAGTAACAAACATAGGATAACCTAGTGGTAGCATCTCGAACTGTGAAACAGAGTTCGAATCCACTAAGAAGCATAAGTGTATGAATGGCTTACTGACGAGTAATAAATAGCACGATACCAGGGTTTCTCTCCAATTACACCTTTAACCATCTAACATTTCAATATAGTACATGTGATTTCGAATCTCTTCGACCAGTAGGTACATGGCAAATCGATCAACAGAAATCAGTCAATACTATGAACTAAGGAAACATGATATTAAACACTATTCAGTGATCAGTCAAGGTAGAGTTGAATTCAAATGTAGTAAACCTGGAAGATGTTGATAACTCAAGAGTTGATACTGATCAGTGATCACATGTAAGCAACCTCCAATTTATTTAAAAATAGTAACATAAATACGAAGCTCCAGTGAAAAAAAGTGATATACTTAAATGTTCGAAATATGTACTACTTATGGTTTTATTAGTAAAACAAAACGAAATTATTTTCATAGTTGCAAACGTCAGTCAATTGACGCTAGACCACCATGGAAAACCTGGAAACACTGGACGACGGTTCCGTCCTATTGTGGGACTCCTCAGCAGTGCGCATCCACGACCTCGCGAGATTCGAACGCAGGATCTACCAGTCTCGCGCCAGAGCACTGAGCCGGCATCCAACGGTGTTTATGTCTAACTCCAACCAATCCACGAAGTTGCAACTATGAAAATACAAAATCTCCATAAAACTCCTTCTGATAATAAAACGAAATTAATTTGTAAATAATAAGATAAATGTTACTGTTGACATTGATCCATCACAAAGTATGAGACAATGCTATACTGCTCGATCCAAAGTCCTAATCTAAATGCATCGCAATCCTTGGACTATGACTTGATATCGTGGCAAAATTTAGTCTGGTCTTAGTTAGCTAAAGACAAATAAAGGAAAGCTCTGAATTTTACATTTCTCGGTAGCTGATATTCATTGCCAAGGTATGTCTATAATTCTGAGGAAGTAAATACAATTGAGTCTAAATAAAATTCGATCGACACAAATCAGCTGATGACATAATATTGGTTGGTATTCAGTGGCTGACTAGTATAAACATCTTAGTCCAACAGGAAGTTAGTAGCGGTATGAATAGTCCAGTGTTATATCTCTGACTGTGATATGGAAACAAATCCCACAAGGAACATTCATACCCAAAAGCTTACAGGTATCTCATGTTGATGGGTATTGATTAATATGAAATCTAAACGGTAAAGCTAAATACTGTGTATCTATGATCATTGAACAGATTAGTTTTTTATCAGAAGAGGGTTTTGTGGAGATTTAAGTTGAGATCATGAGTCAATTGAAGCTAGACCACCATGAAAAATTTGGAAGTACTGAACGGTCGTTTCGTTTTATTATGGAACTCCTCAGCAGTGCGCATCTACGATCGCACCTCGCGAGATTCGAACCCAGGAGATTAGTCCTCTGTTAAAAAAACTAAAAATTGACATCACCTGTACAACATCATAAAAGATCAACGTAGTGTCCTGGCATAACAGCAGAGCAATACTTATTTATGTAACTCAAAAAAACAAAACAAACAAACTAACCCTGATTTGATTTCGACACATTTGTGAATGATACATTTTCATAGTTTATTGTTAAGTCATCATCATCATTATTACCATTCAATAATTTAGTTAATATATAATTAGCAAGACTATTTCTACCCGCATTATCTGTATTAACCAATAATCCGAGTAAAATACGTTCACATAATATAGCTGATGAAGGACATGATTTCCAAAACATATCCACTTCATTATTAATATAACTAATAGGTGAATAAAACCATTCATTATGTAATCTCTTATTATCATTATCAGATGAATCATCACTAGTTAAATTGTATATATAATTGATCATATCAAAAATCTGATTATGACATGTTACCATTTGTATTAATTGACGGGTACACATTGATAGTTTTTTATCTGAACTAATAGTATGTAAACAATGTAATAATGAATTGATAAATTGATAGGAATAGAATATATTGGGTAATAATTGTGATAGCATTTCATTATGTAATAGATGTAGTAAGACAATTGGTCTGAGAAGTAAAGAAAAAAACAAGACAAGAGAGAGATAAGAAAGTGTAATTGAGTGAACAAACGAATAAAACAAGAGAGTAAATAACTACTAATTGCAGATATTAGTAGTGTAGTGAACAGAACTTTAGTTGGGATCAATCGAATGTATTTAAACACAACATTACAGATTATCTCACTAAATTCTGTTAACCATACAATAAAACAGTTAATTTGCAAAATAACAAATAAAATAACAACTGTTATTTATGTAAATATCCATTGTTTATGGATTTTCCTACCGATTGCGCTTCATTTCAGTTCTTTCCTTATCGGTCTTGTACCATAATACATTCTATGAGCCCCCAATGCCCTGGTACTGCGAAAGTGGGGAGAGTCCGCTCTCTCTCTCTCCAAATGTTCTCACATGGCCACGTGCATACAACCACTGTTGTTTACGAAATTGAGAGGACGAAAAGCGAATGTCCGGAGCATTAACCGGGTTGGTGGACATGGATAAGTCCACCTAAGGGAGTTGTAAAACCCTCATTCCAAACCAATGGTGTACATGGGCTGGCTCCAGTATCCTGAAGGAACAAATGGCGTATGAATCAATTGTCGGTTACCGGCTACCATGGGACTGCATCTCCTTACGATGCTCCATTGCCTTGTATGTTAGACCTTCAGGTCAAAGGCTCCGGGTGTGGCCCCCTAAGAAAACCAGCTGCTTCAGTTTGGGCACGTGGACAGTATCACAGCCCTCACACAAATCCAATGAGATTTGTGAGGCGCATATGTATTTGGTGCTTCCCTGTACCAATATGTGTTTAAATAAATAAATAAATAATGTCTAACCATTACCATATACTATTTATACGGATCTAAGTAGACCACACCATAGTAGTACTTATATTACATTTTGTGTTAGGAAATATATTTGTTGTGGTTAGAATATAAAAATAAAAAGTTTTTAATAGTATAAACCAATATTTAATTTAAAATTAGGTATGAAAGTTGAATAAGAAATAAACTAAAATTATGGTTGAAGTCATGAGTCAATTGAAGCTAGAACACCATGGAAAACCTGGAAGCGCTGGGCGTCCGTTTCGTCCTATTGTGAGACTCCAAAGCAGTGCGCATCCACGAGCTTCAATTGACTCATGATTTCAGCTATAAATATACTGAAATCTCCACAAAACCTATTCTAAACTAAAATTAACTCATAGTGGGAATTTATAACAGAAAGCTGAATGTGTTGGTATTGTGGTGTGGTCTACTTATATCCATATAAGTAGTATATGGTGTGGGTCAGACATAGAATGTATTTTCGCAGAAGACCGATGAGGAAAGAACTGAAGTGAAGCGCAATCGTCTGGAAAATGCATGAGCAATGGAATAAGAGAAGAAACAGTGGAGATTGAAACAATTGGTTGTTAATTTGCAAATTGACTGTTCATTGTTTGGTTATCAGAATTTACTGAGATAGTCTGTAATCTTTGCTTAAATACATTCGATTGTCCCCAACCAGTGTTTTGTTCACTACAGTATGACTACTGAACAATTACTGATCTGTCCTTATGAACAATACAATTATATACACACATAAAGTAGTATAGGTTTGATTTCCTCCAAAGGAAAGATTTAAAATTAGTTGATCACTAAGCTATAATCAATGTTATGTTCGTTTTATCCTATAGTGCTAGACGAATTCAATCTGTCATGTTTTGATGTAGCCACTACTCTTAATGTATCAAACAGATTAGTGATAACAACTTTAACTATGAGCGGAAGTGACCCTAGTTTAAATTCCAAAGTCAGCAAATCAGTTCCTTCAAGACTGCAAATACACCTTATTAATGAATATGTACAAGCACGAAACCAAGGTCGAGTACACTTTCTTGTTGATTGCCCTAACCATCTAATATGCTAACAATCATAGTCATAATGCATTTCAAAGTGATTAACCATCGAAATATGGATCACTGAAAATCAGTGTCTTGAGAGTATTGTGTACTTGAAGCTGGGTAAACAAGTCCTGGGACTTATTACTGATAGGGTCTTGCATAGGCTGTTTTTTAACTGTTAGCAACAGTTGAGTAATGCTAGCCAGTGTTCAATTGTTTCTCAACTGAAGTATGTGTATGGTGCGAATAATTCGCAAATTTAATTATTAAAAAAACTATCCAGTTAAAAAAAGAAGGTCGGTAATCTCAGGAAACAGAAAAAAAACGGGTAAACAACTCACCTGATTTTATTTAACGAATTCTCACCAGTTAAATTATTTGCATTTATGCAGCTATTTCCACAAGTCTCTGTGAAAAACAACCGATTATCATTTGCATGTCTTCCTAATAAACGTAAAATGTTCACACGAAGAGTTTTATTGTAATTCTGAGAATGATAAAGTCTTATTAAAACATGTGATACTAAACGTGGTGGAAAATTAATTGTATGAAGTTTTGACAATGATGATTTGTTACTTTTATGTGCACTGATAAATGTTCGCCGAGAAGCACCAGGTAAATCACGATATAGTTCTATTTCAATAATTACAGGACTAGCTACAAAAAGGGGAAATCATTGAGAAAAATAGAGAGAAAAACAAGAGTTTTCTGTAAGATTATTTGTAATAAAATCAATTCATAATATACATACAATTCAGTTCAACCAGTTAAATACGTGAGCTCATACAATAGAAAAATATGAAAAACTAGAGAAATAAGTCTGAATTCAATATATGGGATTTTTGCGCGAACATTGTTAAATGTTCACAATTCATATTACAGACTAATCTTGTTTAAATCACTAATGAAAACAGTGAAATAATAGATAAGCCTTTCGTTCTAGTATGGGACTCCTCAGTAGTGGCTATCCACGGCCTAACATTGAACACAGAGCCTCCAGATTTGCTTGTGAACACTCAATCTCCAAACCACCAAGCCGAAATCCAGTAGTGTGCGTGTCTAACCTCAATAAATTCGTGATAATGCACAACCACCTTTCAATCATAATAAAATTACGATCAAAGTAGGTACGTGGCTAGATTTTGAAGATATGACTAAACAGTATGAAAATGAGTGCACTCTATGGTTTATAAATAATTCAAGTATACATCTAAGCTCATTTTGCGTATTAATGCCTTTGAGATTTAAACACTAGTTATTTGCTTTGCCTCGTTTCAATTTCATACAAAAGATCTTTGCTATATGAAAACAGTGAGGACATTCCCGCCATTATGCTGAAAACCGCTGATAGTATCAGAGGATTGCGAGAAGCAAAGTGTACTCTTTATAGCCTCAGTTATAGAAGGATACTCTTTTTTAGGCCAGTATGTTAATTCATTCAATCATGTGAGTACTGAAAAACCAATATTTTCATGAACATATTGTCTTTGTAAAACAAATAAAGTGTATAAAATACAAGTGATAACTATGTTATATCCCGAAGAGAATTGTGAATGGTAACTTTTAAGAACTATTTATGGATCAATATGGTATATATATTTCCTATTGTATAATTGCTAAGTAACTTAACTATTCATATTCATGCTTCTTCTATTATAAGCTTATTTTGGACCTGTGAACAATTACTATACCATTTACTATTCTTGAGTTATACCCAGTCTATTGATTACTGTTCCCCCTGTTGTGTATCATTGCTCTGGTCGATAATTCACTATTCTCTAATTGGCGAGCATTATCATGTTGTATATTAAACAGGGCACGCACACACTCACACGATATAACAAACTACTTACTTACTTACGCCTGTTTCTCCCAATGGAGCATAGGCCGCCGACCAGCTTTCTCCAACCCACTCTGTCCTGGGCTTCCTTTTCTAGTTCTACCCAGTTCTTGTTCATTCTTCTCATGTCTGTCTCTATTTCTCGGCGTAATGTGTTCTCTGGTCTTCCTCTTCTCATTTGACCTTCAGGATTCCATGTGAGGGCTTGTCTTGTGACGCAATTAGCTGATTTCCTCAAGGTGTGCCCAATCCACTTACAGCGCTTTCTCCTGATTTCTTCCTCCGCTGGAATCTGGTTTGTTCTCTCCCACAGTAACTTATTGCTGATAGTGTCTGGCCATCGGATCCGAAGTATTTTGCGTAGACAGCTGTTGATGAACACTTGTATCTTTTGGATAATGGCTTTCGTATTTCTCCATGTCTCAGCCCCATACAGTAGAACTGTCTTGACATTTGTATTGAAAATTCTAACCTTGGTGTTGGTTGACAATTGTTTTGAGCTCCAGATGCTTTTCAGTTGTAGGTATGCTGCTCTTGCTTTGCCGATCCGAGCCCTCACATCTGCATCTGATCCACCGTATTCATCAATGATGCTGCCCAGATATGTAAAGGTTTCCACATCCTCCAAAGCTTCTCCGTCAAGTGTAATTTGATTGGTGCATAATGTATTGTATCAGAGAGTCTTGCTTTTCTCTTTGTTTATATTGAGACCTACTGCTGCTGAGGCTGCTGCTACACTGGTCGTTTTTTCCTGCATTTGTTGTTGCGTTGTGATAGAAGAGCCAGATCATCCGCGAAGTCCAAATCGTCAAGCTGCATCCTGCCTGTCCACTGTATCCCGTGCTTTCCTCCAGATGTTGACGTCTTCATGATCAAGTCGATCACCAGGAGAAAGAGAAAGGGTGAGAGTAAGCAACCTTACCTAACACCGGTCTTTACTTCAAACGAGTCGGTGAGTTGTCCTCCGTGGACAATTTGGCAGTTTAGTCCATCATAGGAGTTCCGTATGATATTGACTATCTTCTCAGGCATGCCGTAGTGTCGAAGCAGACTCCATAGTGTTGTCCTGTCCACGCTATCAAATGCCTTATCGTAGTCGATGAAGTTGATGTAGAGTGATGAATTCCATTCGATTGATTGTTCCACAATGATCCGCAGAGTTGCGATTTGATCTGTGCACGACCTATCCTTACGAAATCCAGCTTGTTGATCTCGAAGTTGGGCGTCCACGGAATCCTTCATCCTGTTTAACAATACTCGGTTGAAGACTTTTCCTGGTATTGAGAGAAGAGTGATGCCCCTGTAGTTGTCGAACTTGCTCAGATCGCCTTTCTTTGGTATCTTGATCAGAAGTCCTTTTTTCCAGTCTGTTGGTACTTGTTCTTCGTCCCAAATCTTACTGAAGAGGATGTGGAGTATCTTGGCAGTTGCTGTTACATTTGATTTCAGTGCCTCTGCCGGGATGTTGTCTGGTCCCGCTGCTTTGCCGCTCTTGATTTGTCTAATGGCCATGCTGATCTCTTCAATTGTTGGTGGGCCAACATCGATTGGGAGGTCTATGGGTGCTGCTTCGATGTTGGGTGGGTTCAGTGGAGCTGGTCGATTCAAGAGTTCTTTGAAGTGTTCTACCCACCTGTTTCGTTGTTCATCAATGTCGATGATTACTTTGCCATATAGTAATATAACAAACTACACCATAGTAATAATAATAACATTTATTATTATTATACAATAATGATTTTTTTCATCGTTGAAATCATGAATCAATTGAAGCTAGACCACCATGGGAAACCTGAAAGAACTGGACGGCCGTTTCGTCCTATTATAGGACTCCTCCAGGTTTTCCATAGTGTTCTAGCTTCAATTGACTCATGATTTCAACTATGAAAAATACTGAAATCTCCAAAAAAACCCTTCCGATCAATAATGATTTTACCTGATTGAAGTGAATTCTTAACTGATAATTGTACACATTCTAATTGTATTAATAATGGTAATCTTACAATAATTTGTAATGATTCTTTATTATTATGAAAAACAAAATTAGTTTTAATAAATTCTGATAAATTGAATTTTTCTGGAATTTGATTGGATGAGTAGTCATTATTATTATTATTATTATTATTATTGTTATCATTATTAGTATTATTATTACAATCGTTTACATCCTTCATAAGATTAGATCCAGATATTGTTTTCGGTGCAAATGAATACGCTGAAAAACCTAAATATAATGGAAATATAATATTCTCACAATTATTATTATCATTATGACAATTCATAATTGATAATGTTTGACATAATGATGTAATTTGTTCATCTAATATATCGGAATAAATAAATGATATAGGTGCAAAATCAATTATTGATTTCTGATAATTTATGATTGAAGTATAGGATTTCTCTTTATCAATAATATCATAGTGATCAGTATCTTGGATACTATTTATTTTCATCTGTTTCTGTTGATTCGAATGAAGTAAATTAACACATTGACAAGTAGTAGCAGTAGTATCCATATTGGTTGATTGTTTTTGTAAACGTTGTTGATTAGGATAATTAAAATTAATTAGATTTTTTTGAAATTCTAATGAAGATTGTTTAAATAAATGAATTGGACCAAATAAACCAATAGGTAATGAATTAATTAAATATTGAAAATTGAATATTGATGATTGTTGATAATATGGTAGATTATCATTGAATGATTGTTGTAATAATGCTTGACCTAATTCTGATGCATTGATTGTATATAATTTTGTATAGTCAAGTGAAGAAGATGTACAGACAATGGAAGATGAAGATGATCTGATAGATTTACGATTGCAAGTATCATTTATAAAAGTATTTAAAAGAATATTTGCGTAATCATTATTATTATTATTGTGTAATTGCAAATTAGATTCAATACATAAAGCTAATAATAGAAATAATGGACATGAATTTAAAGGAATTGGAGAAATGAGTGACTGTAACAAGTGTGTTCTAAATGTAAGTACAGATTCTGTCGTTGACGGCAACGATAAAGAATGAGAAGAAGAAGAATCAATAGAATCCAATGATTGCATAACCATGATTACACAATAAAATAACCAATCACATATACTAATTGGTTTAAAATGATTCATAATTAATTGAGCAAAATGTTTCAATGTTTTCCAACCATTAATCATACAAGATAATGTAATCATTGTACTCATAGGTGAGTTAACATGAGCAAAACTTAATGAGGATAAGAATAATTTAATATTTCTGATAAAAAATACTCTAAGTTTATGTTTATCATGGATATTGTTGAAGGTTTCTGTTAGTATTCTACAAAGATTCCCAAGAATTAATGCTAAACACTTATTATGGTATGTTTTATTAGATAGAATTTGTGAATACATTCCACTTGTAGAACATAAACCATATAAATAACAACAAGTTAATTGTCGAATAAATAATGAAGAACAATTTGATAATGGTGTAGTAGTAGTAGTAGTACTACTACTACTACTAGTATTCATAGGAGTTGAAGATTGATCATTTGGATCTTTATCAATATTTTTTGTAGAAGGATTACTAATTAATCTTTGTCGTATATGATTACTAGCTAGTGTAGACCATAAAGTGAAATTTTTATGGCATGATTCATATTCTTCATCGACAATAGTAGTATAACATGAAAAACATAATAAATAAGCCCTATGATTATTATCATTATTCATTGGGGATTGTTGATTTAATTTAACAAGTTGATCATATAGATAATTTAATAAAATTTGTACAAGTTGAAAAAGATAATCTATTGGTAGATTTGATATTGTATGCATGGAACATGTGGTAATCGTTGTTTGAATTGCATGTTCGACTGAATCAGAATCATTATCAATAGTGTTTGTTTGATTGGATGATTTAATACGTGAACATATAGCTGTTAAAAGAACAGCTTGTAAATCACACGGACCTTCAATAATTCTATTTTTAAGGATAAAATGAATATAACAAAGGAAAAATGTAATAATAATATAAGGTAATACACGGGGAAGGTATTAGATTTCAATAAAAAAAATTATGCTGTAATTATACGTAATTATGACTGAATTTGAATGACTCTTACACCCCCAAAAACCCTGGTACGGAAGAGTTCGCTCTCCTTTTCGAAATGCTCTCACATAACCACATGCATACAACCACTACCAGGAAAGTCCTACTCACTGCGTTTTCGCGGTGTGGGTATTGTTTGACTCAATTGAGAGGACGATGAGCAAGTGTCTGGCGCTTTAACCGGGTTGATAGATATCGAGGATCCACGTAAAGGGATTGGAAAACCGTTATTCCAAATGAGTGTTGCATATGGGCTCCATGATGCTGAGGGAACAAATTATGTGTGAACCTATTGTTGGTCACCGGCTACCATGAGACTGCATCTTCTGATGTTGCTCTACTGCCTTATGGGTCAGACTCCTAAGCAAAAGACTGACGGAGTGGCCCCTTATAAAAACCATCTGCTTCATTTTGGGCGCTTAGTCAGTATTCCAGCCCCCAAACGAATCGGATGGCGAAGTGTGGCGCATATATATTTAATGCCTTCTTGTACAAATGTTTATGTGCTTAAGTAAATACACCCCAAAACACTTTAAAGGCAACCACTATCATTCTCAAGAAAAGTTTTTCTTTGAAATTACACTAACATCGTAGAGGGATTTTGGTTAAAAAATGTTACCATAAAGTTAGCATAATACTTCCCTCTGCAAAAATAAGTGATGAACATACAATTCCAGTCGCTAATACATACGATAATTCATCTACTTTTTGCCGAGTTCCAAGAGGATATCGAAAAGTGTGTCAACTTACAGGCCTATCTCGTACTTACTATTGTTGACTGAAGAAGATCTATAAACGTTCTGTTTGCATTTATCATCTCAATAATTGGTAGAAGACTAAGCTGATTCATTATTAGATGAGAATCTCTTAAGGAATAACTGCGTTTCATACAGTTAGTACAATGATGTTTTAATATTTTTTACCACTAGAATTGGGCCGTCCAGTGCTTCCAGGTTTTTCATGGTGGTCTAGCTTCAATTGATTCATGATCCCAACTCTATAATATTTATTAATTGATCAAAACTGAAGGAGAACGTTCAGATTTTCATGTTGTTTCTCTAATAGGTAAAAAAATGGACTTATTTCATACGAAAATGAAATATTTTCGAACTTCACAATTGTCTTATTTAAATACGTTACACATTCTTGGAAAAGTCTGATAATGTCATATGTAGTTTAGAATCAATTAGCTGTCTAATAGGAGATAAAAATGGTTATTAACTCAATTTATTGAACTGTAGCGTAGTGAATACTGAGGAACTGGTGACTTAAGAAACTATTTTATGAAATAATTATACGTACATATTTATCGACAGACCAATAACATACAAGATTACTTTGGTCTCATGCATATCATTGGCCAAATCTTAAGATGCTAACCTATAGACGTAGTAGTGCAGGCTAAGAGAAGAAACTATAACCTGAGGCATTAATTTATATGAAGCTATAAAGTCAGCTCTTTGGATGGGGGGTAGGTAAACATCTCTCAAACAAATATAGAAACTAATCAACATGTTGAATGATCCATTTCTTCAGTACACAAGTCAAAATTATACAGTGAAAGTATTGGAAATAATATTTTAAAAACTTACTGAGTTGAAGTATTTGCCTTTGAAAACAAACCAATTAATTGATCAAGACAAAATTTATCAAATGGATGATAATCCGAATTTACTAATTTCACTGTTGAATATGCAAACCATGAGAATAATACTTCTAAAGCTAATGTACATGAACGATTTATACCATTTCTTAATGAATAATCTGTAAGTATAGTATTGAGAAATAATGAAAAACTTGAAGATTCTAATATGTACAGTCGTAAATTTGATGATTCAGATGATATTGCTAAAAAATGAATAGTCAATGTATAAAAATTACGTAAATATTCAATAGATTTTGAAGATAGGTAATGCTGATCAGTTGTTTGTGTTCTTTGCTTTAATTGAACAAAATTTTCTAATAAGTTTAGGACATTTTGTAAACTTTCCAATTGAATATTTATCTGAAGATTAGTCTTTACATAACATTGGCATTTTTTGGAAGTTTTATCATTCGAAGTAAGTTTCCAGGGTCTATAAGTAAAAAAACAAAAACAAGAGAGAAGCAAATTAATCGATAATGGCATAAGGTTTTATATGCTCGAATTTGAACCAAATAGTTTATATGAAGATTAGTGACGGCAGTCGTAGGTGGGTTTCAACTAGAAAACCTGAGAACTACTGATATGTTTTAACTAGTAAGTCGGTGCTGCATTGAATCGAATTAAAGATGTATGTCAGCCAGTCAGTTATTAGCAACGTAGGAACCGGTATATATATGCGTCGGTGTCACATCAAAATTGAGATAAAAATTATCAAGGTGGCTAGAAAAGCAGTAGTGGTAGTAGAAACAATAGATAGAAATTTTTAGAGAATATAGAATAAATAAGAGGGGGGTTTTGTGGAGAATTTAGTATTTTCATAGTTGAAATCATGAGTCAATTGAAGCTTGACCATCATGGAAAACCTGGAAGCACTGGACGGCCGTTCGGTCCTCGAATGGGACTACTCAGCAGTGCGCATCCACGATATCGCCTCGCGAGAGAGATTCGAACCCGGGACCTATCAGTCTCGCACCGGAGCACTTAACTGATAGACCAATGAGCTGGCCGGCATCCAACGGTGTTAATGTCCACGAAGTTGACCAACTGTTCACCAATTTTCTACAGTGAGTTGATATCTCTACAACAAACTTGGTTGAACTCCATTGGTTACTGCTTCCCACTAGAACTCAAGGAAATATCTCTTGAAGTCAGTCTGGCTCGAGACTGGTAGGTCCTGGGTTCGAATCTCGCGAGGTGGGATCGTGGATGCGCACTGCTGAGGAGTCCCATAGTAGGACGAAACGGCCGTCCAGTGCTTCCATGTTTTTCATGGTGGTCTAGCTTCAATTGACTCATGATTTCAACTATGAAAATATAGAATAAGTCGGGAAAATCAAGACAGAAAAATAATTTTAAAATCTAGGGAGGGAAGACAACAACTAAACGTATTTGAACTATTTCAAACACTTATGAACGACAACACCGAATCGTTAGTGATGATTATTGCGTGAACCTAACTATCAGGTAGTTTGCACTTACCAACATGGATCATACCCAACAGTTGACAATTTTATGAATTTATATTATGTCCAAGGTTTGCTTACATTGAACATTCTCACAACTTATTCAACTTACTTGAAATTTGGTTCACCAATAATTCCACAGAATAGGTATAAAACATTTATAAGATATGGATGTTGATCAGACAGATTATCATGAACCGATTGTAGCTTATTATCATTATTATAATCCAGTTGACCAATAGATTTGGCATCTTTCAACATGAGATTTATACATTCAGAAAATATTTCACATAATACGAAATGACCATTATTGTTTGACGATGTTGTTATACAGGTATTAAGTCTGTTTTTTTGTGTATGAATATGATTAATTTGATGTTGATTAAATGGTTGCACTAAAATAGACTGAGCTCTAGTCAACAATTGGCTAGGTAATAAATGCCATAATAAATCTGTAGTTTGTTGTAGATGATAATTAACTACAGAATTGTTTGGATAAGGCCATGATTTATTTTGAGATTTCTGAAGGTCAATACTAAATGGAAGCACAAAAGGAAGAAATAAACAAGAGTAATAAAGGTATAACATTGAAAACGAATGTTGTAAATGTAAATGGTGCGATGATTCAGCGTTCTGAAAGAACAAGTAACTACATAAGTTCAATGTTTTGATCAATGGATGATGTTGACTATTGCCCTAGACTTTGAATTCTTCACAGATTTCATTGATTACTTAAAAAGAATTATTCGCTTCAGCGGGTTATGTTCATGAACAAACCTTAGCAATTTATGACTAGTACAAAATTTTTCAAAGTTAAAATCATGAGTCGATTGAAGCTAGACCACTATGGAAAACCTGGAAGCACTGGACGGTCATTTCGTCATATTGTGGGACTCCTCAGCAGTGCGCATCTACGATCCCGCACTCGCGAGATTCGAACCGAGGACCTATCAGTCTCGCACGCGAGCACTTAACTGACAGACTACTGAGACGGCCGGCATCCAACGGTGTTAATGTCTAACTTCAACCGATCCACGAAATTGAGCAACCATTCACCAATGTCATCAGTGAGTTGATATCTGCCAACTCCATGGGTCACTGCTTCCCACTAGAACTCCAGGACATGTATCTTGAAGTCAGTCACTAGTGAGCATATGATTATAATCAGAAGGGGTTTTGTGGTACAAAATTCACTAGCAATCTGATAGAGCTCTTTTTGTATCTACTTGTTTCTACTGTAGGTGAAACATGAACACTCAATGTAATACATATTTAATAACATCGCCCCGTTTCAATTTTTCAAACAGTTTAAAGGTATATCTTTTAGTTTTACATACATTACTAAAATTCAATTAAAGAACAAAAAAGGAAATTAAATTCGTGCTTTTAATACAGTTTGTATTTATATTCTAGTTAGCGTTTTTTTAGCAAGGTTGTTTTCTACGGGATAGGGTTGCTGATCTCACACCTAAACCCCCTCTTTTACCCGGGTTTGGAACCGGTAGTAACCCTAGAAGAACCACGGGCTAAATTGCGCCCGAAATCCGAAGCAGATACAAAAAGAATGAACAATAACTGGAAAGGATTTCTAAGGACAGAGTTAAATGGAGAAAACTGGTGGGTGGCCTATGGTTGTCCACGAAAGGTAACAGGAGTAAGTAAGTTGTATTTGTATGTTGAAGTAAAAATTTCATGGTTTAAGCATCTGAAATTCAACTACTGAATTGTCAATTTAAATTGTGGTTTTCTCAATCCTGGTTTTGTAACGAAACAATTTAATGAATTGATACCCTGTCAAAAATTTCAGCTTATGACGATGGTCGTAACAGATAAAATAACTACGCTAAATTATAAGCTTTGATGGACGATAGCTAGCAGTGGAATCCAGAACGCGCATTTCGACCTAGTTAGGACTAGTCAGCTTGATGTAAAATGAAACGCACGTCTTGGATTCCATGGCTAGCCAGAATCCATTTCTGCTTATGATGGTTGTGAATTAATGGCAATATCAAAGCAATCCCTAAAAGATGCGCATATGGCAGAAATGATCGATCTATTGCAGTCCTACACACCAATTCAAACAAAAAATACAAAGGAATTAAGACAATTTAAGTAGTGACTGAAAGTTTAGTAGGGATGAGTCTAATTTGAAGGTAGCTTTTTAAAGTAGTCAAAATAATTAAGAAGCTATTTCATTTTGATATGAAACTCCTTAGTAGTACCTACACACGATTGCATCAGAAATCAAAACAAATATTCTCAAGTAATAATTGATAACATTAAACGACCGTTGGGCTACACTGTTGAATGATTGAATCTGGAAGCACGCACCATTAGATTTTAACTTACTAGCTTAAGGATTACAAGTTAGCTGAAAAACTGGAAAGTCCTGAGCTCAATTTCTGAGAGTGTCATAGGTACTAATGTTGAGGGACTTCATACAAAGATAAAGGAGCTGTACAGTTCTCCTTATGTACATACTATATTTACAATTAGCAAAAATAAGAAATTGATAAATCGCAATGTTGTTATTTTATACCTTTCAATATTTCCATAATTATCTGGTTTTATGGTCTGTGGACACTCAGGAATGCATTCACTATTAAGAGTAAGGCATAAACATTCAATAATCATATCATTCAAGAGAGACGACTGATCATTAAGACGTTGACAAAAGTTAGTTAGGAATTTAAAAAGTTCAGATTCGTAAATATTTCCATCGGGAATGAAATATTGACGAATTCGATCACCTGAAATATGCCAACAAATACGACCAAGTAGGCGGCAGATAACAAAACAATTCTGAAATAAAATTGACTCTCTTGACATTGTAGAGCTATTATTCACAGATGATAAATTTAATAGATCATTTAAAAATTTTAATGTAACATTGATTAATATCTGTAATAGTTGAATTAAAGAATTTTCAATGGAAGACTCATCATCATCACCAAACATACAGAGAAATCTTTGTTGAGGAATTTGATAGGTTTCCAGAGGAAGAAAAGATTTGCTGGAATATGTATTGGTTTGTTGAATACATTCTGGGATACACTAGAAAATAAAAAAAAAGAAATCAGGAAAAAAAGTATTAGTATATGAAAACAATTGGAAATTTCTCGAAAATCAAGTTCTTTTGTAAAAAAAAAGAACATTTACACTTAGTTGGAAAACAGAATCTGGGATTATACATACAACTATGGATGGGAAAGCAATATATGGACAAAAGTATATTACTTATCACGATGAATAGATAATATATACATAAACGATGAATTATATCCGAACGAAGAATAACTGAATGGTGACTGCTAGGAATTATTTATGGACTATTACTACATATATTCTCAATGGATAATTATTAAGTTACTAGATTATATGCATATTCATACTCCTTTTATCATAAGTTTTCATTTGACCAATCAGCCACTATTATTATATGACTTACTATTTTTCATTTCTATCCAAATTATCAGTTACAGTATGCCACACTCACACTTTTAGCTTGATCATATATAAATATTATTCGCTATCAGTATCAGAACTTAGTAACAGTTTAGTTATTATCAGATGTTTTGTGGAGATTCTATTAGTTTTTATATATATAGTTGAGATCATGAGTCAATTGAAGATAGAACACCATGAAAAACCTGGAAGCACTGGACGGCCAACTCGTCCTATTATGGGACTCCTCAGCAGTGCGCATCTATGATCCCGCACTCGCAAGATTCGAACTCAGGACCCAGCAGTCTCGCGCCAAAGCACTTGACCGACCGACCACCAAGCCAGCATCCGAAGGTGTTGATGTCTAATTTCAACCAATCAACGAAGTTGAACAACCGTTCAGTAAGTTGATATCTCACAACAGAGGTGGTTTGAACTCCACTGGTCACTGCTTCTCACTAGAACTCCAGGAATTACCTCTTGAAGTCAGTCACTAGTGAGCATGTGATGATAATCCGAAGAGACTTTGTGGAGACTTAGTATTTTCATAGTTGAAAGCATGAATCAATTGAAGCTAGACCACCAAGGAAAACCTGAAAGCACTGGACGGCCGTTTTGTCCTATTGTGGGATTCCTCAGTAGTGCGCATCCACGGTCATATTAATCAATCAACAATTCTTTAAACCTTCAACAAGTGTAAGAAATGAATACGAATAGTGGTAAGATAATGACAGATTGCTAAACTTTGCCTCTGTGTTTAAAAAAAGAAGAATATTAAGCTTAAAAGTTGAACAAAATTGACAAGATAACGGACAGTTCGCAACACTTAATGTCTTTCTATATTTATCAAGTATCACTTTTCATAATGTTGTCTTTTTATATTGGACATGTTTTAGAGAGGAACAGACAGACGAAACAAAGATGTGTTACCGTTTATTAAGCTCGATAGCTCTACTTCGATAACATTCATAGATATAATTTACTAAATTTTTCTTTAAAAATAGAAAACTTACAGATCGCATTAAAACTGATGTCTGTGAATCAATAATTCTTCGAACAAACAATGCTCCCAATGGGAATAAATCTTTCTCAATAATTTGTCGATGATAATCATGATTAGCTGAAATTATAAAATATGAAGTATTTAAAAAGCGTTCATAATCAACAACTCCGAGGAACATATTATGAGCACATAGAATAAAGATGAGATGTTAGTGAACATGGTTTACAGATGGTCGCGGGAGCAAAAATTTATTTACTTTGTATCTTTTCATTTGATTTTAAATTTATAAGATTCATTCATGCATACAGTCTGTTTATTGATACTTTCTGAACTATAATCTTGATCTTTTTCTTTACTAACAATGTCACTACTGACATTTGTTTGTTATTCACTCCGTGGTTAATTTCAATCTCACTGTGTCAATTTAACAAGGTAAACTAGACTGAAGCACACTTGTGTCAGACTTTACAATGATTGATATTGACTAACTACTTACTGATTGTTTGAAATTAATACAATATCAAGTTCGAAAACAAATCGCATCATCGAATGAAATCAGTTGGGAATCGGAGAGTATTTAGGAAGATGTTAAGTCTTAATATAAGACTGAATGAGAGGCGTGTGTACCCAGTACATTGCCAGACATCGAATATAAAGCTTTCTGAGTCGGCATCTACTATCTTACATTTCTAACTTCAGCCAATTTGTGATACTGTGTGATAATGACCGATTGCTATCATTGATATTTGTTTTACTCCAAAAAGAATTAATTGAAGTTGGAAAAGTAAAGTACTGGGATGACAACTAAATTAGTTAAATGTATGGTGCATGCAATTATTGAATTAAGGATTAATACCTAGTATGCCAAGTATTGTTAAGTTCCGATTAGGATTTCGTTAAAATTACAACCAGAAATACTTTCTTCAATCTCAAGAATTGACGACCTCTTGAATTTTTCTATTTATTCGTAGCGTCATCGATTGATGGACGATGTAGAATTTGCTAAGATGACATTCGTAACATATTTCTACGCTAACAAAGCTGGTGTTTCAAAATAGTAACATGGATTGAGTTATCATCACTGGACAAAAACATTCTCAGGTATCAGCATTACCAACACGGTGTTTCCAAAGGATTTTAGGAACACTGTAGAGACAATGGTGACCGAAGATGGAGTCATCTAACATCCTCAAATTGAAGAGCCCAGATTTCACAAGGACATATCAATATTGGTCTCATGGACGCCTTGTAGATTCGACAGTTAACAGCCATACTTATATCACAACGGTGCCACATATATCCAGGATCGGCGTAATTTGTTTCAGCTTTTACTAGACGAATGTTGATCACACCACTTACCCCACCACCCGTACTCACATAAGTACTTAGATACACGAAGTTTCAACTACTACTAACGGCTCACCATAAAGTGTTTATGAGCATAGGCTCCTGGCAGTCTTGTGAGAGTATTTTGAGTTTTAGTGCAAATTGTAATCCATACTTTACGGGTACTAATTACCGAATGACTAAGTACCTGCTGCTACCGAGCCAGTCTTTCACGGGTTCCGCACAATCCGCTAACCATGACGAAATCCAATAGTTTGGACTCAATTAAAAGCAAACTTACCCATGAATAATTATTGAATGGATGACATAAGTCTGTTTTTTAAAGATGCGGACGACAATCGCTTCATTTCAAAAAGTTAAAACTCTCCATTTTCCAAAACTTTCCTAAACAACCCAGTTAATCTCTCTGATTGGGAGTTCATCACCTTCTTATAAGTCAAGTTCTATTGATTTGCAACCTTTAAACTTCATAGTTTATAACAGTTAAATCAGATTTAATGCTACCAGTGGCTCAGATAGACTTAAATATTTTCCAACAGTGACCAGATACTACTGCTGCTTCTAATTAGATAACGCATTTCGACTAACAGGTTTCTCAGTTGTTACAAAAAACTTTATAAAGCTTACTTACTAAAGAACATACATCTGGCTTCACGCTAGCAGTTCACCAGAGTAACCTGTATCACTCAAGTATGTGTATGGAGCTTGCAAAGAACTAGTTCTTTTAACAGAAATTTTTGCAAAGCTCCTATTTTCATTGTGTCATGCAAATGAGCTCATTGATGCATGGTACAGGTAGTTAGACTTAACTTTCCGATACCTTTTTTATGCGTCACAACTAGTGATACTAAACAGTTTTTTAAAAAAATCAATGAATACAGATTTACAGTTGTAACTAATTGATTAAAAGTTAAACGATTTTGACTATCGGATGCCGGCTCAGTGGTTTATTGATTAAGTCCCACAATAGGACGAAATGTCCGTCCAGTGCTTCCAGGTTTTCCTTGGTGGTCTAGCTTTAATTGACTGATGCTTTCAACTATGAAAATACTAAATCTCCACAAAACGCCTTCTCTTTAAAAGCACCAATCTACCCTATATTAGAAACTGGTGTTAACGGATACTAATCATTAAATTACTACGATCAAATGTTTCGATTAACTAAAAAATGTTGAAGCATGTTATTTAGCGTGAATTGTAACAAGTTTATTACACGTTATTTATGCATGAAATTTGATATGAATAAAACATTTTCCATCATACAGAATAAAGATAATTGAATAATTTGAATAACTTTGATCAAATCTAATAAACTTGCAAGGATATATATATATATATATAGAAAATATCCAAACTCATTGGAAACCAAAATGAGTAGTTACTTTTTTGTTTTAAATAAATTTGCTCTTTGTTATCGAAGAAAACAGAATGCTGACTAGAATTCCAACTAAAGTGAACGCTACTCATGAAAACTACTTCTAAGTAGTATATAGCCAAATATGACGTCAAAGCTGAGACAGTCTTCAGACGGAAGAAAGATCAATTAAATGAAAGTACGAAGTGGGCAGAACATATAAAAATAAGACGAGAGGATTGTTCAGATTGCAGAAGACATTGAAATTTATTTATTTATTTATTTGAATAAACAAATATTGGTACAAAGGGGCACCATGTTATATCCCAACGAAGACATGAGTACGGGTACCTTGCAGGACCTATTTATGGACGATTACTCTATACATATGCTTATTGTATAACTATTCAGTAACTAGATTATGCATATCTAAATTCATCTTAATGTAAGCTTCATTTTGACCCATTAATTATTATTATATGACTTACTGTTCCTAAATTATACTCAGTTTATTGATTATTGTCTCCCACGTTCACAGCCACGTTTGGCTTGATTTTGTACAAATATTAATTTCTATTTTATGGTGTGATGTACTCTGTCTGTCTGGTATATAAACAAAGTATGCTTGAAATAAATGATTCGCATAGATTCGCATTGCAGAAGCTGCTATTGGTGTTCTGGACTCAAATGGAAGGGCTAGGCGGATAAAGGACCAATAAGGACGCTAGATTACTCATACTAATCGAATGTCATTTACTGTCACCGTGTTAAGGTCGTAGAAGTCGTATTTCCACTGGTGGATAAGTCACGTAATAAAAGCCGGACATAAAACTCAATAACGAATTAGGATACGTCCTTGGTTTATCTTATACAGTCATAAAAAATTAGCGACGACCATTATCAAGACATAACACACCAGATATATATGCGCCAAATAAATTTAATTTGATTTGTGTGAGGGCCGTGATACTGCCCAGGAGCCCAAACCGTAACAGGTGGTTTCCTTAGAGGGCCACACCCCGAGCCTTCGGCCTAGAGGTCTGATCCACAAGGCAGTGGAGCATCGTAAGGAGCTGCAGTCCCATGGTAGCCGGTGACCAACGATTGACTCCTACTCCATTTGTTCCCTCAGCATACTGGAGCATGCCCAGGTACACCATTGATTTGGAATCAGGGTTTTCTAACCCCCGTAGATGGACTTTTCGTGTCCACCAACCCGGTTAAGGCGCCGGACATTCGCTTTTTGTTCTCTCAATTTCGTAAACAACAGTAATGCCATTGTGAGAAGGCAGTGAGTAAGATTTCCCTGGAAGAGGCTATATACGCGTGATCATGTGAGAGAATTTGGAGAGGGAGAGCGAACTCTCCCCACTCTCGGCCGTACCAGAGCATTTGAGGGCTTTTCACACACTAAAAGATTCAAATGGGTGGTTGAAGGCTATTTATATATATAACATAGATGTTGTTTTTAACTTCTTTCAATAAATATACATCCTTTCTACGTATTGCCATCATCTGCATAACTACTAAATCTCAAGTTTGAACCCTTCTCTTGTTACAACAATTTAAACAATAAAATAATAATATCACTAATTCTTCTACAAATAAATATGTAGCATAAAGCAAAGTATATAAATCTAACTATACTTAGTAAATAAATTCATTAAAATAAGAAATCAATAAAGAATCTCGCAAGGCGAGGTCATGGATGCGTACTACTGAGTTGTTCCACAATACAACGAAACGGCTATCCAGTGCTTTCAGGTTTTCCCTAGTATTCTACCTTTAATTGACTCACACTTTCAACTATGAAAATAAAGAATCAAGTTAAGAAATAATTTAAAACAAACCTGCATATTGAGTTGACAGATTTGCTAAATGTTCTAAATGCCATCGATAATATGAAATAGCACATAATTGATATTGTGATATTGTATCATTATTATAAATACCATTAGTTATTTTACTATTTATTGTTTGACAATAAGGATATATAGCATTACATCGTTTTATATTATAGATTTGATGAAAATAATGCCATTTTAATAAACCATTTATACTTATATGTCCATTAGATGATAATTGATGCATATTTAATATAGTTAAAAAATGATTTAATGATTTATGTACAGTAAGAAGTGATGAATAACCATTTTCTATTATTGTATCAATAATTAGTAGTATATTATTAAAGATTTCTAAATTCAATGGATCCTTTTCATTATTATTAGTGTCTATAGAATTCCATATATCATAAAGAATGGATATAGTAGTATCAAGTAGATATTGAGACATTCCAGTATGGATTAAACGTTGTAATATAGACCAAAATAATAATTGTTGTCTTGTATTATTATGAATATTAGATTTTATGATTGAAGAATTTTTAAGAAATTTATAAAGATAATTATGATTAGTATGATTCATTGATAAAAGAATGGAGTTGATTTTTATAAACATTGGTATTAATCCAACGGTAAGAATCTGTTCAAAACAAAAAAAAAAAGAAAAACACACATACACATAAATAATAAATTTCAATATAAAATTAAACACGACAATATAGAGGAATGCTCTGACCCCAGGTGAAGGCTCACTATTGCACTTTGGTGGGTTGAAAGTCGCGACGAACCCTTATCAGGTGCGCTCGAGTGTGTAGTTTTTGTCAGTGGGGAGGTCTCACAGTCATCCCTTTTATAAGCCCATAAATGCCATGGTACGGCAGAGAGTGAGGAGAGTACGGTCTCCCTCTCCAAACGCTCTCACATGGCCACAGGTATATAGCTTCTACCAGGAAAATCCTACTCACTGACTTCTCACAGTGGCATTACTGTTCTTTACGAAATTGAGAGGACGACGCTTCAACCGGGTTAGTGGACACGGAAAGTTCACATAGGGGAGTTGGAAAACCCTCATTCCATAGGAATCGATCGTTGGTAACCGGCTACCATGGGACTGCATCTCCTCACGATGCCTACTGCCTTGTGGATCAGACCTTTAGGTCAAAGGCTCGGGTTGTGGCCCCCTAAGAAAACCACCTGTTTCAGTTTGGGCAAGTGGACAGTATCACAGCCCTCATACAAATCAAATGAGATTTGTGTTTCATATATATCTGGTGCCCATTTGTACCAACATTTATATGTTTAAATAAATAAATAAATAAATAAATAAAGAGTCACCAAACTATATATATGCTCCACACAAATCATTGAATTTTTGTGTGTGGACTGAAATACTACCCGAATCCCTAAACAAAAGTAGGTGGTTTTCTTAGGAAGCCACTTCCCAAGCCTTTGATCTACAGATCTAATCCATAAGGCAATGGAGTAAAGTCAGAAGATGTGGTCCTATGGTACCTAATGACCAACAATAGGTTCATATGCCATTTTCCCCCTCAGGATCCTGGACCCTATGCTTACCATTGGTATTAGTTTGTTGGCAGGATAGATACTAAGTACTCATCAACCCTGTTTAAGCTCTGGACATTCGCATTTTTCGTCCTCTCAATTTCGTAAATAACACCGAGTGAGTAGAAATTCCCTGACAGGGGGTATATACATGTATCCATCTAAGGACATTTTTAGAGGGACAGTGCACTCTCCCACCCTCGTCGATACCACGGCATTTGGAAACTATATATATATATATATATATATATATATATATATATATGTGAACAAAAAAATATCTAGTCAGTCAGCTAGTCATGAATAATTTACAATTTATGAGTCAGTAAATTAGTGAGTAATGTCATGTTAAGCAAGTTAATCTTAATACTGATCAAATTTTATCGATCAAGTTACAAGGTGGTCACTAATTTAAATGACTTATTATTGAGTACACTAGGCTAAGATGTAATGTGGTTACAAACAGTCAGCAGGAAACCTTACTTTCGTGCTAGTCTGTACTTATCATTAAAGCATACCTGCAGTTTTAGGGGAAACAACGCTATTGTTGACCACTTATCTAACAGCCATCAACAATTTTAAAGCTGAATCAAATGTGCACTGAATGAAGTCCTCCAAACATACCATCCACATAGTGACATAAAACTAACAAATTTAAAATAATAGTAGAATTTACAATTTCAAAGAAATTGAATGAGAAAAAATGAAACTCAAGAATAAAGAGCCAGTCGGAAGATTTAATCCAAAAAGAGGGCAAATCAGAAACGTATGCACAAGAGGGGGCATTAGCAATTTGTCTTTTCAAATATGAGCTCTAGGTGCAAAAGAGATACGTACAAGCCATCATACTTCCGTGACCCCAACACTCAAATTTTCAAAAATGGTAACTTGATTTTGTTATATCCACCTAATATGTTTTAGTCTTCTGAATTCTAATTATTCTTTATAATTTTTCACCCTTCTCATTCTCATATTTGATTTCATCTTATTATCTCTCTTCAATTCTCCGATTGCTAAGCAATTTTCTTTGACCCATGATATGATAATTATGCTTCTATTTTTCAATAGACTACGATTTTACAACTTGAGCAAACGATATAGTTGGAAAGGAAAGATTTCTTTGCTGAATTGTTTTAGTTCTTGAATAAAGACTATAGAGCAACATACTTTAACTTAAGTAATGGTTGCAATCTATAATATTCAATCTTAAGTATTAACAAATGAGAAAAATGAAAAACATTAACGATGTAGAAATATCACTTGTACTAAAAAAATCAATTGTCAACTGGAACTAGTAACTAAGTTATGTATAACAATAGGTCGGCATTTGAAGAGACGTTTTAGAGTGAGCACCAACACTGAGACTCAGCAGTACAAAATTAAGTTGATAATTTCCAAAACAGGAAGAAAAAAAAATGTCCATCCTATATTTTACTGTTAGTCCCGATAAAACAGATTTAATTAAGATTCAAGATTCAATGGAAGATAAAATAATGAATCCATGTAATTAACTCTAATAGATTTAGAATTATGCTAACTCATGTCTTTAACCATGAATTACAATCATTTTGTAGACATTACTCAGATATATTCCACCTACTTAAACAGTTCAAACTAATGATCAATAACTTCACGAATTAATCCCTAGTTTTGATTTAGCCACCATTAATCTTTTTTCTTTTCCTATCCTATCCGTAATTTTATGCGGAAGTTGGCAATGGATGAGAATCTGTGACACATATCCTAATTACCAGAGCATAAATGACTAAATACTGACAATGAATAAACAACTGTCCAGAGCTTCCTGGTTTTTAGTCAGTTAAACTATGATGTATATTTTGGAAAATGACCAACGTTTCCTGGTTAAAAAGTGGCTAGACTTGGTAAAATCTGTTACGATTACTATACACGTTGTATCAGTCAGTCACAACGTAGAACTTTGTACCTACGTACATCAGTTCGAGTTACCATACCACATTAACAGAGAGATGCAATTGTCGATTCAAATCCCACAGTGGTAGAAGTAGTAAAAGTATAAGTATTATGTGAAACATTAGGGTTTGAAGTTGTTATTGAAAGAGTATAATACAGTGAAATAAATTTGGAAAGAGAAAAAGAAAGGGACATGAAGAATTCAGAAGATTAGAATTTGAGAGAACACAAAGAGTGGATGCACCTGCGCCACTGCAGGTATTGAGATTTATTACGTCAGTTAAACATCTATGAAAGTTATGAGATCATGAAAATTAAAGTAGTTTAGCTGAGAAGTGCCATAATAGGACGAAACAACCATCCAGTGCCTCCAGGTTTTCCATGGTGGTCTAGATTCAATTGACTTATGATTTCAACTATGAAAAGTTTAGCTAATTATCAATCAAAAGTTATCACACGGGAACACTTATCGATTGGAGATAAACAACAGTAGAAAATGATACCCATCTATGAAAATCTATCATAAATGTATACTATCAAAAGAGAGACTTCCAAAAACAGATATTGCTTTTTTCATTAAAAAAAACAACATGCAAAGACGAAATATAACTCACTTGCATTGAACGATTACCATGAATAATCATATCATTTAAAAATGTTGTACAACACTTATCAACACAATTTAAAAAAGTATAATCTTCATTGTCTAATGGTGAAACTTCTGTTGATGGGGATAATAATGGAAGAGGTTCTATCACTGACCAGATTTCATTTGCATGACTTAACAAACACAATAAACAATGTTCCAAAATATACTTCACTTTATCTGGATACAAATTCATCCTTAACTGTTCATTAGACTAATAATAGACAAAATGGAGAAATATATGTACGGAAAAAAAGACATCATTAAAGAAAACAACTTAAATACAGAGATGGATGGTGGCTAGTAATAGAATCCATGGCACGTGTCTTGTTCAATTTCGTATTTACCAGCTGGACTTCACTCCTAGCCACTATCCAACTCTGCTTATAAATTTTGTCAACTAATGCCAATACCGAGGTAATCGGTACAGGATTTATATATGACAAAAAGGGATTAATCCAAAACAGTAGTGTAAATGACTATGAGGAAGACTGGACATAGAAGATGGGGATCGAAAAGGAATGTACTCAGGGAATGAAAAGCATGAAAACCAAGATATAAGAGGAGGTAAACAAAATAAACACCTTTGACAGTGTAATCGGTCTTGAGCTATGTTATCGACGGTCTTTAATCTATTGAACAGAGTTAGTGGGCAAATTTCAAGTAGTTGATAATCTGCACTTGCCAGAATGCCCCAGAATGACAGCCAATAACTCCATGGATTTGTGCCACATCATGGTTCATTCAATCCACTGTTGTGTCCCGATAACAATAGAGAATGGTGACTTTGGCATCCATTTATGGACCAATATTATACATATATTTATTATCGTATAATTGCCAAATAACTAAACTATTTATATCCATGTTACCCTTATTATAAGCTTTATTTTGACCTATAGACTTGTAGTATCGTTTGTTATGTTAAGCCCATATACTTTATTCTAGTTGCTGGCCAAGCCAATTCGCCTATCTATTATGAGTCATATTTTGATCTTGTTAATTATTCGCTTACTAACCTTGACTACCTTGTTATATGAGCGCATGTGTATGTACCCTTCTTATCCTACCTATCACATGTCTGTCATTCATTTTTGTCTGACTATAAATGTTGATTAACGCTTGCTTAAATCAAGTTGGCTTCCCAGCCATATCCATTGCGCATGATCTTTCGCTTCATTCGCTTCATCACTCTGATTCTCTGGCCAGATCAATGACTGTAGAAAATATATGTATCCTAATTCCATTCTCGTATTTGACTTATTTAACTCCGTTATTCACTAACGCGGATAAAGTCATTTATTATATACGAGTATAGACGAAATCAGATTTACGCCACAATATAATTGGATACCTCGCCGTACGAGCACGACGCTACAAAAGACTATTATTATACGATTTACCATTCTTGAGTTATCCTCAGTCTATTGATTACTGTTCCCCCTATTCACAGTCACATTTGACTGAATCTTGTGCAAATGTTATTTTCTATTTTATTAGTACGATGTGGTCAATCTGTTTGGTATATAAACTCAGTATGTTTGAAATACAATGATTCATAGCACAGAGGCTATTATTGGTGTTCTGGACTTAATTGGCTGGGCTAGACAGAAAGCAGGACCGATAAGCACTCTAGACTGCTCGTACGGTTTTTGTGTGTCACAATTCCAATCAATAATTTGCTGCTCTCTGATTGGCGGTCTTATCACGTCATTTATTAACAGGGCATCTACTTGGCCACAAGATATAACATTCGCACTCTTATAAACTTGCCTCCGGACCAACCAGAAAAAAACGTCGAAGTAGGTAGGCATTGAGGATATATGACACATCCTAGACAACTCAATCGATCCCTGAGGCTATCTATTCCAACTAATATCTTAAAAAATAGCCGATCTACGTTTCCTTAATTTAAAACATTTAATGTCAAACAAAGGTTCAACTGCTTGAGCCATTTTAAGATATTATTTACTCAGGAATTCTCGAATCGAATAAAATAATATTGACAGAGGGAAGTTCAATAAGCACTTTGGACTAAGAACTGAAGTTGTTGTATAAGAATTTTCGAAACCTAATTAATATGGAATACGAATCTCAAGAATCCGTAATGTAAACATGAATTCACTTAACTTATTCATCAGGTATTTGGGTTTGGGTTACATTTTAAGTGTAAGGGTTAGTGGTACGACCCGACCGTCAAATTAAAATAAGTGGAGAGCGGTTGGAAGCCAAGAGTCAGTACTTAAAGATTGAACGCCTTAGCTAGTCCGCCACCACCATTGCAGAGTTTGTATGGTTGCTTTGTTTATCTTTTGAAATCAATCCTATTTAATAGTTAAAAACCGTAACGTACCGACTATTTCGAACATGAACGTCTAATACTGACTTTTTAACTGCTCCCTAGTTCCTAAGAAATCTCTTATACTCGAACTTCCAACGAAAAACAAAAAGCGGGAAATATAAAAAAAAGATTTACTTCCAAGGTCGTAGGTCTATGGGTAACTTCGATACCTTTGAAGCTTCTGGAAATATGTTTAGTAAACAAAAACCAGTACGTATTTCGTGAAGAGTTGATACATAACTCACTGATTTTCAAGAATTATCTACAGTTTCCAGTGAAGGCTAAATAAACAATGTTTTTAGCCATTTTTCTTAGCTTTTAAAAAAAACCTTGAGGAATAGTTGAATGCTTGAAACATGATCCTGACTAGTTATTCAATAATTCAATGACAGAACTAACTCATTACAACATCTACTAAGTTAATCGGATAGTGGCTATGCTATCTGAAATGTATCCAGTTCTAAACAAGAAACCAGTCTTGATATGAGTTCATTTATCAGTCAGATAACCATAATCATCATCTGTCCAGGAAACTAAGTTGACCAATTATTTTCAGTAAGACAGAAAAAAAGGTTAGTAAGCCGAATAGTAACAATTACATAATAATAAGGATTAATAGTTGACAAACCATCTCATGAATTTGACTCTTATATTCACGAAATTTTTCAGGTTGATATATTTTTCTTAAGCGATTCAATGTACGATCTATCCAATTCAATTGATATTGTAAATTATAGCATTGTTTGTATAGTGACGATATTTGGATATTATCACTATCTGATGATATATTGGATCTATATACACACACACATACAAACAAGTGAAAGAAGACAAAATAAACATATTTAACAAAGTCATAAAGAAGATGAACAAAGAATTACGATATTACGTCAGTAGTAGTAGTGGTAGATAAGATCTATTATTTGCTTAATATAACAAACGGAGATTCCAGAATAATCGATGTATTTAGGTCGGATTGTATAGAGATATTAGTTGAATTTGAAAGGAGAGTGAGCGAAGTCACACCACAAATTGATCCACATTAACTGGAGAATTTATCGAAAATAACCAGAGAATATTGACTAGCTGTTATGTCATGAGTTTGCAACTTACCATACAATTTGTCTTAATTAAGACAAAATGACAATATACACTCAAAATGTTCATGTTTTAATGGGGACTGATCAATAGCAGTCCCAAATATTACTCATTTGAAATTACAAACATTGACAATTACATTAATATTATAGATGAAACGCAGAATAAAGTATGGGTTCATACACCGGTTTTTGAATATACTTTCATTATTCAAGGTTTATTAGTAATCTCCAACAGTTTCAACCTAAATCTACGTGCATCTATGTTGAAAATCAGAACGTCTTGGTTCAAAATCAAATGCTTTATTCATTTGAAGAATATATTTTACCTGACTTTTTTCAATGTAGGATGTTGAATCAGATTACAAAGCGAATGGAGAAAATATATTTATTCACATGCTCCTCCGAAGATAACCTGAATAAGATTTACAGTTTACAAAACATACTACCTGTATTTAAATTAAGAAGCACTGGACAGCTATTTTGTTCAATTACGGGAATCCTCAGCAGTAGACAGTCATGACTCAACCAGCGACCGAACTTAGAACATTCAGGTCTCAATGCGAGCACTTAAACATCAGACTAATGGACCAGAATCCAATGGTTTATGCGCCTAGCTTCGTTTAATCCGTCCAATTATTCTTCAATTTCATTGGTGAGTGACTATTTCATAATGATGTAATTGAATACAACTTATGATGAACTAATGTCTGGTAAATTCAAATCACAGGACGAAAACGTACAATGAGGAATTTAAAAAATTTTGAAAATGGTAAGAAACAATTATACAGTTGTTTTTTTTTACATCAACAATTTTCATCAATCACGTAAAACAGAACTGAGATTATTACGCAACACAAACATGTTATTATTTTAATACTACTAATATCACTAATAGTAATATAATAAGATCATATATGTGGAACATGTTAGTGGATTTCTTGGCTTAGTAGCTTATTGCAAAGATAACTCATTCGGTTTTTTTTTGAAGTGCAAGTTACAAAGGTTCGAGTCTCAGTGTGAACATTAACATTGAAATGTAGACAGTACACCCAAATGATGAGTACAAAATAAAACGAAACGTGAGTTCTGAATTTCACTGTTACACAATATATATAAAAACCGACTATTTTTTAGTGTATTCATAAGACTAACCACATGCTAAACATATTAACAAATACAATAGAAACAAGGTTCATTCATTTCAACATAGAATATCAAACTAGAAATAACAAATGATGACTCATGTCAATTTTCTTTATCAGAAGGGGGTTTTGTGTAGATTTAGAATTTTCATAGTTGAAAGCGTGAATTAATTAAAGCTAGACTCCCAAGGAAAACCTGGTAGCACTGAACAGTCGTTTCGTCCTATTGTGAGACACCTCAGCAGTGCGCATCCGCGATCCCGCACTTGCGAGAGAGATTTGAACCCAGGACCTGTCAGTCTCGCGCCAGAGCACTAAACCGATAGACCACTGAGCTGGCTAGCATCCAATGGTGTTAATGTTTAACTTCAACCAATACACGAAGTTGAGCAACCATTTTACCAATGTCTTCAGTGAGTTGATATCTCACAACAGACGTGGTTTGAACTCCACTGGTCACTGCTTCTCATTAGAACTCCCGGAAATACCTTATGGAGCCAGTCACTAGTGAGCATATAATAAGTGGGTTGTTAGTGGAGATTTTTTTAGTAATTTTTTTATATACAGTTGAGATCATGAGTCAATTGAAGCTAGACCACTATGAAAAACATGGAAGTACTAGATGGCCGTTCGGTCCTCGAATGGGACTCCTCAGCAGTGTGCATCCACGATCCCGCCTCTCGAGATTCGAACCCAGCAAATAATTGAATTGTAAAAAAGAAACTTACATTTTTTTATTTTTATCACATTGGTCCAAAGTATTTATTAAACATTGTTGAACTGATATGAATTTCATTGTTTTACTTAATACAATACTTTCTAAATATTGTATTAAATTATTATTATTGTCATTAGAATTTGTTTTAATTAAAGGATGTATAAATTGTTGCCAAATACCATTTTGTCCAAAATATGAACCTAAATGAATACGTGCCTTATTGAATGGACAATCTAATCGACCAACTATAGTAATACGTAGTTGAGTAAATTTAATTGGTGGATAAATATCACGTAATACTAATGCAGTATGACTTATATCAGTAGATATAGCTATTAATTTTGTTGAAATGATTGATTCCTTTAAAGATTGATCATTTAATATAGCTTCTAATGTAATACATTGTAAACAAGGATTAATTGGTATAATTAGATCTGTTAAAAAATTTATTGATGATGAATAAGTACTGAATGTAACTGAACGATGTGCACCTGGATGCATACGAGATATGACTAAATGATAAGCTTCAATTGAATTCATAAGATGAGATATAGCAGATGTTAGTTCATGTTCTTTATTATTAGTTTCAATTTGTGATTTATTGAATTTTGTTTCGTAGCAAATATTATCATTTATTGGTAACTGTTCACCAGTAACTGTAATATGTAAAAAGAAAAAAAATGTATTAAATTACAGAAAACTATTAATAAGTACACAAAAAGCAAACTTAATAAAAAAGAAATGTGATTTATTTTCATAGTTGAAATCATGAGTCAATTGAAGCTTGACCAACATGGAAAACCTGGAAGCACTGGACGGCTGTTTCGTGGTATTATGAGACTCTTCAGCAGTGCGCATCCACGATCTCGCCTCACGAGATTCGAACCCGGGACCTATCAGTCTCACTCCGGAGCACTTAACTGATAGACCAATGAGCTGGCCGGCATCCAACGGTGTTAATGTCCACGAAGTTGACCAACTGTTCACCAATTTTCTACAGTGAGTTGATATCTCTACAACAGACGTGGTTGAACTCCATTGGTTACTGCTTCCGATTAGAACTCAAGGAAACATGATTTAAATAGAAAATAGGCGAGCGGAGCTCATTTATCAAATAGGATAAGTTAGTGGTTAAGGCATTCAACAATTAGGTTGAAGGGTCGAGTTCCATGTCATCTATTTTGGTTTTGGTGAGTTACGCAATAACCATTACCTCTCCCATGCGAAATATGATTTAAAGTCAAGTACACGAATCAGCATTTAGTAATTGCATAAACTGCGCAATCATCGTAACTAATAATTGGAGACATTAAATGTATAAGCTTAGAATACGTTAAAGACAAATGCACTCTCAAAATTTTTAATTCGTAGATTCATTCTTCTTTCTCAATTTATATTGCTTATTTCATTTATCTTCGTAATTTTATCCAACTGTGGTGATATAGTCTGGCAACTTGAACCGATGAACAAAAATTTACATGGTGTTACATGATTTATGACTAATGTGTTGTATCATCGTTATTATCATTAATTATCAGTTAGATATCTAAATATTTGACTTTAAAGTACATAGTATATATGATGCTTGTTCAAACTGAATTAGATGAAGTTAGGTTCTAAATTGTGACCTATTGATTATTATTCCTGTGTCGTAACAATCAGTTTATTATTTGCCTCAGTAATCTGAATATATTTTTACTCTCTTCTAACATTTTGATTATTATACAACCTTTTCTTTGATATTTGGAATCTTGAATCATTTTGACGTAACATGATTTCTATTCTTCTGTAGATTCATATATATTTATCGAACAATTACAAATACGAATGTACAACAGGAGCAAATCATTTCGTTGAAAAAAAATTTATTCACTAAATTTTCTTTACTTTATGGCAGTAAAACATGGCCGATTAGAGTAGAGGACATTAGTAGGCTACTAGTATTCAATCATAGGTGTCTTCGAAGCATTGCTCGTATATCCTGGGACCACTGAGTAAGTAATGCAGTTGTTAGGAAACGGGTACTAGGTAAGGATGGCAAATCGATTGATGAAGTAGTGAAACTTCATCAGTTGAGATGGCTGGGACATGTGTTACGTAAGCCCAACCACCGACGTGCAATGCATTATGGTGTAGCATTGGGTTTGAATAAAACTAGGGGCGGCCAGACCAAAACATGGCACAAATCCATGAAGTCACTGACAGGTGGACTGAGCCATGTTGGTAGGTATAGACCATCTGGTTGGGATCCGCAAGATGATAGCAACCGATAGTTAGAGACCTTGAATGACATGGCTCAAAATCGTTTGCAATGGCGAAGGTGCATCCACTGTTTGTGTTCTAATCTTTTGAATTCCTCATGTCCCTATCCTTTTTCTCTTTCCAAATTTATTTCACTGTATTATACTCTTTTAATAACATCTTCAAACCCTAATCTTTAACATTAATGCTTATACTCTTACTACTTCTACCACTATGGGATTTGAATCGACAACTGCATCTCTGTGTTAATGTGGTATGGCAACTCGAACTGATGTACGTACGTACGAAGTTCTAACTTGTGACTGATTGATTCTCTTCATTTTTATTTAATCAACCATTGAATTCCAATTCATTTTTTTCTTATTAATACATTTCATTATCAATCAATTTATCCATTATATATGTTAATTCGTATGTAGATTTAAAAGAACAAACACAACAACAAATTATAACACTATATGAAAATTATATTTGAAATAATTTTAGCGACTAAAATTTAAATAGTCATCGTGATTTAAATTCACTTTATATTGTTTGTTTGAATCTTCCCACTGATGTTTAGGACTGCAATTGATCAGTCTCTTATTTGCATATGTGCATACTGTGTGTATTGCCTTGATATGGCCTTAATTCACAAGCATTATAAGCATAGATGGATAGTGGCTAGCAGTGGAATCCAGTTTGACGGGTGTTTCGTGATATTTGGGAATATTCCAAAAAACAATACCAAGTGAATCGCATTGTACAAGCAAGTTGCTATCAGGACTCAGTAACTAAATGGATAACGCAATAGCTTTAGAAGCGAACGGCACTGGGTTTGAGCCCTAGAGTAGACATCAAATCTGAGGTGCATGCACATCCCGCTGACGAGTCCAAAATAGGACGAAACGCGCGTCCTGGATTCTACTGCTAGCCACTATCCATCTTTGCTTATAATCATCTTGATTATTACTCTGAAGAAGTCCAGATAACTTCTGTTGGACGAAATGTTGGAATTATTCAAATTTCAATCGTTAAGATTATCTAAAATATAATAACTTTTCTATACTTGGCAACCAATTTTACTCAAACTATTCATTATAATTATAAACATTTGTATAAATTATATTACCGGAAGGGGTTTTGTGGAGATTTTAGTAATTTTAAAAAGTTGAGATCATGATTACATCTCAGTCCTACAGAAGGTTGGTCGCGGCCCAAGTAGCTCCGTGGTAACGTCTCTGACTGTCAAGCTGAGTGACACGAGATCGAATCCGTCAGGAAGTACCAGTCCCCTCAAGATTACAGGTACACCTTGCTGACGAGTGCCAAGTAGCACGAAACCCAGGTCCAGGGTTTTTCTGTTGACCACCTCCAACCACCATCTTAACTCATTATATTATATTATTAAAATTCAAGAAAATACAAAGAAAACAATAAAAATTAATCAACTTACAAAAATCTACACATTCAATATCACAATCATCATTTAATTGAATGGATAATTTATCTAATGGAAATTTTAATGGTTCCACATCTAATAAACCATGAAATGGCCAATCTTGTAAATCTGATAGTATAATATTAGTTATATTCTTTGAATGATCAATATTAGTAATAAAATTACTTCGCATTAATGTGAAAATATCAGAGAAATGAATAAACGAAGCATTGGATGAATAATTAGATGAAGGTAGATATAGTGAATGATTATAAGTAGTATCGTTACTATCATTATTATCATTAGTAGTAGTAGCAGTAGTATCGATACTATCATTATTATTATTAATGTCGTTGCCTTGGAAACAATTTGATTTTTCTTTCAATTGTGTATATTGTTCTGAATCAGTAGTAGTAGTATCATTGAATATTGAATCAGAAATAAATGATATGTAACTTTTCGGTGTATAAATACCATTGAAATTCATTATATGCTTATTAATAGGATAACAGTTTTTAATATTTTCATAATTAAAACTGATGCCATTATTATTAATATTACTAGTACTGGGAATTGTTGAATTAAAAGATTTTTGATATTTACTACTGTTATTATTATTATTATTATTAGTATTATGTAATTTTTCAGGTGTTGATTGTAAGCATTCTGAACCTAGATAAGTCCATTTGTATAACGGTAGATTTAATAGCATAGGTGAACCAAGACATATAGGTAAACGATATGAACTGTAATGAATAAAAAAGAAAATTATGTAAATTTAGAACTTAAAAAATATATGCAATATGTTTTCAATTTATTTGTCAGGTGAGGATGGCTCGTTGACAAACTTAAGGAAGCCTGAAGAAGCCCAGAAAGAGCCGAAGACATTCCATTCAATCGTCACTAGGGGGGGGACATTCTAGAATGTCGACGTGTAGCTCTCCTATTGGTTGAATAAAAATGAGCCCCTATGTACCTACTGGCTATCCGAAATGATGATTTACTTTTAGCTAAAAACTATAAATACATGAGATTTTTGTACTATATTGGACACTGTTTGGAATAACATTCCTACTTTCTAGTCTTTTGTCTTCTCGACTTGAGAGGTTTCTAGCGTTCGAGTGCTCAAATATTAGGCGACATACTAAGAATCTAAGTTTCAGATATAACAAAAAGTGATAGACAGTGATTGTAATCAATCCCTTGAACTGAAAAAATGTTGGAGCGTAGTTTGACCTCAAAACTCAGTGGCTAAACATCGAACTCAATAAACTACTGAACCATTCCGATCCATTGGATGAAATAATCTACAGTGGTATATATTATTATTGTTATGATGGATTTGAATTATCCTGTTGTTGAAAAACTTTACTGACTTTCTTGATCACCTTAGGCTGGTACATATGGCAAATAATGACATAACATATCTCCTGGACAAGTGGATTACTATCTAGATTCAGTAGCTCCGTAGATAACGTGTTGGTGTTACTAATGAAAGGTACTGTGGTTAGAGTCTCAACGTGAAAATAAACAATGGGGACGGCAGGTGAATCCAACTGAAGAGTTTCAAGTAGATTGGAACGCACTCTAAAACTTAACTGCTGGCATCTTTTCTATGTAATTAATACGATATAGATAATAACAAACACATTATATTGAGATAACAAGAATCTACAGTAAAAAAATGGATGTTTTTGTGGTCCTGTAATCTAATATTTGTTTAAAAGTTGAATTCATGATTCAAATAAAGCTAGACCACCACGGAAAAAATAGAGTTAGACATTAACATCGTTGGATGCCAGCTCAGTGGTCTAGAAGATAAGTGTTCACGTGCGAGACTAATAGGTCCTGGATTCGAATCCCAGGGGCGGGTGGATGCGCACTGCTGAGTCTCACAATAGGACGAAACGGCCGTCCAGTGCTTCTACCTTTTCCATATGATCTAGCTTTAATGGACTCATGAAATTAACTAATAAATTACCATAATATCCACAAAACCCCTTTCTGATTATAATATTTGTTTATTCTTTACCAGAGTGGAATTTATATTTCTTTTAATAATAAAAAACAACTTATCTATTACCATTATAAGATGTAAGTGAGGATTGTATGGCAATTCTTAACTCTTAACAATTATCTAGTTGAAGCCAATGTGCAACGCAAATCACAATGAAACAGTTTAAATTTCACAATTTAATTATCTTGCTTGCAAATAATATCATCCATCAAAACATGAAACTCTCGATATAACAGAGCCCTAAAAGACTATGTTACTGTTATATTTGAAGCGATTACGAGTTTCCTAATCTGAGAACGAACAAAGACTCTGTGACCAAAGACCAATAAGCCAGCTGTTCTGATGCGTCCCAGCTCCGCTAACTAGAGTGAGAAGTCCAAGTTCGAAGTGGGGAAAATATATTCCGCAAGCAGCCAGAAGCACAAGCAATCAAAACAGGCAAAAATCAAACGTATACATACAGCATAAAGTTGTTCTTGGGAGGCGTTACAAAATAGCATATTAAAAGAGACAACAAACCAACGGCATTTAAGGTTCTCCCAATTGGGAAATACGATATGAAGGTGAAAACGAGCGCTTTTGGCGTGAAACCAGGAAATTCAAATTTCACAATAAAATTACAAAAATAAAGCATTTACCAAGTGAGTTCTGGGGACCTAACACCCTTAACAGTTACACAAAGCTTACTCCAGCAATAATTAACATTATCTGTGCAACGATTGCGTAGTTACTTAGAATTCAAAAACCAAAAGGAGTGAACACTTCTTAAAGGTCATTGGACAAGAACGAAAACTACTATTTATTTGTACGAACATTCATCGATATTTAAACGAATAGTTTGACAGAAATTGATGTTCATGATTGCCCTGAAGATATCCAGACAAGTTCGCTGGACAAAACGTTATTATTTACTATTTGAACACATAAACATTGGTACAAACAGGCACCAAATACATACGCGTCACATAAATCTCATTCGATTTGTGTGAGGGCTTTGATACTGTCCGGGTGCCCAAACCGAAACAGGTGGTTTCCTTAGGGGCCACACCCGGAGCCTTTGACCTAAAGGTCTGATCCACAAGGAAGTGGAACATAGTGAGGAGATGCAGTCTCATGGTAGCCAGTGATCAACGATTGGTTCATACGCCGTTTGTTCCTTCAGGATATTAGAGCCCATGTGTACCATTGGTTTGGAATCAGGGTTTTCCAACTCCTCTAGGTGAACTTTCCATGTTCATCAACCCGGTTAAAGCGCCGGACATCCGCTTTTCGTCCTTTCACTTTCGTGAACAACACCCCCGCCACGAGAAGGCAGTGAGTAGGACTTCCCTGGCAGAGGCTATATATTCCCTGGCTATGTGAGAGTATTTCGAGAGGAAGAGCGTACTCTCCCCACTCTCGGCCGTACCAGGGCATTTGGGGGCTAAAACGTTAGGACAAAACGTTAGAATCATTTTAAATTTCAATTACTAAGATTATTTTAAATATAACTTTCACAAACAATGTTTACTATTTGTTTGTTTACGTTAACCTGAAATTCGATAGAATAGAAAAACACCAAGAACAATATCAAAACAGCTACTTACGAGTGTAGACGATTGAAATCCTCATGTAATAATGAAACTGTATTGAGTAAAGTCATTAAATTATTTTGTAATAACAATTTCGTCTTCAGATCATTTGAATTACGACGACATTCATCAAAAGAATAAGAAATGATGAAATCCAATAAACTGAATAATGTTTCACATCCTGCTGATGTTTGACAAATTAATAACCAACGAATGAACTTACTACTATTATTATTATTTTCAGTAGTAGTTTTACTATCTGTAGACAGACAATTGCGTAATACATGGAAAACTATTGGCTTTTTATATGACGAATTATTTGAAGAGCAATAGTTTAGGAAGATAAATTCTAATCTATAACAAACAAAAGTAAAGAAATAAAAATCGGGATAGTACAAAATAGACATAACCAGAATCTGTCCAATAAATACTCGGCCCCAGTTCCTTACCAACACGATCAACCGATCAATATGAAAACATCCATCTACTAGTTATATTTTTGTTAAACATTTTCTAGATTACCCGTCTAAAATACATGCGAAAATTGGCAAGTTGAAACCTCTAGTAATAGATAATGTATCAATGACTTGAAGTGAATATACTGACTGGCATTATATCACGTAATCTGTGAACCTTACTTTAAAAATGTCGAATTCTTGATAATCTGATTTAATAACATCTCATTTATTACCACGTCTAGACTTGAGCATTTAGTTTTGACCTAAACTTCAAGTGTAAGGTCTAGTAATATTATATGGCTGCCCAAATCCAAATATATGGGGTAAGGTTGGAGTCAGAAACTTAGCGGCTGAAAGTCAAACTCCTTAATCAATAGGTAATAGCTTGCTTAATGAGAAAATAAGAACTACTGAGTGATGATCAATTATGTTCATCAGTCATGCCTGATGTTTATTATTTGAATGCTTTACAGAGGTAAATACCATAAACATCATGTAATTGAACAAACAATCTAAATGTAGATTGACTGGTCACTAAGCGGTAACCAATGTCACATTTGTTTACCTCTTAGTGTTGATTGTGTTATATCGACCAATTTACAATGTGATCATCAGCTTCGACAACACGTGGACCATATTTAGTGTTAGATAGTTGAAGTCAATCAGTTCTAAATCTAGACTTCGGGGTCAGTTAGTAATTGTCATCAAATCCTATTTGTATTCTTGAGGGAATGGTTGCTCCAACAGCCTTCTTCTCCTCAATGTAATTAAACTTGACTCACAGTCACAGATACCACCACTGAGATGTATTTAAACAAATAACTTTATGACTCACTAATTTAATTAACATTTGTAAGATAGAAATTAGATGAAAAGCACAAACGATTGTGTGTATGTAACTGTACAAATTTTCACAGCAGTATACAAACAGTACTTACTTACTTATGCCTGTTAACCCTCGTCGAGGAGCATAGGCCACCCACCAGCATTCTCCATCCAGCTGTCCTGAGCCTTCCTTTCCAGTTGTTATTCATCATTTTCATATCTGCTTTTATTTTCCGGTGTAATGTGTTCTTTGGCCTTCCTCTTTTCCGCTTCCCTCTAGGATTCCAAGTTAAGGCTTGCCTCGTGATGCAGTTTGGTGATTTCCTGAATGTATGTCCGACCCACTTCCAATGCCTTTTTCTAATTTCCTCTTCAGCTGGAAGCTGGTTTGTCCTCTCCCATAAAACGCTGTTGTTGATAGTATCCGGCCAGTGGATGTTGAGTATTTTGCGTAGAAAACTGTTTATAAATACTTGCACCTTCTTGACGATGGATTTAGTAGTTCTCCACGTTTCAGCTCCGTACACTAGGACTGTCTTGACGTTCGCATTAAAGATTCTGACTTCGATATTAGTTGACATTTGTTTTGAGTTCCATATATTCTCCAATTGTAGGGATGCGTTCCTTGCTTTGCCATTTCTCGCTTTAATATCTGCATTCGATTCTCCTTGTTTATCAACGATGCTTCCGAGGTACGTGAATGTTCCCACCTCTTCCAGAGTTTCGCCATCAAGTGTGATTAGGTTGGTGTTCTCCGTGTTGTATTTGAGAAACTCCGACTGTAGCTCTTGTAGAGTTACTGCTGGTCCCAAGCCCGGGTAAAGGAAGAGGGTTGGGCATGGGGTTAGCGACCCCATCACGTAAAAAAGCTAACTCGCTAGAAAAACGCTAACCAGAAAAAATACAAACTTTAGTGAACTAATAAAAATTTAAGGAACATTTTAGAAAAACACCCCAAGAATTTACTTGAGTAAACTAAACAATAATCTTGTTCCAAGTTGAACACATTCACGATCACCGTGTACAATTACATTTTCAATTAACATCTCATAATTATTTGCAGCCAAATTTAATAAATTCGCTACGATATCGCTAAATAAGATTAGAATTAACAAATGAAAATAACATTAATTGTACAGTATAAACTTTTAGTTGTATTTATTTATTTATTTAAACACATAAATATTGGTACAAGGAAGCACCAGATACATATGCGCCGCACAAATCTCATTCGATTTGTGTGAGGGCTGTGATACTGCCCAGGTGCCCATACTGAAGCAGATGGTTTCCTTAGGGGACCACACCCGAAGCCTTTGACCTAAACGTCTAATCCAAAAGGCAGTGGAGCAGCGTGAGATGCAGTCCCATGGTAGCCGGTGACCAACGATTGATTCCTACGCCATTTGTTCCGTCAGGATACTAGAGCCAGTCCATGTACACCATTGGTTTGGAATGAGGGTTTTACAACTCCCTTAGGTGGACTTTCCGTGTCCACCAGCCCGGTTAAAGCACTCACTCTCACTTTCGTGAACAACACCCCCGCCCCGAGAAGGAAATGAGTAGGACTTCATTGGTAGAGGCTTTATACACGTGGCCATGTGAGAGCATTTGGAGAGGGAGAGCGGACTCTCCCCACTCTCGGCCGTACCAGGGCATTTAAGGGCAAAAACGTTTAGTTGAATATCAACCTTAAACAAATCAGTGAATAACAAGTTGGCGAAGATAGTTTCAAGTTATATTTATCTATTAAACACAACAAATTGGTTAGTCAGTCAGTCAGTCAGTCGGTAATAAACAACATATACGCATCAGTGTAGGTTGCTGTACCATATCAACACAATAAAATGTAATTATTAAGACAAATACCAAAATAAGGAGTTTTGAAAATTGCTGAATCTCATTGAAATCATGAACCGATCAAAATTAGACCACCATTGAAAGCCTGGACGTACTGGATGGTCATTTTGTTCTAGTATGGGGCTTTTCAGCAATGCTGATCCATGTTACCGCACGTTAAACTCGAACCCGAAACCTTCGGTCTCGCGCGCGAATACTTCGTTCAGGTTAGATAATGATTTCAATGGAATTCAACAACTGTCACAATTCCACACGAACAATTATCATGTGTTCACCAGTAACTAGATTCCAAAGGAAAATTCCCAAAAAGATGTTCTTCACAGATATCATAACCAGTGGAGCTAAACTATATCCGGTGTGAAACGGTTAGCCACCTAACATAATGGAACATCATCACGAAATATTGTGGATTGGATGAAGTTACACTTATACGCCAGTCGATCCAGGCTTAATAGTCCAAAAGTTAAGTGTTTGCGCGCAACACAGAAGGTCCTGAGTTCGATATTCGGTTTCTGGGTTGTGGAAGCCCACTACTGAGCAGTCCCATTCTAGGAAAAAGAGCCGTCCAGTGACTCCACGTTCTCAATGGTTGTCTAAGATAGGTCTGTGAATATCAATGAAATACAAAAGTAGTAGAGAAAGTAACAGTACCAAAGGTATTATTTCATTTTGTATTGTTTTTTTTTTAATCTTCCCATTGATGTTTAGGACTGCAATCGATCAGTCTCTTATTGACATATGTACATCCTGCACAGATTGCCGCGATATTGCCTTAAGTCGCAAGCATTATAAGCATAGATGGATGGTGGGTAGCAGTGGAGTTCAGGATGCGTGTTTCACCCTATTTAGGACTCGTCAGCCGGATGTACCTGCATCCAAGTTGATGTTTACGATCATTGTATGGATCCGAATCAGGTAATGTGAACATACCCATATGGCTCAATTCAATAGTTAATGACTGGTCAAGGGATTAGTGAAATTATTCAGTTATTCTAAATGGATCTTACTAAGTAAAACAAAATTAAGCTCACAATGCAAATATTGAGTGTCACCGAGAACATAATTATGAGACAGAACTAACGACAATACTTCCGAAGATAACTGGTATATACTTAAAAAATATAATCTAGTGTACTTTGCAATGTAAATATTACAGCCATACTAGTATCATTATTCATTTGTATTGGTTATTTAAATCTTCTCGTTGACATTAAGGACTGAGATAGATGAGTCTTTTTTGGCATATGCGCATCCTGTGTCGACTAAATTGATATTGCCATTAAATTAAGAGCATTTCAAGCAAAGTTGAATGGTAGGGTAAACATCAAATACATCCAGTTGACGAGTCTCAAATAGGACAAGACGGGTGTTCTGGATTCCACTGGTAGTTATAATCTAACTTTGCTAAGAATACTATTATTATTAATAATAGAATAATTAAGAAAGTAGAAACTTACCATGATAGTTCTAACTCATGAAGATACATCAACACAACCCAATTTAAAACATCTAGAATAATTGACGAAAAATTGCTAGTATGATGGTAGAAGTTCTGCGTAAGCAAGTCTCTCCATTTATCGTAAATGTCATTGCTATTATGATTACAAGTACCATCAGTTGAACTAAGAAAACTGAAACAATCTTCATGAAGTTTCATAGAGCGTAGAATAGCTAAACGTTGAGCCCTTTCATGCAAAATTGTATGCATTTTACACGACTTTAATGATGTACGTTCATTACCATCATTATCATTATTATCAATATCATTCATAATTGTAAGCTGATTGGTCGATAACGATGATGACGATGGAGCTTCATTAACGAAAATATTAGGGGGAGCAGGATGGTCATAACAACAACAGGTTGTGTTAAACTGATGAACACTCAAACCAATTTGTGCAAATATATCTGACAGTAATAAAGGTGTCTGTTGACTTTCAACTGCAGTAGCCGATTGACAATCAAGATTTGAAGAAGTCTAAAATAAATGAAAACAAGACAGGATAACATGATTACTATGTTTGAAGAGATTATGAGTTCAGCTAATCTGCGAACGGAACGAAGATTCAGTGATAAAATAACCAAATAAGCGAACTATTCCGATGTATCCCAACTCCGCTACTTAGAGAGAGGAGTCCAGGTTCAGATGAGGGAAATGTATTCCACAAGCAGCCAGAAGCACGAACAACAATCACAAGCACAATCTAAGAGTATATATACAGCATAAAAATGTCTTTGGGAAACATTACAAAATAGAATATTAAAAGACAAGGAACCAATGACATTTCAGGTCTTCCCAAATGGGGAATACGACAAAAAGGTGAAAATGGGGGCTTTTGGTGCGAAAACAAGAAATTCAAATTTTTAAAATAAAATTACAAAAATAAGACATCAAGTGAGGTCTGGCGATCTAACATCCCCAACAATAGTAATCTTTTTCTATTGATATAATCATATAAATAAACGCGTTATGTAACGATAAACATATGTACAAAATCTCTTGTTGACTACATTCAACGACTAAACACACATGTTAACAGAATACAAGCGATGTTCAGTCACTAAGACTAGTGAGCATATTACAAAATAACTGAAAGGATTAGATCAGCACTTAGAAGGACTAGATAAATTTAACATTGATCACTAGAATTGAAGTGAATACTCACATTTTCAAGTATAAGTAATAGAGGACGCGAATATGACCATCACCTTTCACCCTGAGAGAAAACTAATCCCAGATTTCTGCTTCACTTGTAAGGATTGAGGTGGGACCACATTATTATTACTATTCAATAATTTTTAGGACAGAATAAAGTAACTGACTTATCCAGGATACATTTTCGTACCTGAAATTGATCCACACAGCACCATAGCTAATGATACTGGGTGGATAACAAAACTCATCTAGATGCAGTGAGGTATTAACCAATGCCACCTAATGGCTAATAACCTAGTGTTTTAACCAATGTAACAACTAAAAATGTTATGTTTGACCACTGATGATACACTGTATATGTGATCCGATGAAAATGAAACAATTTTTAGACGCTCTCCGGTTTTAAGTAGTTCTTCAAATGAAATCAGTGAATGATAAAAATAATTCACCAGAATTGTTTACATTATAACTCAATGTTAGCAGAATGGAAAAGCAAAAACTGCTTAGTATATGCTCAAAATCTTAAAAATCGGATTGGTTTTTTTTCTGCCAATCAGTGTTGTAAGATGAATGAAGTAAGTAGTTTTCGTAATCTACATTCTATACTAAATTATTATGTTTTTATTGTTGTAAACTGTTGTACCGGTTCGTTGGACTTTAATCTTGTCTTCGATCTATTCTTATTCTGGTTGGCATCAAGTCGAATGAAGTATAGACAGTCAACAAAATAACTAATACAAAAGAAAGAAACACTTATTTTATTATCGTCAATGAATTCCAGATGAATATGTGGTTTACATCACTCTCTCTTTTAAAATAACAACTAACTAAATGACGAACTTTCTCATTTATACAGATAAGTGATAAATAATTCTTGGTTTATGATAATAATCTTGAAAAACTGGCTGTTTCCGCGACTGGTACTCGAAACGTGATAACAATAGAATAATTCGTACATTCTCGCCGGGTTACTCGGTTGGTACAGTAGATAATGCCAATATCGCATACATTACGTAATACATAGATAAAAATTTATTGACCAACTAAAGAGAATCAGATTATGGAAATAATAAAGTACTTACTTATGGTATAAGCAATCAACCACGTAAAACTATATTATACCAACGGCCCTGAGCGGCCGATCGAAATTAAATTAGCTTATGCGTAAATTTGAAACGATGTTGCAAATAACTTGTTGCTAAAACCTATGATCTTCATTATATTTTGTACTTCGAAAAGACTGAATGATAGTTTTCTTGTGGAATGAACTGTTAAGGTTAATATGTTGAGTTAAGAAGTGTTAAGGACAGCAATATTAAGGCTCAAAGTCAGGGTTTAAGAATTTCAAAGTAAGGAACAAGCCTTTACGAGTATTAAGGTTGGGATTTAAGTTTAGGAATTAAAGTAAAAAAGTTTTAGAATTAAGACCTAGCGTTCAGAGATTTTAACGTTAGGAGCTTAAGTCAAGGGTTTAAGGGCTAGGAGTTAGGTTTTTAAATATGTTGGACTAGGAAATAGGATCCGTCTTGATTACAGAAGAATGATTTAAAGCTTAAATTATCGATATTCATCACTAATAAGCTTAATAATGATGTAAAAACTTAAAATTCTCCGAAATCTTATCAGTTTTCTATATTTTAGGGCTCTCACACGAAAGTTCTATTATGATTGTCCAGTTGCGATTGGTTAATCCCTGAAACCGCTCAAGGTCGTCGATGTGACAGAATTTTACTACGGAACGCAATTGAATCTGAGTAAAAATTAGGGTTACGATATGAAAAACAATCGTTTATGTGACTAATTAAAGGAATATGTCTGTCATTGCTCAGTAGTAACTAATTCCTGCCCTGAATCACGGTTTACAACCTCACACTTTCTGAATAATGTAATCGTAGTCAAAGTATTCCATAAAAATACAATTTAACAAAGAGGAAAAACACTAACTTCATTTTTGGCATCAACTATTTTGATATGCACAGAAAAGAAACGTGAACGTGATTTAATTAACTCCGAACTAGTCATTGGAATATTACTACAACGATTATTCATAGTAAGAAAATCACTTAATAAATAGGGACCAGCAATTATATTTGCATTTAATTCACGAAGACGTTCTGATGAGATGATGCTTTCAGTAGGCATATGATATACACGTCCAGGAACTGAAAAATACAAACAAAGCAGATATATATAAAAATGGGTTATAAAAATCCAAATGGAAAAATTGGAACAAGTTGATAAAAAAGAAGCATTATTGGTCAAAATTAACAAGTGTATATTAAGAAAACTAACATAAAATTTCTGTTCATTTGCTTTTCAGTATATGGACTTTCTTTAGACGGCACTAGTTTATATTAAGAACTACTTTAGTATAATCTTAAAACAACAAAATCGACTGTAATAATAGTCGAAACAACAACGTTATTGATATGACGATCAGATACGGAACGGTCTTTTGATCACCACTAAGCATTAATTATCATGATCCCCAAATCCTCTGGTACGGTCGAAGGTAGGGAGAGTTCGCTCCTCCTTTCAAAGTACTCTCCTATGGCCACGCGCATATAGCCACTGCCAGAGACATCCTGATCACTGTTTTTTTTCACAGAGGAAGTGTTGTTCACAAAACTGACACAACGAGAAGCGAATGCCCGTCGCTTAAGCCTGGTTACTGAGTACGGGAGTTGAAAAACTGTGATTCCAAGCCAATGGTGCTCATTAGCTCCAGGATCCTGGGGGAACAAACGGAAAAAGAACCCATTCTCGGTCGCTGGCTAACATGAGACCTTATCTCCTAAGGTTGCTCTAGTATATTGTGGATTGGAATTCTGAGTCAAAAGCTCAGACCTTGAGTATGCGGGTGATATTGTCTTACTGTGCGATAATGCTCAAGGCATGCGATCTGCACTTAATCAGTTGGCAACCAGTGTCCATAGGTACGGTATGTGCTTTGCACCCTCCAAGTGCAAAGTACTTCTACAAGACTGGCAGGATTCTCATCCTGTACTCACCTTGGGTGGTGAGCAGATTGAAGTAGTTGAGAAATTCGTTTCTCTAGGTAGCTGCATCAGTGCTGGTGGTGGCGTGAGTGATGAGATCAACGCACGTGTAGTGAAAGCCAGAGCGGCTTATGCCAATCTGGGCCATCTTTGGCGCCTTCGTGATGTTAGTCTGGCTGTAAAAGGCCGGATCCACAACGAGTCGGTGAGAGCAGTTTTGCTCTATGCTTGTGAAACCTGGCCTCTCTGGTGCCCCCTTGTACCAATATTCATGTGTTCAAATAAATTAGTAAATAAGCTCTGAGTGTAAAAGAGATACGTGCAAGCCATCCTTCTTCCATGGCCCCAATAACTAAATTTTCATAAATGTTAAATTGATTTTATTATATCCATCTAATATATTTTAGTTTCTTTAATTCTAATTATTCATTATTATCATTTTTAAGATTTTGATTTATTTTTCACCTTTCTCATCCTCACATTTGATTTTATCTTATTATTTCTCATCAATTCTCGATTATTAGGCAATTTTCTTTGACAAACGATATGATATAATTGTCATCTTATTTTTAGCAAATTTTATTTTTATATAGTTGGGATCGTGAGTCAATTGAAGCTAGACCACCGTGGAAAACCTGGAGCACTGAACAACCGTTTCGTCCTATTGTGGGACACCTCAGCGGTGCGCATCTACGATCCCGACTTGCGAGATTCGAACACAGAACATATCATTTTCGTGTGCGAGCGCTTAACTACTAGACCACTGATTATTTGTTAATGATATATCCCGATGAGAATAATGAATGTTAACCGCTGGGATCTCTTTATGAACTAATATTACACATATATTTTTTGTGTAATTACACATTCATATTACTCTTATTATGAGCTTCATTTTGACCGATGAACTATTATTATACGATTTGCCATTCTTGAGATATTCCCAGTTTATTAATTACAGTCTCCCACAATCACAGCTACTTTTGGCTAGATCTTGTACAAGTGTTATTTCCTATTTTGTGGTGTGACGTGGTCTCTTTGGTTTGTATATAAACACAGTATGTTTGAAATATATGATTCATATCGCGAAGGCTGAGATTGGCGTTCTGGACTAAACAAGCAGGGCTAAGTAGGGAGACAGATCGATAAGGACTCTCGACTGCTCATACGGGTTTATGCGTCATTGGTCCGGTTGATAAATCACCATTATCTAATTGGCGGTATCATAACGTTATATATTATTAGGCCACAAGTTATGACAGTTAACTGCAAACCTACTCTTCAATTAGTTGTTTATGCAACCCAGATGATTAACTGAAAACAGGAAGCCCTATTTTAATCTTAAACCTCATTAATACAATGCTTACAAAAAAGAAAATGATTGTACTGAAAAATTATGAATCAACCTATATCATAAAAAAACATACTTTTTAAGTTATTTGATAGTAATTCATTATTGAAGTGGACATTTTCATCTGAAATTTGTGATTTGTACTCCGACGACTGTGTGCTGTCGTATTCATCATCGATAAATGGAGCATTTAAATCGTGTACCACCAAACTATGATCAAGAACTGATGATACACGATGAAATTCATTACATTCGGTATTTGTTGAGGTTTTTGAAGGATTATGAATAAAATGGAGAGGTTTATTAGATGAAATATTTTTTCTTAGAAGTGTTATATATACATCGGATTGATTTTGTACTTTCTAAAATATAAAAAGTGAGTTTCAAAATAATAATAATAATGATAATACTGGTAAACTAGTTTTATGGAGAAAGCTTTTATTGATTGATGAAACGATTTTCTCGATTGATAAAATCAATGAATAGAATGCTAATCGATGAGTGAACTTGGTAACATGATGGATACTCACAAGATCATATTATCGATTCAAGCCTCCGAATGATTTAGCATCAAAGATATGACCACTAGCCAGATGATTAGGTGTTTTATGTAATAAAATAGTGTGCTTATATGCTGAACATGAATACAATATAATGACAAAATGTCATAGATATTTGGAGAAAACTAGCTTGTAGGTGACTCATTACCTAGTTAACTAGGACCTGACTGTTATGGTTTAATCTTTCAGCATCGAATCTAAGAGATATATAATCAGTAGGCTCAACTATATCACTTTATATTCAGATTGACGAGGAAGTATAGATACAATTCAGAAGACAGAAATATCCCAAACAATCGTTCAATGTGTTTAAAAAACATTTTCTATGCGTACTGTAGTAAATTTACGAATCTTTAGGGAAGTCAGTCAATAAAACTTTAGAAGAAAAAACAATCTCTCGAAGAACATTAACGGTGAAATAGGATAAAAAGTAAGAAACAGAGTAGTATCCAGATCACATTTATATGGCGATAACATGTTTACCAAGAATTTGAATAAATACATAATCGGCTCTCTTTGATAGCAGGCTACATTTATTATTTCCCACCTACCATTTAACTGTGAATTGATATATGAGCACAGAATACATTATTTATGTTCGGATAGTTCATCTTTTCGTAAATTACCAAGTAGTTGGTTACCCCCAGCCGTTCTTGTTACCTTGACGTGGTAGTCAGGCTTGCCTATCGTGATGAACCAATCGAGCTATACTAGCTGGAATAATCGTTCCTCAAGGTCCTAACATGGCAGACAGGTCGGTTGAAGAGCAGTAAGACTGAAAACAGCGAACCCAAGATCGGAAGGCGAAGTCGTACTGATGACTGTACAGAGGTGTGACGGCAGTAAGTTGTTTCCTTCAGAAAACCAGCATAACAGCGATGCTGCCTTCCCACAAGGAGAGGTGAGGTTAAAAAAAGGTGGACGACTCTAAAAATACACACCTAACCTTATCCCACGGACATCCGTCTCCGACGGTAAGGTCTCAACAAGTACGGAGCTAACACAAAACGTCATGTGTGTCCGACCTCAAGCAGTTGTCTCTTGGGCACTGCGGTCATGCTCTCAGGTCATTAAGACCATTTCTAACCCAATTTCCTTTTCAAGTACCTCTAGAAGGATCCTTCCATGCTGTGGGCAACCAGGAAGTGATAACTGTCTTCATACCTCTAACAGCACTCAAGATCATTGTACCAACCGAGATGGTTACCACATAGTAATATGCATATTTAAAAAAAGAGACATTTCAAGAGATTCACACTTCAATATTGGGCCCAACAATAATAATAATAATCACTTACCTCATACTGTTTTAATGTTGAATGAAATATAAAATGTGAAATTGAATATACTCTTCGTAAACTAATTTCTAATACATGTTCAGATAATATATTCTTAGAATTATCATTGTTATCATTATTATTAATGATACTTTTGATAATTGAAGTACCATTAGACTTATTAACTTGTTGTTTAATCAAACTTTGATAAGCGCACCAATTACGAGTATTAAATTCCCATAAATGAGTAGATATATTAGATGATAAACTAAGTTGAACAGCTAATGTAGCACATGTTAACATCAATGGAATATTATCCAAATTATCATTATTGAATTGTGACTTCTTTAATGATTCTTTTTTTAATTGTATATAATGTGTAACTAATTTTGAAAGAGTTTGAATTGTTCTATGATCACTCGTAAATTGTTGTTTATTTTCTATGGTAGAAGATAATGATGGAAGAGATAGGTCCACTTCATACCAACCAATTAGATCTGGGAAGTTAACTTGAATTGATGAATCTATCGGAACCGTTTTGATAAGTTGATGTAAAATAAAACATTGTTCTAATGGACAATTACAATATGCATATAAATCATTTAATAAATAACTATGACTACTACTACTGCTTATACTACTATTATGACTACTTATAGGAAAGGACGCTTCAGTTTCCTTATAAGAAGATACATTACAATGTTGATTAATTGATATGATTGAATTATATAAATGAATACGTTTTTGTTTATTCATATCATATTTATATAATTCATGATTATGTAATTGATAAATATACATTTCACCATTGATAGTACTTAAACATATATTATCTAAACCAGTACAATAGGTGAATGTATTAAATTGTATATTGCCATTAAATATTTCGTCATTATTGTTATCTTCATCAGCTGATAAGATTGGATTAGATATAATTAATTGAGCATAACATGATAGATTTTTATAAACATTTATTTGTAATAATGAATTGTAGACTGTAAGTATGAAACAACAAAATGATAAGTCATTTGTTTCTGTAGTAGTTAAAGGTGAGTCTATAGTAAACATTAAATTATTATTATTAGTAGTAGTAGCAGTAGCAGTATGTTTGACAGCTACACATGATTGTCCACATTCATATTGTAATTTAATTGGAGGGTATAAAGCGTTTAAAGAACAAACATGTAAATCATTGGTATTGGATACCACATCCATTTGAATAGGACAATAATGATTAGGTAATTTCATGTGAAAAAGTGGAGTTTCATCAATAACTGAATTAGGTTGGATACAATCATTTTCATTATATCTAAAATTAATTTTTTAGAGGAAAAACGATATAATTTTTTTTATTTATTTATTTAAACACATAAATATTGGTACAAGGAGGCACCAAATATATATGCGCCACACTTCACCATCCGATCAGTTTGAAGGATGGAATACTTGACGGAGCTCCCAAACCGAAGCAAGTTGGTTTTCTCAGGGGGCTACTCCAGGAGTTTTTAACCTAAAGATCTAATTCACAAAGCAGTGAAGCAGCATCAGGAGATGCAGCCCCATGGTAGCCAGTGACCAACAATAGGTTCATACATCATTTGTTCCCTTAGCATCCTGGAGCCCATGTGCACCACATTGATTTGGAATCGGGGTTTTCCGATCCCCTAGGTGGACCCTCCGTGTCCACCGACCCGGTTAAAGAGCCAGATGTTTGTTTATTGTCCTCTCAATTAAGTTAAACAATACCCACGCCGCGAGAACGCAGTGAGTAGGACTTTCCTGGTAGTGGTTGTAAACACGTGCCTATGTGAGAGCATTTCGAGAGGGAGAGCAGACTCTCCCCACTCTCGACCGTACCAGGGAATTCGGAGGCAAAATTTCTTTACCGAATACTTAAATAGTAAAACGGTATTATTAATCAGGATTAAAAATAATAAATGTTAACTAGTATTCACACTATAATAGCTTTCTTTGTAGACATCATTTTAAATAACTGAGAAGTAATGAGGGATCTAAACTCAGTCAGTCAGGCATAATCAACGTATAGCCTGGGCATGAATAAGCAGTTGTTCACGTACCCATATTACATGAGTACAAGGAGATGAATTTAAAAAGATTAACAGTGAAGAAATCGAAATAATATGGGAGCATAGATAATAAGAGTTGGTCACTTATAACTTTCTTCCAACCTACTTGTACACCGGTTAACATCGCTTGTTGAGCGTTAAAAATGGTGTGTCAGTGAGGTGTTCACAACATACGTCCAAACTAGTACTTGAATTGTAATAATTTCCAGGGGTGTATGTCTTACAAAATAGATAACGCAGAAATAGAATAAATTTATTGTCATAAATGCAGAGTACTGTGAATAAGACAAAACTTGTTTATGAAATGTGGATTACATGGAGTTTTTATAAACCAGTTTCATGTATTTATTAGATTAATTCGATAAAAAATAAGTGACAGAATAACTAAAACTTACCCGAATAAAAATAGATCACCATCTTCAATCGATTGGTTATCAGCAGTTGTTTCATGATGAACCTCTACATGAGATAATGATCTTGATAAACCACAACAAACAAGTATGCCTTGTGAATAAGCTGAATTATCACTATTGAAAGACATTGTTTGCAATGGTAGTGGTAATATTTGTAAAACACGAAAATTAGGATTTTCAATGTCATTATTAGTACTATTAGCAGTAACTGACAAAGGTATGACACCAACAAGTTTCGGTAAGTTCTCAACACATCTACTATTGCCATTTTTATTTTCAGAATGATCAAAGCATGGAATTGAACTGGTTGTTTCATTCATATTAAACTGTTGATTTTCAATGTGTTTTATTGATGACGACAAATTGGATGAACTTAAAGCAGATATTTTCTTTAATTGTAATTTATTGGTTGAGGATGTGGGATGACACTCTGTCGGAGCTTTTAAATTTACAAACTCTTCGACGACACTAGACAAACCAATATACGCGTAGAAATCATTCTCGATAAGCTAATGTAATAAAAGTAAGGGAAACAAATAACATTGAAAATATAAGATATACTAATCATGTGATGAAATAACTACAACCAGTCAGCTACAACGTAGGACCAGGCACATATATGCATCGGTCCAAGTTGCCATATCTCGTTAGCACAACAAGATCAACACCGGATTCACAGAGTAGTTATTTTAGTGGTGATAATATATAAAAGAAAGGTTATATTTAAGGATATAGTATAGGAAGGAAGAAAGTTATGAAGCAATTTTTAATCTCAAGGTTTAAGGGAAGATAAAGAGTGTATACACCTACGCCATTGTGATCGATTCTGAGCCATGTCCAAAAATTGGTTACGATAGTCACACGGACACCAACCAAGTAGTCTGCATCTGCCAACATGGCTCAGACTAGAAGTTAGTAACTTCAAGCACTGATGCCACGTTTTGCTTTGGTCGCCCCTAACTCTCTTCCAACCATTGCCAATACTAGTCAGCATAGCGCGTCGTGGTAATTGGTGTTCAGGCATACGTAACACGTGGCCCAACCATCTCAGTCGATAAGTATTCATAACCTCATCAACTGATTTACCATCATTCCCTAATACCCTGTGTCTAACATCACTATTACTTACCCGGTGATCCCAGCAGATGCGAGCAATATTTCTAAGGCATCTGTGATCAGATACTAGCAACTTACGAGTATCTTCTACTCTTAATGCCCACATTTCACAGCCGTAAAGTAGAAAAGGGCGAACTGCTGCGCAGTATACTCGTCCCTTAATTGATAGACAGATATCTCGTCTTCGCCATAGGTGATGTAAGTTGGCAAAAGCCAAACGAGCTTTTTGAATCCGTGCTGAGATCTCGTCAGACACCAACCCATTAGGTCTGATCAAACTTCCAAGACAAGTGAAGTTGTCGACGCGTTCGACAACACTCATTATCATTAGTTCAAGTGTTAACGCAGGTCAGTCCTGGAGCACCGAATTTCATTTAGAAGGGGATAAATGCATTTCAACTATAACTGATAAATGTTGAATAAAGAGCATAACATAAATCATTCTAACTCAAGTTATTATTTGAATCATAAACAGAAAATGAATGCATCGCTCATTAGTTAAATGAAAGAAAAATGATCAGAAATACTGGATATAGGCATACCCACTGGACACTGAAAGTGTTTCAGATAACAACCGGAATTTCAACCATGAATTTAAATTTTTTTAGAAAACATATAGAAAACAATAAATATATTTTAATGAATAAAAGGTGACTACCTTTGTACTGATTGATGTTGGAACATTATCTTTTGGTACTGAATCACTCATGATATTATTTGTATGTACGCTATTTAACTTGTCAGAACTCTCCTCATCAAAGTCATCTTCATAATCATCATTATCAGTCTCTTTCTCATCACTATCGTTATCATCAATATCTCCTAATTCTTCATATTCTATTGTATAATCATGACCAATTAATGGAAGAAACTTGACAAGATCTGTTGGTATCGAATCTATATTGAATTGATTAGGAAATATTGATTTAGGAAAAAACGGTGATGATAGTGTTGTTGTTGTTGAAGAGAAAGTAGAGTCAGCTATCCACATAACTTGTTCACTGTTTAATGGACATAATTCAATAACGATAAGACATAGTTGATATTTTTTAGAGTTGTTGTTTTTAACATTCTCAAGTTTATTAGTTGCTGACATGTTCTGCATACAAGAGTGTAATTTAACAAACACTGAATATGGTAAACAACAACCAAGAATTAAATGATGTATTTTTGGGGGTTGTGGAAGATTGATAAATTTCATTGTAGGACAATTAGAAACTAGTAAACATCCACTATGTACTTGTAGTTGAGATTTAATAATCACTAGTTTAAGTATAGAAAAGAAGAAATTGAATTCTTTAATGATAATCAATAAATCAATATATTAGAAACCAAGGATCAAAAGTGATCTTTCAAGTTTATATGATATAAACAATGATATGATGATCAGATACAAAACACCATAAACACCACTTTATTACTCGGACAAAAAAATTAAACTTTATAGATATGTGAGTGGCCTATAAAACATATCCTCTGGTTGCTTATTTGCTAAATAATATCTAGCCATGTTTACTTTGATAAACAATACTTTCTATTTAAGCATGTTGTTTCCTTGGAGAAGAAACTTATTTTATATGTCAGTTGTACAATCTTTCGTTATTAGTTCATTCAGGGGTTTTAGTCAATAAATGGATATTGTGAATAGCTACCAGTGGGACACATCGTATCAATGTACATCATCCATTGATCAGCGAAATGTTTACAACAGATTTAAGTTTGCAATTGATTGGTTACTACTCAACGATTAATTAATTAGTTAGAGATGGAAGATATGCAGCAATAACTCCAACGACAACTGTGATACTATATATGACAGTTCGATTCCCTTCTAAAACCCGTTACTCTAAACAACTAATCTTGTTAGGAAGAATTATTGGATAAGACCAAATAAGAATGAATTTACATCCAGGTTAATTCAGTTATATATCAATTGTGATCACAGGCATTTACAGCCTTTTGTAGGGTCTCTTTTACCACATATTCTTTTAGGAACATCCAACTTATATGTGATGTAATAATATCATAAGCTTTTTCTGCCTGTAAACATACAGGTTGGCTGTTGATCAGTGGGGTGATGAGCTTTCTCTCCCTGTTTATTTGATAGGTAGCAAGTAGACTCAGTAATGGGAATGCCACGGTTAGCTGTATATTTATTTCTTGGTCTATTAAATCCCTTAATCTCAGCACTACGGAAGGTCGGTCACAGCCTGAATAGCTCAACGGTATTTTTTATTTTGTCTTAACACATTAAAATGTCTATTAATCGCATAACATATTAAGGTGCGTACATAAAATGTTTGTGACATATAGCTTTATAGCACGTGATGAATATGGTCTGATACTAACGTGTATTTTATATAGAGGTCAAGTTATAATAAACAGGACTCGTACGGCCCAAAATAGATTTTGTTTGAATATTCCAGTTCATGTTTGGGACTGGAGTGAATGGCACTAGGTTTGACTCTAGGAATGAACATCCATTCTTGGATGCAGGTACATTCATCTGACGAGTCCTAAATAAAACGAAACGGGCGTCCTGGATTCCACTGCTAGCCATCATCCATTGCTGCTTAATATTTTGCAACATATTTGAAACCTCATGCCATCACCCACTTTCGATTATCTGACTGTTTTTATCATACACCTGTGTTACTACGATATATTATGGCTTGCTTTCAATACTTAACATAAATGCATTTTATGTGCTGAGCCATCAGTTTACTTCCCTTTATTCTCATCTCTTCCAAGTTCTCCTAGGTACAATACTCTTCACACTCCCTCGACAATTAACATGCCATCAAGCTAGACATAAATCTAACTTAGACTAAACGTCACGATATAAATGCATTGAAAACTTGTTTTTTCTTAATTTTGTAAATATGGATGATTATTTTTAGCGAAAAAAGAAACGCAATACACCTAAATTACATACACTAACTTACTTTCACTGGTATTAGCAATAACTATCGAAGCATTCAATACATCCACAAGACTGAATTCTAATGAACGCTGGGAGATTTTCAGAATAGAGGAATTGAAAAGTTATGACATAAGATAACAGTGACATTAAGAATACAGGCGTGATGATAAATTATCATAGAAATATGGATGACTGACAAAAGATTTCATTTGATTAACCATTAAGTATTATTTTTGGCAGTCGGTTAATTTGAGTAGTTTGATGAAACTCAGTAACCAAGTGAACAAATTCGTGTACTTACTGGGTTTTTCAAGTTACACATACATTGAATTTACTACTGAGTAGTAGCCAGTGTGATATTTTTCCAATTATTTAGTGCTGATCGAATTCTGGTAGTGTTGTTATATAGCTGCTATTTTAAGGGATATAGACATAGCGTGCACTATGTTGTCTCAGACTGAAATTTAGTGGCACGAGTGTGAAACCCACAGAGAGAACTACTTCCATTGAGATTCCAGGTATGTCATGCTAAAGAGCCCCGACTAGCAAGAAACATAAGTTTCTTGAAGACTACTTTCAAACACCTAACATTTTAAGTCACTTATTTTACATGTGAGAGTCAGTCATACTAGTCGACTTACCAGAACTAAAATAGGAGTGGAATTCAAATCTATTCAACACAATAATTACAAGTTGGATTTTTGAACAAATAAATAACTACCACACTGTGAAGAATAGAATCCAAGACATAATTTAGAAAAAAAACATCAAACCAGGTATTAGTCTGAACCAGCGCTTATAGAGCACCCCAAATTCACAGTGACATTAATTCAGCCTCTATATGTTCACTTAATTTACTGATGAATCCGCTGACATCGATCGACACATCCAAACTTTAATAAGAGGTGGTTTTTATTATCCTAGTCCACGAACGTACTGAATAGATTAGAAGATGAAATAGCTTACTCTGTTGAAGTACGACAGATCCCAAATAGTAATTCCACCATCGACTGTTGAAGTTGTGACAAAATCTGTCGACGTAGAAGCTGTAAGCACCATGATCTGAATTATTTAAAACATGATAAAGAAAAAATACAACCGACAAAAATGAGAAATTACTTGAGAGGATTCTTTAAATATCAGCTTAAAAACAGCTTCATCCGCACAAAAATGAGACAAAACCAAAACAAGAATTGCACATGAAAATGGAAAGCTGTAACCTTACTGAAGAGTACTAACTAGTAAAAAACCTCAGTTAACGGATTCAACCTGTTTCTAATTACCTAAAATAAAATAGTCATAACTACGATGTTGTCATATCATCACCATATTATAAACCGTTCAAAGTGATATTAGTGACATATGTCATTTTGGACCACCTTTGGTGTCGCTCTGATGTTAGTCTAGCTGTAAAAGGTCGGCTCCGTAACACATTCGTGAGAACAGTTCCACTTTATGCTTGTGAAATCTGGCCCCTTCGTGGTGACAATGCGTGTGTTCGACCATCGCCTCTGAAGAATCAGTTACATTCAGGAAAACTCTGAGCTAGTAATTCTGAGGTTTGGTGATATGTATATATGGGGGTGGTGACAATGGTTCAACCAGTCACCATCTCGAAAAGCCGACTTCGGTAGTGTATGGATATATTACATAGATCATCTCAGAAGCTTTCGTACTGTGCTTCAATCCCCAACGCTGACAGTGGGTGGAAAATGCAGAGACGTAGTTAGTTTACGAAATGGTGCCGCAGTGCGAAAGAAAGTTCCATAGAATTGGTTTCCACTGGTCCACCAGAACTAGTTGGATAAGGCTCTATAGATAATGGAACTCAGTGGCTTGAGACTTTATGAGATAAGAGTCAAAGTATGAGTCACCAGTGATATTGTTGTAATCTTGAATAATACATCAAAATAGTAGTATCTTTTTACTGTTTTTAAATAAACTGTATTTCTTAGTAAACATAATTTCTATTCATTTCTCTAGTGATTGTGTTACTCTCATATCCTTTATTTTTGCACAATTTTATCATTTCATTTGTGTGATGCATTTTTGATGTCCCACTGTGCCAGAATCTATGTACATTACAACGATAAGTAAAATACAAGGTGATCTGAAGTCATAAAACCTACAAATAATTCTCAATTTATAGTTAACATCGATGGAATAACTACTTTTGAAATCAGTATTTATATTTTAAAATAATATATGATGCTATGAATGAAACAATTGAAAGTTTCTTACAACTGACTTATAAACTAATTTAAAAGTAAAGGTAAACAATCCTATAAATCAAAAGATTAAGGCCAAAACTGCTTAATATGTAGATAAAATTATCATTTGGTCAACTGGTTGACAACTACTACTTTTGGTTAATAGGCGGAATGTTTCAAAGCTCCTATGCTTACGTTATTTTTGATGCTTTCGTAGTTTTTCTAATATCCATATGTCAAATACTATTAAAAGCTCCGTAACATTGGTCTTGAAATAGTAAGAGAAATTACACAAAAATTTCGGGGTGAACAAAAAACTTATGAGCTAAAAAACAGGTGAGGACTAATGAAATTCATTAAAAGTGAAACTTACAGGATCATCAGATATTGCATGAGTTTGTGCTGTTTCCGTTGACCATGAAACTAAAAAACAAACCCAACTTACTAAGGTAACATTGCCAATACGATTCGCAAGAATAAACAACAGTAACAAAAGAGTATACGCGATGAAACAATAATTCGAACTGATGATAGTCTGTACATTTTCGCTAGGACATTTGCAAAATTGTTATGGTTCAAATAACAGTAACATGTAATCAATAACATCCTATTACATTGAGATATGCTGCCAGACCGTACACTATGTCACTGCTGAAAAAGTTAATCTTTTGAAAAGTGATGACTAAACACAGAAAATTGTCAAATATCCTCACGTTAGAGAGAACAAACATGGATAATGACGAAACTGAATTTCCATGTCATATGAGATGTACAAGTGGCCGCTAAACAAAGCGCATACATGCAGTTATTTATCAGTCTACATGACGTCAAAAAAAATTAGGAAAAAATTAGCGAATTTGCCTCTTAATGATAGTGGGAGAACGAATTAAGTTTATATTCTACTAGTTCTCTCAGGATAGCAGGACTCGTGTTTACCATCGGTTAGGCCTTTCATGTGAGTCTTCCGTAAACAAAGACACTGTTTAAACACCGGAACCTTTGGTTCATCCTGTGATTTTCGAGAGAGGAGAGTAAGATATCCTGGAAAGCTGTGAAAGCAGAAGAGTATGATAATTTTTCTATGAGAGTGGCTATTCTCTACTCTCAGCCAATTAAAGGATATTGAAGCCTGTTTCTGAGCATAAGATTAGAACTACTAGGTTTAAAATACCAATAGGAACTAATTCCTGATCTTGCAAATATGAGGTGGTCGTATAAGACTGAGTTCTAAAATCTCGCGAAAAGTATTGGTTTGGTTTTTCACACCTTAAAATATAAAAAGAGAGCCAGTAAAAATGACGATATCTAAACGAACAAGAAAGTGGATTAAGAAAATAAAAACAACACCTGAAGATATAGATCAAGAGTGAACTTATTTATTTATTTAAACACATACATATTGGTACAAAAGGGCACCAGATACATATGCGCCACACAAAATAATGAAAGTAGGAAAAGAAGGGATGAAAAGATAAGGCGGACTGAAATTTACAACCAGAAGACTCCTTCAGTTAAGAAAGTTAGAACCACTCTTTATGAAGAAAGCAAAAGAAGGTTGCAGCAGGATCGCCACTGGCTTCTATTCTGAGCCATATCTGATAACGTCTCTAGCCACTGTGTTGCACCATCTCTCGGACCCCAGCCAGGGAGTCGTGAAGGACCAACAGAAGCTAGCCCTTTGCAGCTTCCTTTCATGCCACGACACCATGTCATACACTGACCTCCTCTCCGCTTTTTCCAACCAGTCCCAGGGTCGGCAAATAATGCACCACGTGGAAGTCTCTGGGACGACATTCGTAAAACATGTCCAAGCCACCGAAGTCGGTGTTTCAAGATGGTGACACCAATTGAATTATCGTCTCTGCGCCCGAACACACGATGCCGAACCTCTTCATTACTAACATGGTGTTGCCACTGAATGTCAGCAATCCTTCGGAGACAACGATGATCGAACACAGAGAGACGTCTAACATCCTCAACTCGGAGAGGCCAGGTTTCACAAGCATAGAGTAAAACTGCTCTCACCGACGCGTTATAAATCCGACCCTTTACAGCCAGGCTAACATCACGAAGGCTCCAAAGATGGCCCAGATTGGCATAAGCCACTCTGGCTTTCATTATACGTGCATCAATCTCATCACTCACGCCACCACCAGCACTTATGCAGCTACCCAGAGAAACGAATTTCTCAACTACTTCAATCTGCTCACCACCCAAGGTGAGTACAGGATGAGAATCCTGCCAGTCTTGTAGAAGTACTTTGCATTTGGAGGGTGCAAAGCACATACCGTACCTATGGACACTGGTTGCCAACTGATGTTAGTGATTGGCATCCCATCATCCTCGTAGATTGTTTCACTCACACCAGACTTCTTGCTGCCAGTGGCTCGGATGAGTTGGAAGAGCTTCCGGCAGTTACCAGATGCAGCTGCTGCTTCCATCTCATTAGCACGCTCCGACCACCAGGTTTCTCGGTCCTTACGCAAGCTTTGCCCGATTTCACTACGTAACAGCCTTCATTTGTGGTCAAACTCACGGTCACCCGGAGTAGACCGACAGGCTTCCATCAGTTGTAAGGAGCCAGAAGAAACCCAGTGCTTGTAAGCGGGACTTCTCGCGAAGCCGCAAGCGGCTTTACTCGCCATTCTCACGGCGTCGTGAAGATGCAACCAATGCTCATCTATACTTTTCGGTGGGATGGTCTCCGGCTAATACTACAATATCTGTCGAACGCGCTTTCTGGAGAAGAACTGTTAACTGGTGGTAAAACTCATCCTTGATTGCATCCGGGCTGCAATCTGTCGGGGCATAGGCGGAGATGACGAAAAGACACCGTTTCTCACGCCGGTTTCTTCTCACTTTGATGGAACTTTCTAATCTAACAGCACATAACTGACTGTTAATGGGGATCCAATCGATTAGTGCTGCCTCAGCCCTAGCGCTTAGTGCAACACCAACGCCTGCAAGACCAGACGAAGATGTCACAGGGTCCCCGGATAAGCGCACGTGAAACAAGCTTTTCGAAGCGACAGATGGAGAGCGAATTTGTAGTACTTCACTAGAGTCTCTAATACGGGTCTCGGATAGACAGCAAACATCAACATTAGGACTTTCTAAAGACATAGCCAGCCCCATCTGTTGTCCGATCTGAATTTGTGTGCGAACGTTGAAGGAAGCCAGCTTGAACGGCGTACGTGGTTTCAGAAAGACTGCTTCAGTATTCGTAATCGGTGGAAGCACTCACTTTCAACCAGACAGTGACTGGAGATCGTTTAGATAGGACAGAGTTTCCACCATGGGCGAGCTACTGCATAAGTTGGAAAGGAAGGATACACAATTTGGGGATAACGGGAGTGAAAAAGCGACGTAGTAAATAATAGTAATAATAATAATAATAATAATAATAATAATAATAATAATAATAATAATAATGGTAATAATAATGTAAATTGTCTTGCTTCTAGTATGAGCGAGAATAGTATCGTCAATAGAATTCATCATTTCATTTATTTGTGTGTGGGATATGATACTGCTCGGGTGCCCAACCCGAAGCAGGTGGTTTTCTTAGGGGGCCACACCCCGAGCCTTTGACCTAAGGGTCTGATCCACAAGGCAGTGGAGCATCGTGAGGAGATGTAGTCCCATGATAGCCGGTGACCAACAGCAGGTTCATTAGCCATTCGTTCCATCAGGATACTGGAGCCCATGTGCATTGGTTTGGAATCAGGGTTTTCCAACTCCCCTAGGTGAACTTTCCGTGTTCACCAACCCGGTTAAAAGCGCCGGACATTCGCTTTTCGTCCTTTCACTTTCGTGAACAACACCCCCACCACGAGAATGCAGTGAGTAGGACTTCCCTGGCAGAGGCTATATATTCGCGTGGCCATGCGAGAGCATTTCGAGAGGGAGAGTGGACTCTCCCGACTCTCGGCCGTACCAGGGCATTTGGGGGCTCAAGAGTGAACAATACATGCTGAAGTCTCATAGACAGTTAGCTTATTAGAACTGATATATTCATCCCTTTGATTCGCACTTGAGGTCACATGTTAATTTGCTCAGCCAGATAGCATTACAGACACCTATACAAAAAGTGACACTAACCTGAACTGGAATACTGAACTGCCTTCATCGATTCAATAAATTAATTCCCTAAGGTTTCGAACTTTTATGTTTGGACTGCATGTAATAATATATTGATATAACGGTGATAAAACCGAGCAGTGGCTAAACCCTGCTATTTAAAATGAAATACTTACATGTACTAGGTATGCTTTTCGAATTTGGAGATGACACAAAGCTGCACTGCGGTGAATGTCTGATATGTTCACTCCATGGCTCGTCGGTTGGTTCCCAAGATGACAATCTAACTGAGCATTCAAGACAACATACAATGTCCAGTGGGAATTTTAATGGGAAGTAAAATCCAGCTTCAGACAAGGTGGAAGGCGTTATCCATCTGAAAATAAAGTCCAACACATTTGGAATTACTATTATACCTTTAATGCACTAATAATAAACGAATCTTTAGTTATAAAAACCATTCTGTCACTGATATTATACAGGACGAAAGTGAAGTTCTCTGAAGTTAATCTACAGTCACTTAAGTAGATTCATACTCAGCCCTTTGAAACAAATACTTTCAATAATTTTCTTATTCTACATGAGAATCTGATAAGAAAATATCTGCAGGGAATTATTCTAAACCACCACAGAAGGCTTACCATTAAGTTTAAGAAGTGGCTTTCTACAGATTTCAGGATAACAGCAACTCAGAGTCATAACTCTAGTATTTGACTTCTGATAACACATTGCAGAAGCACGGTGACTAAGGAAATCAGCTTTTACACAACAGGAGGCAGGTTTGTATGGCCTGTCTACCTTCGGTTATGTATTCACGCAACATTACTATCCCTTAACATTAGGACCGAGTTCACAAACCTGCACTTGGCAAATCAGTTACACTGTTTTACGGTACACATAATACGCAACAAAGTTTCCTTTCTACTCAAATTTCAGTTCAGGTTGAATTTACGTATTTTTTTACAATCGTCAAGATACAATACACATTAAGTGAAGACGGACTGGAATAAGAGAATGGAGGTGTTGATATGGATTGGGTACTGCATTCACAACTATAATACCAGGTGTCTTGTTTGCATGTTTCCAACCAGAACTTTACTTGATACATGACTTAAATTCCAATGGAAAGGCGAAAGAGATCACGAAACGGCGTATCTTAAGTGTAGCTGGGTGAGAATTATAAAATTTCCGATAGAAAGGTGATATAAACTGTTTTGGTAAACAATGGCTAGATCTAAACTGGTAGCTGATTTTTTTAGATATAACAACACTCATTATTATTATTTAAACACATAAATATTGGTACAATGAAGCACCAGATAAATATGCGCCTCACAAATCTCATTCGATTTGTGTGAGGGCTGTGATACTGCCCAGGTGCCCACTGAAGCACAACACAACAACACTCAAGTGTGAGTTGACTAGGTTAATAAAAACAGGATGTTTTTTTAGAAAAGACCCAACTTACTGATAGTCCATATGAGGCCAGTGAGTAAATGTAAGGCGTCTATGAGCTTCGCTTTGCATGGTGAAGGGCTCTCGCATAGCCGTGAAAAACAAAACGCTGTCACTATCCGTTATAGCTCGTGTTAATCGATGCAGAATTGACTTCAACAATGGGGTAGTCAGAAGCACACTTTTACTGGAATTACTGTGCTGCAACTTGTCAAAGAAACTATACAACCTCTCGTAACTATCACAGATGGTAAATGTTTTCCACTAAAACATATGGTCATTAAACTGGAGTACCTTAGGATTAGGACAGTTATGAGTGTCCACAACTAAACCTCCGCAATCAGTGTACAAACTTTCGATAGTGAAAATAAATAGTTCTATAACAGAGCCCTGATTTGAGTAAAATTCGAGACTGATCTTCTCATTTTTATATTGAATGCGTCTATCGAGAAAGCCATGAAGCAAGACAGACCCGTTTGAGTGGGTTCTCGCGTTAATTTCAGTTTCTCTCGCAATTACTAAGCGTTCATTTGAAGGAAAATAACTAAGGAATATACGTGAACCTAAAAATAAGCGTAACTCATGCCCATACATACAATTATCAACCAAGTTAGTGACTAAATTAGTCTCTTTCTCAAGAGAACCAGTCTGAGCATTGTAAACTCGCACTGTTCCATGGGAACTAGCTAACATTGTTACTCCTAAAGGAGGGAAGTAGCAAGATGACCAAAGAGGTGCTGACATCCCTGCGACCTTAAAGTTGAACCCAGCGCCTACAGTCTCAACAGAAAAGATTGGATGGTGATTGACCGCTGCAGGCGTTCTATCGTGCATTTGCACCAGATCACTAGTGGGTACGCTGTGCTACGCATCCTTTGCCACTACTAGCTATATTAAACCAAACGCTCCACGATATGTCGATAGCCTTGCAAAATATCTCCAAACCCCTTCATTTCTGACTTCTGATTTGATTGAGTTGGTACATTACGATTATGCATTTGCTACGTGTAAAGGCGTTGTCAAAATTCGAACACCTGTTTTACCCTTAAGCTTCCATGGAAGCAAAAAGATAAAACATACTGACATGCGAATCATTATTCGATATACGAAATGCGGATATAAGGTCACGTAGCGCTCAATGAGATATAAAGGGAAAAGATATTAGCGTTCTAGTGCCTTACAAAGTATAAATCAGAGTCTGGACACTAGCTTATTATCTGCTCATCGGAGATACCAACCAACGTCGTGATCACCGTATTCAAGACGAGGTCTTACATAAGTGGATTTAGAATTAGAAACATTACTTAGTTAAAGAATTTTAGCGTTTAGTAAAGTGACGTAATCGCTCAACTTCATCCAACAGCTGATCCACCTCAACGTGTCATTGATTCAAATTCATGACCTAAGATTTTATTGAAACCTTCATGTTCTAAAACTTTTATTGTTGAAATTTCATTAGTTTGTAGTGACCGGCCAGTCTCGATAAGAACACGATTGGAATAACGGGAACAATTATTATTATTGTAACCAATTGTATCAGAAATTGTTTTACTGTATTTGTTTAACTGTATCAGTTTCACTTCTTGTTTCGCTCTCCGCCTGGTTTGGTTCGAACTTGCTCACGCACTGCCTGTTCGCCTGTACTCTTTGGCACGTCTCGGTATTATTTCGATACCACGAGATCGCCAATAAATACAATTGATCTGGATTAATAAAGTCTTCTGATTTACGAGCTATCAAAGGAACCAAGTCGTTTTTGGGCGCGTAAACGAATTGTAGTGGTGATCGTAGTCCGTCTTCGACTCGACATCCACTACAGACTGGTGAGCCGTATTGGGAACACGCACATCTGGTGAACCACAACCAGAAACCCAATTCTTCGAGCATAGTTCAAACTTGGCCAATTCTCCAAGCCAGATCAATCCGGTGAGTCTATTTATCTGTCCACATCGGTTGCATATATTCGTATTGATATTTTTCAATATATAATATTTTGGCAACTTAATACGGTAGATAACGATAAGAATAACATAAATATGATAGACTCCGAGATACAGGTTATCAGTTTTCGACCGGTTCCATTTATTCCCCATGATCCAGAAGTCTGGTTCGCGGCACTGGAATCTCAATTTGAGATCCGCTGCATAACCAACCAAAGGCAAAAGTACGCCTACGCTGTGGAATCATTGCCCGGGGATCACCTAACCGCTGTCCGTGAGGTTGTCCTCAATCCGAACGTTCCGAACGTTTACGACCGTCTTAAGGATGCTATCCTTCGACATTTCCTCCCATCAAGAGAGGAACGATTGAGGACTCTCTTAGCACGTCACCCTATAGGTGATGCTAAGCCGAGCCACCACCTCACGCGCCTGCAATCCCTTGCAGGAAACTCGACAGCAGACTCCGAAATAGTCAAAGAGTTATGGCTCGAAGCATTACCAGCTAGTATCCAACCAACTCTTACGGCCCTGCTCGAGGACACCCCACTGCACGAGGTGGCCCTCATAGCAGACAAGATTCTAGCACGTGTTAGCGCCAAAGACAACTATATTGTTGCCTCTACTTCTCATTCAAGCATTGATCTCGATGCTAGACGACCTCCGGCTCAAGGGGATAGGGACAGATGTATCCATACTCGTCTCAGTTTCCGAGACCGCACAAACGTGCCAGCCCCCTACGTCCCCCGACCCAGGTCACAATCTCGAAAAGCCGTGACGACTCGCCCCAAGCGGGCATCTTCCAAGCCACGCCAGAAGGCGGTTTCTGAAGCGAGTTCGAGTTGGTGCTGGTTCCACCGTGCTTTCGGGGTCGGTGCCCGTCATTGTCGAGCTCCCTGCTCATACAAGGCGGGAACTTCCCGAGCCGGTGAGTAAATACGGCCGTACTCACTGTCCCTTAACCTCAGTTTGACCGTTCATTTTACGTGCACGATTATCGCACTAACGCTAGGTACCTAGTGGATACAGGTGCCCAAGTTTCTGTCGTACCTATCAGTAACAGTAAGTCTCAAGCTACGATGCTTCGACTACGCGCTGCGGATGACTCAGTCATTCCTAACTATGGTACACGACAATTTACGGTCAATCTGAGCAAACAGCCTTACGAAGGACCTTTTCACGTGATTTCCCGTCACGAAAAGACCTTCAAAGTTGATCGACATGGCCGCGTCGAAATAGTCAGCATTGGTCGTCTCAAGCCAGCACACGTCGATGACAGTGCCCTACCTGATAAGCCGAGACCCAATGCTAGACCCAGCAAAGCTTCTAGCGGGATCTCTACATCTACTTCGGATCCTACGCTAGATGCTCCTGAGATCTCATTCTCACGTCCCAGTCAACAGCACGTGTCATCTGCCCCGTCTACGGACGAGACTATTGTCTCACGTCCAGACCAGCAGACCACATCGCCCTTGACTGCGGATGAGATTGTAGGCTCACGAGGTTCGAACGAGACTACCGTCTCACTTTCCGGTCGCCGAGTACGCTTACCTGTACGCTTTCGCGAATAACCCCATAACCAGCAGCGGACACAGTATAGGAACCTACCCCTATAATACACGAAAGCTACACTTTTCTCTTTTTCTTTCATTTTTTTTGTTTACCCCGAGCCTACGCCTCTGACCATCGCTGTTCTAGTATCGTCGACTTCAGTCAATCTTGGCGAAAGCTGGCCTGATCACCCACGCTCTAGTCAACGCACTCAGTCGATCTCTCTGGCTTCAAATACGTATGATATACATTTGGTCCCGAACATGGTTATCCTGGTCGCATCTGGTTCCGTGGCTCAATCTGGTTTCGTCCTACGTCTGCAGCGTTTCTGGTCCGGACCTCTACGAACGCAATCTTCAGATTCTGGATACAAACCACTCTGGTGTAGCATGCTAATCCAAGCAATCAATATAGTACGTTCCTTCTGGTACCGTTCTACGTCAAAGACTTTTGGTGGCAACTCGAGGATCAACGATCACTTCCTGTTCTGCCAACGCCTTCGTCCTGCAATTGCACGTTTCGCGATCAGTCCCACGAATGAAACCGCTACATATCGAAAGTGTGAACCCTTTCTAGCGGGGGGCTACTGTAGTGACCGGCCAGTCTCGATAAGAACACGATTGGAATAACGGGAACAATTATTATTATTGTAACCAATTGTATCAGAAATTGTTTTACTGTATTTGTTTAACTGTATCAGTTTCACTTCTTGTTTCGCTCTCCGCCTGGTTTGGTTCGAACTTGCTCACGCACTGCCTGTTCGCCTGTACTCTTTGGCACGTCTCGGTATTATTTCGATACCACGAGATCGCCAATAAATACAATTGATCTGGATTAATAAAGTCTTCTGATTTACGAGCTATCAAAGGAACCAAGTCGTTTTTGGGCGCGTAAACGAATTGTAGTGGTGATCGTAGTCCGTCTTCGACTCGACATACACTACAAGTTTTGTACTGGTAACTAGTATTTTGCCTGATATTCATTTATGCACTGTAGCCAATTTGTATTCCTAAACATCAACGTTCTCAGAATCAAAACCACTTAGGCGTACAGTGTACTTGCGTATTACCCTACAAATTTCCACATCATTGCAGGTAAGAGTGATGACTCAAACAGTCTCGTCTGCTGGTTAACATGGAACAAAAAGCACTTGAGAACTTAACATAGCTCTTTGTTGTTCACTACAATGTGCATAAGATATCGTTCAAACAAGGTTCAAATGACTCTTACTCTGTCCTCTCCTGAAAATTTGGTTTCTATCTGTTCTTGTTTGTGCCTATCATTTTAAAGATTCAGAGATGCTTCACGAGTCTTTGATGAAATCTAAGAGTATTATATCGACTTCCAAACTACTATCACAGGTTTTCATTAAATACTTTCTCGACAGCACTAGAACACTTAAGGCTTATATTTCCTACACAACTCCGCCTGTAGTCCCTCCGGAGGCTGCCGCTGGTCTCAAGCCTGGATAAAGGAGGAGGGTTGGGCATGGGGTTAGCGACCCCATCTCGTAGAAAAACTGACTCGCTAAAAAGAAAAAAATATTCAAATCATTTAAACTCTGTCCTGGGAGTCGAAGGAAGAATTATGACGCCTCTTGATGAAAGCCAAGTTCCTTCGGAATTCATGGGGCCGATGCCCTTTCTAAAAACCAGAGCAACAATTTCTATAGGTACATGGAACGTCCGGACAATGTGAGAGGCCGGGAGAGTCTTCGAAATTGCTGCATAAATGAGGAGATACAACCTGGAGGTGCTTGAGATCAGTGAAACACATTGGACGCAGGTTGGACAGCAACGACTAGCTTCTGGAGAGCGTCTGTTATACTCCGGCCAAGAAGAAGAAAATGCCCTACGTACACAAGGAGTTGCATTGATGCTGTCCAAACAAGCAGAAAATGCACTTGTAGGGAGAGGGCATTACAAGGAACTTCATCCAATGCTATGAGCTCACCATCGAGTACGATGAAGACGTTGAAGACCAATTCCACGATAGGCTACAGTCGATCGTGGAGAAGTGCCCAACAAAAGACCTGACCATTCTGATAGGAAACTTCAATGTCAAGGTTGGAATGAACAGTGTCATGGTTCGACATGGACTGGGAGAAAGGAACGGAAATGGTGGGAGATTTGCAAACCCATGTGCCCTCCATAAAATGGTCATAGACAGCACTATATTCCCACACAAAAACATACACAAAGCCAC